ACAACTAACAACAACGGTGAAAGCTACTCGCGAATCTTACAGTAGTAGTGGTTCGGTTTGGATACATACTCGATCGAAAACCTACTCGTTAGCCTTTTTACTTTATTGTGCCGATTTTGAGGTGCGATTGTGAACAATTTTACTTGTGTTTCTTGACAATGTTGTCGTCAGCTGACGACCTCTCCGTGTCTCAACGCCACGGAGTCTTGAGGAAGTCCCTGTCTCAAGAGGTGTTCGACGAGATCGAGAGGATCCCGCCCAATTCGGACAAACTCTTCGATAATCTGCCTTGGTTAACTATCATGGCAGATCTGGCTATCACGGCGGCTATTGCCGAAATTAAGGTTTGTACTTGATGCCGTATATCATTCTATTTTACGGTTCGAAAATTTGAAGGAATTAATATGCTTCAAGGTTCGAAGACACACTGAAAAAATAAATCATATGACTTAAGTAAAGACGAAGATCAAGTAAATAAATAAGTATTACTTTTACTTTACTTCAAAAAATTATTTGTAAATATTCATTCAGAACAATCGCAATTAGTGGAATAAATCGACGGTTTCATTTACACATGATTTACACTTTATACTTTTAGTTTACGATCATTCACAATGTCTAAAAAAGACAATTAAAATTAATAGAATATCCTAGCAACAGCTTGCGGCTTTTGATTTCTAACTATACAGGGTGGTCCGAACTGTATTCCGGAAACTTCGGCAGTATATTCCGCAGATAAAAATAGATAAAAAAGTTCGTATAAATGTATGTCCTAAAATGCTTAGTTTCGGAGATACAGGGTGCAGAAGTTTCATTTTTATTTCATTTTTTTCCAAATAATTTCTGGAGTAACGTCAATATTTGGATGAAAATTGGTGTCTGAGAGTTTTTTGACATGAGAAATTTGATTTTGATGTCAATATGACTCTTACTAGTAGAGAGCCCCACCTACATATTTTTTAACTGGTTTCAAGAGTAATAACTTTTCGTCCGTACCTGTATAAAACTACTGAGTAAAAAATATACATTTACGACGTTTTTTACGTGAAAAAGGTCTCTTGGTAAACATCGCTACGAGTAATGGCTTTCGAGATATTTTAAATCGAAATTATCAATACCTGTCATCATTGACATAAATTAAACATGTTGACTAAATAGTTATTAGACTGAAATCATAAATTTGAAATGTTTTTGAGCCAAAAGTTCAACAGAAACGGTTTTATCATCATATTTTACAGAAAAAATTATGATTAATTTAAAAAAAATAATAATTTTCCAAATTTATTATTTCAGTGAAATAACTATATCTACTCAACGTGTTAATTTTTCGTCAATAATGACATGTATTGACTATATCCATTCTCAAATATCTTAAGAACGGTTGCTCGTAGCGATTTTTACAAAGAGATATTTTTTACGTAAAAAGTCACAGAGATGTATATTTTTTCAGCCGGTAGTTTTATACAGGTACGTACAAATAGTTATTACGCTTCAAAACAGTTAAAACACATGAAGGTGGCGCCCTCTACTAGTAGAAGTCATATTGACATCAAAATCAAATTTCTCATGTCAAAAAACTCCCAGACACCAATTTTCATTCAAATATTGACGTTAATTCAGAAATTATTTAGAAAAAATCGAAATAAAAATGAAACTTCTACACCCTGTATCTCTGAAACTAAGCATTTTAGGACATACATTTATACGAACTCTTTTACTTATTTTTATCTGCAGAATATGCTGCTGAAGTTTCCGGAATACAATTCGGACCACCCTGTATTTTCTCTTGACGGATGATAATCAAAGGCCAAAATGACATTCCTCGCAAATTTTGAAATATAATTAGTGGAAAAGTTAAAAGCTTGGCACAAGTAATTATTTTTTTGAGGTAAATGAAATACCGCAGTTTATTAAAAACAATTAGAATTTAGTGTAATAATTGAAGAAATTTTAGAGATAGTTTCTTTAATGCCAATAATTAAGGACACTGTACTATAACAAATTTTATTACGTTCATCACCTAAATTGAATCAATTTTGGAGGTTGCTAATACCGCCAAATAATATTTTAACTTCGAAAATATGAGTTTTAGGAGTTATTTTCATTTACTTTTGAAAATGTATTAGAAGCTTTTGATCATTTTTGGACTTAACCTACCAAACCATACTCTAATGCATTAATGTTCCGTTTTAAAAATTCAGTCAGTTACAATTTTACTGGAATCTGATTTGATTATCTATAATATTTTTTATACAGTGCGAATCTTAAATAAGTGTAAATATTTTTAAGGGTAGTATATTTTGAGCCCAGAACACGATTATGAGGTTTTTTAGCAAAAAAAATTGAAAATTTTGATTTTTTTGGAAAATGTTTAGTTTTTAGTTAAAAAAACATAATTTCTTAATAATACGGCAACATAGGTAACAGATTAAATTTACAAGAAAGAAAACCCAGAAAAGTGGTTTCAAAAAATTAAGCAAAAAAATATTTTTTTTTGGAAATTTTCAAAGTAAAATAACCGGGTTATTTTGGACTTATTTGAAAAACGGTAAAGAGTAAATATGTTTCTTTTATCGAGATCTACCAGCCCTGAAAATATTCACACTTATTTAAGACTGGCCCTGTATAATGATACTACGTAACATTAAGATAAATAAAGAAATCATTAGATATTTTTTAAAGAATATATCAAATTAATAAAGAAATGGCTGAAATTTGAACTAAAACGGACTAAAACATTTTATTTGTTTTGGTAATATTTCCTTACTAAAGTTTGAAAAATTACGTAACATTCAACTGTAAATTATTACTTAATAATTTATTTTCAATATTTAGTTGTCACATGAGAAAAAAAAACTTTCTTTAAAAGTTTTATTTCAAAAATTCTCTTATGCAACATAAAACGGTTACATTTGATCACGCGGTGTATTTCATAATTTTAATTCCTTTTACGAACATTTCAAACGTCACGTAGACAGTTTTTTTCATCCGTAAATATTCATGAATATTTAATTTGGCGAAAATACTCGTTCGATATACATACAACCAGAAACGATTAATCATATTCCTTATTAAAATTGAAATTCAGTCCATTTTATTCAAATCGATGTTAAAAAAGTCATTGTGACTCACGAAAAACAGGCATACATGCAAAATTTGCATTGCCAAAAGGTGTATTTGTCGTATATATCATTTAAATTCCTTTAAACCTTATTTGACTATTTTCCTTTTGTGTAGACCGAAAGATTTTAATGAATTCTATCGTCCGGCATAAAAAATATGGGTCCAAAGGTCCAAAGAAAGTCGTTTAATAACTTATCAAAATCTCATTTCATGTGATCTAAATGTCTAATAATAATCTAATTAAAGAAACTGTATGGGAGCTCGCGACCACTGTCCGAGTTATCTATCTGATTAGCGATTGACGTCATCGGCACATTGTGAAGAAAAAGCTAAATATTTTCTTATGTTATTAACAAGATAACGGATTCAGGAAAAAAGTCTTGGACCACGCCGTCTAGGCATGATGCGAACGCATTCATTTAAATTTATTTAATAAAATTATAACAACAATCGACGTCAATAGAGATAATAACTGCTACTGGTGGTGATTGTCCACGCCATAAACATACATTTCTTCAAATTTACTTTCCTGAAGATATTAGAGCACTTTAAAACAAAACCTACTAGGAATTTTCAAAATTAATCATAAAAAACAGTTATTTTTTCTCTTATATAAAAATTATATACCTAAAAATAAAACACTAAACAAAACAAGACAACAACAAAGTTAAAGCCCTTGATTAAATCATACGAAAACACTCTTTAGACTCAAATTAACCGGTAGATGTAAACAAATTCGCGTGCTAAAAATAATCTGACCACAGGTCGTTTAAGGAGAACTTGTTTAATCACTGGAGGAGGCGGTAAATCATCTGAAAAATACGTTTCATTGATGCGTATTTGTTGATTTTATTGCCCCGAGTAATATTTATTTAAATATCTACCTGTTCTATATTTTATTTTTTTTTTTATATTTTTTTTTCGTGTTACTCAAGGTTTTATGTTCTATAATCTGTCCAACTAGGAGAATTTTATCCTATAGAAGATATCTTTTCTAGCATGTTGGATAGACTATGGTCATATCTGGTACTCTCCAATTTTATCATTGGAATTACAAACCACAGCATTGCTACAAACAAATATAGAAACTTAAGCTTCATTCCGAACCTCGCAATTAGTGGAATAAATTAGTAGTCTCAATTACACTTTATACTTTTTAGTTTACGATCATTCACAAGTTCTAAAAAACATAATTAAAATTAATAGAATTCTAGCAACAGCTTACAGTCAGTTGTATGCATAGAGAAAGTCTAATATTTAGCTTATAATACAATCAACTTTTGAACGAAGATAATCAAAGGCCAAAATGGCATTTCTTGCAAATTTTGAAGTATAGTTAGTGGAAAAAAAAGTTTAATAACTTTTTCTGTTAATTGAAAATGTCTACCACTAAAATTAAAGAAAGAAATTAAAGAAACAAACGTCTACGCTAATTGAAACCACTAATTGCCAGGTTTTGAATGAAGCTTTACTCGTAAATTTTGAAGCAATATAGTCTGTCCAATCAGAAAATCCAAGACAGTGATTGTTGTGTCTATTATTATCCACAGGTAAATTTTATTTCTGTCATTTTTTGGAAGATATCTTTCCTAGCACGTTGGACGGACTATGGTCATATTTGGTACTCTCCAATTTTATCATTATAATGACAAACCATAGCGTTACTACAAAACAAATATTGAACGTTCATGCTTAACAGCTTCAGCATTCCTTAAGAACTCTTATTTCTTATATTATAAACAGAATAGTTAAAGCAACTTAACTTATAAATGCCAAGAACTCATAAATAAAATTCTTGGTTGAATGCAAAATAAAAAAAAAATATCTATTTCATCTTAGAAAAGCAAAAATAACTAAACATCTTTTTTTCTTTGCAGTTCAAGCGCATGCTGAACAAGGAACTGTCACATTTCTCCGAATCGAGTCGTTCCGGCAACCAGATCTCGGAGTACATCTGCTCCACGTTCTTGGACAAGCAACAGGAACTCGACATCCCGTCGCTGCGAGTCGACGAAAATGTGGAACCGCCGAAGGGGGCCCAGCGCAAGGAGCGCCCCCGGGGCCCCACAACTATGTCCCAGATATCGGGCGTCAACAGGAAACTGTGCCACACGAACTCGTTCACCGGCGAACGGTTACCGACGCACGGTGTGGAAACGCCTTTCGAGGATGAATTAGGTAAGAATCTGGGTTTTATCACGTTTTTGTACCTCATTAGATTAAATATACAAAAGATACAGCATACCTAGTTTAATAAGGTCCGTAACATAAAATATACTCTCAGATGCAAAAAAATGCAACGGAAAAATTTTTGATCAATAAAAAAATATTATTTTACGGTCAGAATCAAGACTCCTTAGTATTTTGTTTTTTGATTCATGTCAATACATGCTTTGGTTGATTTTTAAGAGCGAAATAAACTGATCACGATCAATTTGTATTTTTTTCAATTGTAATTTCTTTTTGATGTAATTTTTTAATATGACGTTTTGGTGACTATTGTCCTAACGTTATAATACGCCTGCATTGGATACTTAAAATTAAATTAAATTTAAAAAAACGTTAAATACTAACAATGCATCCCGAGTTTTAATAAACATTAATAACGATAACAGAACTAACAATATTAAAGAAAACATCTGTAATACTTTCGTTCATGTAAAAGTCCGTTCATACTGTCAATGAGGCTGCATATATCATATTGCGTTATATTTTCTCATTCTTCTTTAAGGACTAAGCGAAGTTCATTTAGTGAAGCTGGTACTGCTTCGTGACCTCTAACCCTCCTGCCAAGCATTTTCCAAATGTCGAACATGATGGGCAGTTCATAGTTGTATATAGTTCACAGTAATCACCAAAGCCGCCTTGTCATATTGAAAAATAACTTCAAAAAGAAATGATAATTGAAAAAAATTGTTGGTGGCAAGTTCATTTCGCTCTTAAAAATTAACCAAGGCATGTATTGACATGATACAGAAAACAAAATGGTAAGGAGACATGGTTCTGACCGTAAAATTATATTTTAGGAAAATTTACACACGAAATTATTGCACAGGGTGTTTTAAAGTTAAGACAAAAAAACAACCACTCGATTAAACCCTGTATAATATGCCAAATACTAAAGTTTATAAAAAACTAAGTTTACGAATTAAAATTTATATAGTTATATATAGCTTGCTAAAAAAGTCATGAAAATAGGGCTAAAAATAACACGGTTTGACTGTTTCGACTCTAAAGTGACAAAACTTGCAAGTAGCCCATGTCTTGCAAGTACACTCATCACACGATATTTGAAACGTTCAATGGTAAATAATATCAATAATTCTCCTTTTGTTACAGGTAAATGTTTGATGGAAATCGACCGTTGGGGCATCGACATGTTCCGGATCGGCGAGATGAGCAATGAACGCCCCCTAACCTGCGTGGCGTACACCATATTCACTAGTAGGGAACTGCTGAAGTCGATGATGATCCCGCCCAAGACTTTTATCACGTACATGATGACCGTCGAGGATCATTACGTCAAAGAGAATCCGTTTCATAACTCTCTTCACGCCGCCGACGTCACTCAGAGCACTCACGTACTGCTCAACACTCCGGCGTTGGAATCGGTGTTCACCCCCTTAGAAATCACAGCTGCTCTCTTCGCAGCATGCGTGCACGATGTTGACCATCCAGGTAATTGTCTTGTTTGAAATATTTAAGTTTTCTCACTATAAAGCACACTAATTAAAACCTTATTATGTTAAATAATAAACATAGAATATTAAATCTCATTTATCCCATTTCTTCCAGGTCTAACCAATCAGTTTCTGATCAACTCCAGTTCGGAATTGGCGCTCATGTACAACGACGAGAGCGTGCTGGAAAACCATCACTTGGCCGTCGCCTTCAAGTTGCTTTCTAACGACGGATGCGACATCTTCCTCAACATGACGAAAAAGCAACGCCAGACGCTGCGCAAGATGGTCATCGACATGGTGCTCAGCACCGACATGTCGAAACACATGAGCCTGCTGGCCGACCTGAAAACGATGGTCGAAACCAAAAAAGTGGCGGGCAGCGGTGTATTGCTGCTCGACAACTACACAGACCGAATTCAAGTATTAGAAAATCTGGTGCACTGTGCAGATCTTAGTAACCCAACCAAACCCCTTCGCTTGTATAGGTAAGCATCAGTTAATATTCTGCGTAGTCCGATTAATATTTCTCTTTGCGAAGTCATAATAACGTACTAAATGATATTGTCATTGTTTCAGATTGTGGGTGGAACGTTTGATGGAAGAATTCTTCCGGCAGGGTGACAAAGAACGGGAAGCCAGTATGGACATATCTCCCATGTGCGACCGGCACTCGGCCACCATAGAGAAGTCACAGGTCGGCTTTATCGATTATATCGTGCACCCATTGTGGGAGACCTGGGCCGATCTAGTGCACCCTGACGCGCAAGACATTCTCGACACGCTCGAGGAGAACCGCGACTGGTACCAGAGCGCCATCCCTGCTAGTCCACCGGCTGAAGAAGAGCCCGGTGATCCCCAGAGGTCAGGAATACGCTTTCAAGTAAGTATTTATTTTCCAAGTATTTTATTGAGACTTCCATTACTTTGTGATACGTTACAATACAAAACATTTGTCGAACATTCATTGACTTCAATCTACAACAAAGGTTTGATACAACCCAAGTAGCATTTTCACGACTTGCGACCACATGTACTACAGCAAAGTAGAAGTTTCTGCGACGTCGAATAAACGTTGTCTTGTAACCTTTTTTGCTTAAGTGATCTTTAGGTGATTCGGACAACGTAGTTACAACGTTGGACAATATAGAGTTTTCTGACGTCAGTTTCAGGACCTATTCCAAAGTTATGCAAACGTCGTCTGTTTTACTAATTCCAACGTTGCTTAGATTTCCTTATTCTTACGTTGGTAGGACGTCGAGTCACTACCTTTTTGCAACTGTATTGAACCATAACCTTAAATCTTAAATTTTCACTTCATTGTTCTGTTCAGTCAAACAGTTCAGTGCTGTTTTTGTTTTTATAAATTAACTTACCTAATTAAAATGGGACATAAGAAAGGTACATATAAAACTAAATTTAAATATACATCGACATATATTACCGATAGTTTATCCACTCCCTCGTTTATTTAGATTATAGAGGGCGGCACAAGCTAGACTCTAGGATGACTAAATTAGGCAATCTTGCGACTAGTATACTACCTGTTAAGGCCGAACTGCGACTTTATTAGTCCAGTATGCGACTACTCGAACTACTCCATCTTAATCTCCAAAACAACAAAGTGAAAGCCGCCATGTTGTTAAATAAGAAAATGTTTCGTTACTAAAATAGCGATTCCTGCTTTTTGAATACATTACTTTCAAATATTTGACCCTAAAAAACACGCGGAAACAATTTTTTCGACTGCGAATAAATTATTCTCATTTTACTAAAAAAAAAAGAGTTTTAAAAATTCAAGAAAATTTTTAAAACTTCTTTAATTTTAAGGCCCATTAGTATTTTTCAAAGTAGAAACAATACATTTATCAATAAAGTTGTTTGCGTTTAACTTTTTTGCCTTGGTTAAAGTGTTTCAATAATTATGATCTTCAAACATCCTCCACACTTAAATACTTTTGTTTTGTTTTCCTTCACTGCCATCTGACATATGTCTCTAACTAAATCATAAAAATAATATTTTTACTATAATTATCCCAATTTAGGATAAAACGCGACTTAGACACCATATTAGTTTTGTATTTCTGTGAATTAGGATTTTAAACAACGTTGCAGTTTGTACTAAATTAGGCTTCTAGCCAACGTCGGTATCCAACGTCGTTTCGACCCAAAAATTATTCTCCAAACTAGTGCAGACCATGTGCAGACTAGGGTTGGTACGAGGTTGTGCCGAAGTTGCGCTCCGACGTTTGGTCGCGTGACACAACGTTGTCCCGACGTCCAAATGCTGCTTGGGAACTATTTTAAGCAAGATATAAGAACTCTTTACAACAGAGAAAATTTGCAACGACGATTCGACAGATGGCATCGAAAAATTCTCAAACAAAATCCTGCATTCGTTGGGCACACAATAACGAGTATGCGAGTGACTTGAAAGTTGAATCTCAAACAAAAGCACAGTAGGACCCTAAAGATTCTATAAATAAAATTCGTTAGAAACAAAAAATACACATTAAAGAAAGCAATAATGTATTTAAAAAAAATATACTTTTATGTTTAAACACAACAGCGTGGCATATCATTGCCATTTTATTATCACAAGCTGTATGAATGTGGCAAAGTTTCCAATGGAGACATCAAAAAAACATAACGTGTTAGTTATTAAATAGTACAAAAAATTAGCTCAAAAAGTTAAAATTTGAAGATTCCAGATAGCCGACGATGTTTTGACATAATATTATAGTACACGATGAGCATTTTGTCATAATGGTCTGTGTGTGTGTGTGTTGAGACCTATATATTGGAGATACCAAAAACCATTACGTGATATTATTAAACAATACAACAAAAATAATGCAATAGTAGAGATTTTCGAAATATTCAACGATGTTTATACATAACAGCATGGTACACGATGACCATTTTATAATCATGACCCATTGAATGTCCTAAAGCCTATATTAGAGATCCAAAAGACTATTACGTGTTACGATTAAAGAATACCAAAACTATACTCATAAAGAAGAAATTTTAAGATTCATAACAGCTCAGAATGTTTAGACATAATAACATGGTATATGATAGCCATATTATATTAACCGATGTGAGTAAAGTGAGTCCTGTGTATTTTAAATAGACAGCTAGCTAGCAGTGTCTATTTTAAATAGACACGCTATTTATTATGAATACTTCAGAATAAAGCCAATGAATGTTCGATAAAAAAACATATACAAATCGTTTCCATCAGTCAGTCACGTCAATTTACCTTTTTCGAAATTGAGTATTATGTATTTTTTATGCTGCCTGTTTATCAGTGTCAGTTTTACTAATGTCTCTGTATGAAAAATAGAACAGTATTGGATCAAAAACGATTTGCATTTTTTGTACTGTAACTAAAACATAACCTGTCCAACGAGAGAAGACCTGATATTTTCAATACAAGAAATAATCCCTCTCTGTCGTTGGGCTGACTTTATTTCACAAATACAATCATATTTTTTACGTCTAATGATTTCAATACTAAAGAGTTTTGTTGTTGTTTCAGGTGACCCTCGAAGAAGGCGACGCCGAGTCCGAATCGGAATCGGCGGGTCCGATGTGACGGAGGCTGGCCGGCCTCTGCAGGAAGCTCACCGAAAAGGTGACGCACTGGTGGCGCGCGCGACCGTAGAGCGCAGGCGCCGCGGTCGAGCGCCGGGCAGGTGCGCTGGCGCACCTCCCACCCCCTGTCCCCCACCCCTCAAACAGTAGCTGATTAATGAATATAGAGCAGGGCGAGAAGCAGTCGCGGCGGCGCGAGCGAGTCGGCCTCGGCGACGTTTTGCCTTAACCACGTAGAAGAAAAAGAAGACTCTTGTCTGGAATCCCCCCTCTATCTCTCTCTCTCTCTCTCTGCTGACTGTGCATCTGTAAATAAGCCATCATGTTGGGATTTACTGAAAATGTGTCTGTCAGTGTAATACTCAGCCCCGTGTATGTATAGTACTATGTGTCTTGTCAGCTATATTGTAAACACAAGAAGTAAAGCTCTCTCCATTTTAGGATATAGTGTTTTATTTTTCCCCAAGTCCTAAATTTAACCCTAGATTCTATATAGACAAACTAAAGCTTCATTCGGAACCTCGCAATTAGGGGAATAAATTAGTGGTTTCAATTACCCTTTATACTTTTTAGTTTACGATCATTCACAATGTTTAAAAAACACAATTAAAATTAATAAAATATTCTAGCAACAGCTTGCGGTAGTCTGTTGTATCTTGTATCCATAGAGAAAGCATAATATTTGACTTATAAAACAATAAACTTTTGATTTCTAACCAAAATTTTTCTTGACGGGTGATAATCAAAGGCCAAAATGACATTTCTCGCAAATTTTGAAGTATAATTAGTAGAAAAGTCAAAAGTTTGTTAACTTTTTCCACTAATTTTGACGTTCTGAATGCTTACATTCAAATTAAAGGAACGCTTACAAAATTAACGAAAATAATTAATAATTAAATTAACGTATTAGTTAAATTATTTTATTAATTATTATTTTAATGATTATTGTTAAGTAAAATTGAACATAGATGTATCAATGTAAATAAATGATATGTAAAATTAATTAGTTATTATTATTAATTATTACGCTTTATTTAAGGATGCTTCTACGCTAATTGAAACCACTAATTGTGAGTTTCTGTATGAAGCTTTAAATTATATTAACTTTCAAAATTTGTAAGAAATGTCATTTTGGCCTTTGATTATCTTCCGTCAAGAGAAATTGTGGTTAGAAATCAAAAGTTGATTGTTTTATAAGATAAATATTAGGCTTTCTCTATGTATACAATTTATTTTTGCATATATAATATAAATATTCTTAGCATATGATAAGAATATATGCACAAGAATATACTTTAAAGAATATAGGTGGCACATGTCCATTTATTCCTGGAACATTCTCAGAATATAAGTATAAGGATATAAGTTGACGCACATACTAGGTATATGCTATAGATATGAATATGCTCTTCATTGCTATGTGGGAGATAGATTGGACACTGATATAAAAGAAATAAATCCGTCATTTAGAGCCACCTGGTGATCCGGATGAAACTAATGGAGAGTTTTGGCGCAACATAATTTTAGCATTCCGTTATTTATTAACGCTAACTAAAACGGTAACGTTATTCAAGCGCAAAATTCCTTCTTGTAAAATATAAAATAATAAATATGGACTTGTTTACTATATTTTGTTTTATTAGATCATTAGAAGGGTAACATATTCAAAACTGAAAATAAAATTATGAAATTAACAACAACAATAGAGCAGCACATAGCGCCTATTTTTTTGATTTACAAATAAATTACAATATAGTAAAAATGTTATAGACTACTAATTAACTGTTACTAAAAATATAATATTATGTACTTACTTATTTATGATTAAACATTTTTCTTTTATTTCGTTCATAAATGTATTATAAATCTAAGATGTATAAAATGTTTTTAATAAAAAAAGTTTAGTATCTAACGAGAAAATGATGATCGACTGTAAATAACAAAATGCACAAACTAATAAAAACACAAACTATAAACACAAATCACCAAACTTTCCGGAAAATCAACAACATCTGAATTAATAATTATTTAAAAATGATTTAAAAATAATTTGACGGATCACCAACATTTTGACAACTAGACAAAAACTAGACCATAGATGGTTGTAAATCTAGAGGCTGTCATCTTCATATATAAATTAGAAACCTGTACTTTAATGTCTTTTGCGTCGTCTGTCGATGCGGAAGAAACTAAATTTGTAGTTCCATGAAATTACCATTGAGTGTCTAGGGCCTGTTGGCAATACAGAGATTGATTAACTTGCAACAAGCATTTAAAATTAATGCAAAAAAATATTAAAACTATTTAAACAACATTTTTACTAAATGCCTTAAGCTAAAGTAAATGACATGAAGGATTCGGCAAGAATAAGTTTAAAAATTAAAACCCAAAGAAATTAGTGAATTGGTAACCTCAATTATATATTTCAAAAATGGTTAACAATATAATTATTATATACAAATATCACACTAATCTGATTCTAACATAATTCCCTTTTCTATTTGGTCGTTCCTCATAAAATGGTCAGTTCTTTGGGCAGGATAACTAAAAAAATCTATAGTAAATTTATTTTACAAGTAAAAGAAACATTCCCAAATTAAAAATGAAGTACTTAGTTATGATAGCTTAGGAAATATAAAAATAGCTACAATATAATGCAAGAAAAGTGAAGTACAACACAATTTCTTGGGATTTAAAAAATCATACATTTCCAATACCACAAGAATTCGAGTTTAATCATATCATCAAAAGATTTGCTTAAAAATAAGAAACAAAAGTTCATAAATTAAAAGCCGACCTACAAAGGATTGTTTCCTTTAAAAACTAAAAATATAATTTTACCTATACTCTGAAAACAAATTTTGAACTACATCCATATTTTCATTACACTCGTTCCCACTACTACTAGTATCCTCATTTTTAGAAATTCCAACAAAATATGGCCTTTTTATTTCTAACTTTATAGACCCTTTTTTCTTTTTCCTCTCATATTTAACACCACTATGATGTCTTTCGATGTGAAATCTCAATTTTGCATTTGAAGAATATCTCTTTTCACAGAAATGGCACTGAGGTCTTTCGTAGTTATCAGTGTGCTTCATCAAATGGTGCCTTTTTAACGATGATTTGTCTTTAAACCCTGCATTACCTATAAAAAATTATTCATAATTAGTGTAAAATAAAAACACTAAATCGCCACAATACATCAAAACATTTTTACTTTTACACTGGACGCGCGTTTCGCTAACCATGTTAGCATCATCAGCAGATGATTATAAACTAAAATACAATCTACAAGTTGAGCGTTTATATACTCGCTCAGTGGGCACCGAGTGGGCGTGGCAAGATCTAGCCAACCGAGTCAGAGCCCACCGCGCTTAACAGTTAAATTTCCGCTACTAGAGTAGTAGGAACAAAGAACTTGAAGGAATTGGACCGTTGTCTCTGTTCATACTATCTTTACATTTATTAATTCTGATGCTTTCATATGCATCTAATTGCCTGTAATTTGAGACTTGTTTAATTAATTTTAAATTATTAAGATCTATACAATGTTCTTTATCAACAATATGTTCGGCAACGCAAGATTTATCCGGTCTACCATATCTTATCTGAGCTAATTGTTCTTTAAATCTAGTTAATATTGATCTTCTAGTTTGCCCAACATATTTCTGGATTACCTAATAATTGTTGTAATTTATTATTAGCACTATACACAAGATTATAATTGACATTCTTAAAAATTCCTTTTAGACCACGGGATAACTCTCTATCAAACGGTATTGAAAAATATTTTTCTCCGTCATATCTTTCTCCACTTGAAAAGTCGAATTTTCAGAAATCATTATAAATAGAGTATATAAACGCTCAACTTGTAGATTGTATTTTAGTTTATAATCATCTGCTGATAATGCTAACATGGTTAGCGAAACGCGCGTCCAGTGTAAAAGTAAAAGTGTTTTGGTGTATTGTGGTGATTTAGTGTTTTTATTTTGCTGTGTAACACCAAAGGTTCCAACCCCCAACTGTAATCATAATTAGTGTTTCAAAAAACATGTGTTATCTCTCGTGGGGGGATTCCTCATGTAAATATAAGATTTATATTTCATTGCGACATAGGTCCGATTATGCTTTCTTTCGTAGCTATAGAGGACTTATCAGGAATATTTTTGCGCTAATACAGGGTGTCCGGAAATTAATGCAACAAAATTTGGTCATAGATTCTTGAAAAAAAAAATAGGCGACTCATATTTTTTACTTTTGGCGAGTGGCCCCCCTTTTCGGATTTACAGCCCCCTGAATTTCGCCCCTAAAAAGAGTTTTTTTTAATATCTCAGGGCCCTGCTGGACGAAAATCACTAAATTTGGTACACGTGTTTTACCATAAAATTACATTTTTTGATGCTATTCACTTTTTTTATTTTCATCAGTGGCGTCCCTATGGTATTTAAACTAAATATTATTGAAGAAAAAAAATGGTACGACTTTATCTCTTGACTTTTTTTCGTACGACGCACCGTTTTCGCGTAAAAAAATAAAAACCTTTTTCATACATGACTAAATCGGTAAAATTTTACTGTAAATTTCAATGGCAAAATTTTTAAAACGGCAAAAAAATAATTTTTTATTTTCCAAAATCTTGTTTTTATTACCTAAGTGCGAACCAAAATGTCCAAAAAACCAAATTGCCATTTTTTAAATTTTGCTATGAAAACATAAAAATTTTAGCGATTTGGTCATGTATGAAAATGGTTTTTATTTTTTTATGCGAAAACGGTACATCGGACGAAGAAAAAATCAGGAGATAAAGTTGTTCAAAATTTAATGTAGAATTTAAAAATAATTTTTATTTAAAGAAACCAGTGGTGTACCATTTTTTTCTTCAATAATATTCAGTTTAAATACCGTAGGGACACCACTGATGAAAATAAAAAAACGTTAATAGCATCAAAAAATGTAATTTTATGGTAAAACAACGTGTACCAAATTTAGTGATTTTCGTCCAACAGGGCCCTGAGATATTAAAAAAACTCTTTTTAGGAGCGAAATTCAGGGCGCTGTAAATCCGAAAAGGGGGGCCCCGGCCAAAAATAAAAAAATACGAGTCACCTATTTTTTTTCAAGAATCTATGACCAAATTTTGTTGCATTAATTTCCGCACACCCTGTATACATGTGCGCCACTGACTTTTTTCTCTTGTTAGCAAAACTTGTGTAAGCCCTTTAATGCCGATTAAAAGTTGGGTTTGGATATTTTGTGGATTTCGATTTCCTTAATGAGATAAACGCAATTTTATTAGTCACAATAATTAATAAAATTAAAATTAAAATAAAATTAATCAAGTATTTATTTAATCTATTTTATTATTAAATTACTAGCCATTATTAAATTCCCAGCGGCTTCGTTCGCGTCGAATTAATCATTTGTAATGGTTTGGTTTGGTTGGTTGGCTATCGATAAAGCAAAGCAAGAATTTCCGTTAACATACAAACTGGATAAAATTTTCTCACATTTATATAAGCATGAGAAAAAACAATATGGCGATATTGGTTTTTATTTTGGAATTTGACTTTGGAAAAATCCGTTTGCCAAAAATAAGCTTTTTACGTCAAGCAGTTTAAGCAGAATCGTGGTTAAGAAATTACCCAACTTTTTGGAACACCCTGTATGATTTTTTAAAAAATTTCAAAATATATAAAAAAACCAAATAAATTATGCTTGTCCAAGCGTTTTCCCGAAACACTACCCGTTTTTTAAATAACAAATATTGTAATATTTGAGGGGCGTTTTCGCCCTCTTGGAATTTGAGATTCGAGAAACCCCTCCTTATCGAACCTCTACACCCCACAGTCAATTCGTTTGCCAAAAATCAGCTTTAAACGTCAAGCAGTTTAAGCAGAATCGTGATTACTCAATGGTCATATTTTATGAAACACCCTGTATAAATTTATCAAAAAAATTAAAAATATGTAAAACGACAAAATAAAATATACGTGTTTAAGAGTTTTCCGAAAAACTCACTGGTTTTTAAATAAAAAATATTTTAATATTTGAGGTATAGTTTCACCCCCTTAGAATTCGAGTTTCGAAAAATCCCTTCTTATCGAACCTTTACACCCTAGAATCAATCTGTATGCCAAAATTGAGCTTTTTACGTTGAGTGGTTTGAGCAGGATCGTGATTAATCAGTATGTCATTACTTAAGGATTTCATATATTAGTATAGATATTAAAATTTATAACACCGATGTTCAGAGCTACCTACAGCAAATTCAAGAAAAAAATAATGGTATTTAAGATAATTACAATAAAATTATTTTTTAAAAGTTGTAACATCCATTAACTTTAAAACTATGCATTTTTATAGGAACTGTTTTGTATATTTTTTGATGAGGAATCAATGAGTACTAATTTAACGCTTTAGCCAGTTAATGACACTAATTTTTTTAAGCTGGGATTAGTTTTAATTAAATAAATATGACCTAAAATATGGATTCCACCTCTTCCAATATTAAGGAACCTATAAAGAGGCTTAGGTTTACAGCAGATGACGACTTAGCCCTTCTAAGAGAAATTGTTGCTTGTTGCCCTAAACCCACTGGCCGACGTTGAACAATAAAGCACTGGAAATAAGCACTTTAGCCCTTTAGTTTTAAAATACCTAGTAAACAAAACAATTTCAAAGTTTTAAATTTAAAGTTAGGTTAAGTTTAAATAGCGGACGCGACGCGAACAGAATTCTTTCCGATCCGATAACTATAAATGAAGAGAGTTAATACCACCTCGCGTAAAGGAAATAACACCTGGCCTTATTAACGTCCATGCACGCTATCCGGTTTAGCGATATCTCTCTATTACGCTGTTTATTGTTATTTTACGCGAGTTTATTTTTGCGCACAGGAAATTTTACTCGTTTGCACATCGTCATAAAAAACAATTTTCGTACCACGAATTAGGGATAAGATTTTTATCTGTATACATATAGTATACCATTCTTAATCTAAGAGTATACCTAATCTGTGCTATGGTAACTTTTACCCTAAAAAATTCCATTCAAATGACTAAAAGCACTTAAAATTATAATAAATCGAAAAAAAAATGTAACTTTAAAACCCTGCAGCTACAAAACGAAGCAAAATTGAACCCGTATTGATATACAAAATAAATCTTATTTTTATGCGAGGAATTTACCCACCACCAGAGATTGCACATGTTTTTGAAACACCCTCTATAGACCAATTTAATTGATAACTTACACAAACTGCAAAAGAAAGTGGGCGGTCTCTCTTTATTGTGCCTAAGAATATGCTTTTCCAGAGTTGGTTTCATTGGAAAAGCCAAACCACAAATGGAACACACAAAATCGCGACTTCTTATGTGTTTCAACTGAATATGGGTGTTTAAGGTAGAGCGATCGTTGAATCTATCGCCGCACTGATGGCAAACATGAGACCGTGGATTGGTATGAACAACACCATGCTAAAATAAATTAACATACATACTGTGTGTGCAAATTAAAATATATTTTAAAATTTCTCACCCTATTAAGTAACTGTTTCGTTTTAAATCTTTTGTTGCATATTTGACATTCAAAATTTCTCTCAGTGCTATGAACACTTTGTTTGTGAACGTCTAAGTCTGATTTTTTTACAAATTTGTGGCCACAATGTTCACAAATTTGGTTCTGCAATAACAATAAATAGAATATTGTTTTATGGGGTTTGTCATTTATGAGTATAGGGCTTCGGTGAACTATCCTGACACGATTTTTCCTAGAAAATGAAGCTTATGTTACCTTAAAATGAGTTTCTTGGATTATTTGACTAAAATCTGATGTGGAAAAACACGTTTCACATAAAAAACATTCTTAAAAATGTTGTTATTTTATTTTTACAGCAAATTCCATAACCGATAATGAAAGAGTCATGAAAGAGTCGCGGCAGGTCGCGGACTTGTTTATATCAGGCCCTAGACACCACAAAACATCCCCCTTTAGAACTTCGTCTGTCATGTTAAGAAATGAAAATAAATAATAAAGCGCCTCTCGTGTTTGTTCGCACACTAAAAATTTCAATTAATGCCTGTATATATTTTTAGTATATTTTTTAAATTTACATTTTTTTAATTGTAAAGTAATATATTACATTTAAATGGAATATATTACATAACAATTATGTCAATTACAGTATTACAAGCTTGTTTTCTAACATATTTTAAATAAAACGAATTATAAATTTTCCATATACGTATATTTGTCGTAGGTATGAAAAAAGTAAAATATAAAATGGACAAACGCTTACTTACATTGCAATAAAACTTTTAGTTTTGCAATCCAAACGCAATATTTCTATTTCACAAATAAAAATATCCGACAACACTAAAATCACTGAAACTTCCGCGGCTGACAACGAAAACTGAAAAATCTAACGGCACTTTTTGTTTTGGACCTGCATATCAACAGTACGCTGTACTATTATGTGTTTGTTGTTGAAATAATATAAAATATCTAATAACTTGTAAATTTTAATATTTTAACATGATTTTAACTACTTTTGATAATAACTAACTTTTTGTTATCCAGATGACATTTTAGACGGCAACTGACATATATGTCATAATATTTGAATCTTAAATATGTATGTAATATAATTTAAATTACTATAATGCAACTTTATACTAAGAAAACATTTATACATTCACAAAATACAACAAAGTCTAATAATATAGTTTGAAAACAATGAATATTGAATTAAAATTGAAAAAGTTAAGCGCGACCCCTTGTGTCAAAATTAGATGATTAAATTTTCGCAATTTTTACACCATTTGATGACCGGTGGCGCCTCTAGTGTTTGTTCGGGCGGTTGGTCTTTTACTCCCGCTTATGGCCATTAAAGAAAAAGTTCTAAAGGGGGATGTTTTGTGCTAGACACTCAATAGTAATTTTATGGAACTACAAATTTAGTTTCTTCCGCATCGCCAGACGGCGCACAAGACATTAAAGTACAGGTTTCTAATTTATATATAAAAGTGACATGACAGCCTCTATATTTACTACCATCTATGGTCTAGTTTTGGTCTAGTTGTCAAAATGTTGGTGATCCGTCAAGTTATTTTTAAATCATTTTTAAATAATTATTAATCCAGATATTCCTGATTTGCCGGAAAGTTCGGTGATTTGTGTTTATAGTTTGTGTTTTTATTCATTTGTGCATTTTGATATTTACAGTCGATCATTATTTTCGTGTTAGATACTAAACATTTCTATTAAAGACATTTTAGACATCTTAGAAATAATACATTTAAAAACAAACTAAAAAAAATGTTTAATCATAAATAAGTAAGTACATAGTTGGTAATATAGTATTTTTAGTAATAGTTAATTAGTAGTCTATACTATATTATAATTTATTTGTTAAATCAAAAAAATAGGCGGTATGTGCTCTATTGTTGGTGTTTAAAATGTATGTTTTCATAATTTTATTTTTAGTTTTGAATGTGATACACTTCTAATGATCTAATAAAACATAAAATATAGTAAACAAGTCTATATTTATTATTTTATATTTTACAAGGAATAATTTTGCGCTTGAATAGCGTTACCGTTTTAGTTAGCGTTAATAAATAACGGAACGCTAAAATTATGTTATGCTAAAACTCTCCATTAGTTTCTTCCGGATCACCAGGTGGCTCTAAATGATGGACTTATTTGTTTTATATCAGTGTCCAATCTATCTCTAGTAGGTGACATTAGTCTATGGTTTATATCCGTTTCTGTGTTTACGCTGACAGTAGTGAAGGTCGAGTTTTGACAAATATTGCGAATAGATACATGGTTGTCAGATCAGCTAGTAAATTATCCGGAAATTCATGCATATTTTTTTTAGGGAAAAAAATGACGTCATAGGTTTTAAAATGTTTCTTTTAATACGAATTAGGGTAAGCTATCACTTTAGTGCAACAAAAATTGAACGCTGTCTAGTAGCTTATTCGTTAGTGTGGATTATTTTAAAGCAATTTCTGAAATAAAATTTGCGGATTTTTCAGGTTCTAGGAAAATATAAGTTTTTTAAATATATACTATTTTTCGACGCGTAGTCAATGAAGTTTTGTCATTAGGCCCAATTAGGTTAGCCTGGTTATTTGGAGGGTGTTAATGCATTGGTTAGCCTGGTTATTTGGAGGGTGTTAATGCATTGGTTAGTCTGGTTATTTGGAGGTGTTAATGCATTGGTTAGCCGGGTTATTTAATGTTAATGAATTGGTTAGGTGGTTATTTGGTGGGGTTGGTTGCTTAAGCGTGTTTTGATTGCTTTTGTTTCACTTTTGATGTTTTTTTTTTAGTTTTCCCATTCACACATTACCAACGCATTTTTATTATTAAAAATGACTATTTTTTCAAAATAAAAATAAAAAACAGAAAAAGAAAATTCAGTGGAACTGGCAACATTGCTTTTCCTTCTGACGCTATCATGTTAAATCAAGTGTGAAAATTCTCCATAACGTCAAATATGTGTCAAAAACTACTAAAATTAAATTACAATATTTTAAAATTCTGTGCATAATCTCCATTTATTTTTATTTAAAACTATTACTAAAAATAGTTACTTTTTGATTAAAAAAAAATGCAAAAATCGTGTGTCAGGATAGTTCACCGGACCCTGAGTATAGATACAAAGATGCGGTTTTAAAATCATGATAACTTATAGGATAACCGATATACAAGAAAAGACAAAAAATGCAAAATTTTCAAATTCACCCTGTATTTCAGGAACTAAAAGCGTAGGACAAATTTGTGTGTAGCATCTTTAGTTTCATAAAAAAAATAGCAAAGTGATGTGAAAACTGCATCACTGAATCTCTACTCATAAATGAGAAACCTCATAAAACACACGAAAATTTTTTTTTTCTTAAACAGTATTTATATTACCTTGTGTTTTTCCCAATGAGCTCTAAATTCTTCCTCTGGAAACTTCCTTTGACACAATCTACACAATCTTCCAGGCATCTGAAATAATTTAATTTCTTCTCTGTCTACCCTGGCATGTTTTAATTTTTTTTGTTCTTTCATTTGTGCCATCCTATTCTTCTCAAATAATTTTCTAAATAAGGCATACTTTTCAAAAGGATTTTCTCCATGTTCTCTTGCCATATGCGTATCATATTCATCTCTAGTTTTAAATTCCAAATTACAAGCGTTACAAAATGAAGTAACTTGTCCTGACAAATAAAAAATATATATAAAAACAAGGATATTTATTGAGAAGACAAGAAAAAGCAAATATTTAAAAAAAAAACTCTATACCACAGTTGTCAGGCTTGAAATGTAATGTGACAAAAATTTTCTTATTTGATGAAAAAATGATAAATGCCAAAAAAATCATATTTATGTAATCTGAAGTGGGATTCTGTAAGCACCGTAGCAAGAAATTTCTTGCCTAGCCTATGGTATTTGTATACGATTGATAAGTCACTAGACAGGAAATATGTTTACAAAAGACATCCAAAAAATGAAAAAAAAAATACCAAAAAATCAGCATTGTGGGACAAACTACAGGTATAAATTTATGTAGATGAATTTGATGTAATTTTGATTTCTAAATGTTTTTAATTTGATGAATTTTTATTATAATTGATTACCCTGAATTTCAGTTATATCTGGTATTGATATTTCATTAGTTCTATCCACTTTTTTATAATTTGACTCGATATCTGATTCTGCATATATTTCACTTTCAGACTGAATATTATTAAGCGGCGAACATATCTCAGTAGGTTTACATAATAATGTACGAATATAAAGGTTGGTTTTCTCAAACTGTATTTTAAAATTATAAAAATCCACCAAACAGTTTGTACATTTTGTACATAGGTATGGAGGGAATCCATCACCTTCTTTTATCTATAAACAATGCAACTATTATATTCAAAATGGAAAATTAATTCAACTCACAATATATGATGTCGTTTGGCCTAAAATATCAGCCAAATTGAATTTCTCATCGATGACAGTAAACATATAATGCATTTCTGGGTCTTCGGTAAAACATCCTCGACATTTTATACCTAAATTTATTTCCAAGTTATTTAATTCATCTAGATTTTCGAGTTTAATTTGTACAGGATCAAGGCAATCATTTACGTGAACAAAGTGATGAGTTAAAATTTCGTCGGAAGGCTCATTAGACGCCGCCATCTTTCTTGAATGACGGACGACGGAGCATTAGTCATTTCCATTTTCTGGGGTGCTTATTTTTATATTTAAATTTCTCATACTAGGAAACTAGAAATATTGTTCTTGATAAAAACGAAACAAATATTTTAATGCCTTTTTACTTTTACCGCCTTTTTTCAATCAGTTATATATTGCACACCTTTTAACTTTTATTTCTTTTACTGAATTATATATGTTATTACGTTTATCGTATATAACCAATTATTATATATGATTAAGGGGTTGAAAAGAAGAAAATCAGCTCTTAACCACAAATACTGTCAGATGTTTTGATTTTGATTAATTAATGATTAATGGAAGGATTAATGGATAAAAGATAAGAAAAGCATAAAATTTTTAGAAATTTTTTCACCCAATATTTATTTTATTTCATAGTATAACTAAATAACTTTCTAAAACTATGTATCTCACAAAGTGGTAAGCAGAAAAATATAAGATGATTTCCGATCAAAGTTATAATGAAAGCATTTACCATGAAAAGCAAATACGAGAATTATGTGCCCTTCATGCACTAAACAACTTATTTCAAGATAAGAATGCCTTTTCTAAGAATGAATTAGATCAAATTTGTCATACACTCAGTCCTGAATATTGGATAAATCCACACAAATCAGTTATAGGACTTGGTAATTACGATGTCAATGTAATTATGAGTGCTTTACAATCTAGGGGTTACGACATGATTTGGTTTGATAAACGAAAGTGAGATAATGCCAGACATTTATTATATTTATCTAGGTGTTAAATTAAAATATTTTAGAGATCCTGCCTGTATAGATCTTAAAAATATTGTAGGTTTCATATTAAACACTCCTTCTGAATACAAAATCGGTTTCATAACATTCCCACTAAAAAGAAGACATTGGATAGCTTTAAGGGAAATTAATGGTATTTATTACAATTTAGACTCCAAGTTAGATATTCCGAAAATTATTGGAACTGTAAGATTTTATTCAATCATTAATATGTGATTATATTGTAACGATTTTAGTCACAGGATTTGAACAACTTTATTTGTAATGAACTGGATTCTCAAGATAAGGAATTATTTATAGTTACTACAGCCGAAGCAGGAGTAAATCAATGTTGGTTAAAGGAAAATTCTAATTATAATAATAAGATATGTGATTCACAAACTAGAGATGCAGAAGAAATCTTAATTGCAGATATAAAGAATTAAAATAATTGTCAATAATTTTATTCTATATCATACCTTTTTAGTTTCTTTATTGTGCAATATAAGAAATTGGAATGAAGTTCTAATTTTTTAATGTGTACTTTTCCTTGGAAATGTTTCCTAAACTAAATGAAATACATAACCTCAAAGTTTAACAACCTGTGTCCTGTGAGTGTTCATCGCTATGATCGCAAACGATGCCTAGTGCAAGATATCTAATAAACTTTTCATACCTTGGACATGCGTTTAGGTAATATTATTTCAACAGAAATATTTGAAAAATTTATCCCACATAATTTATCAGGGGATCTCAAAGGCAAGTTTCACGGCAAAATCTTATTTTACAAAATGACCCGACTACAGTACAGGGAAGAATGGAAATGGGGCTTCAATTTCTTCAACCCATAAATGATCCGGTTGTGTATATGGCTAGCAGGTAAAGTTCACGTAAAGTTTATTTCATTTCAAATTAAAAATTTATTTAACTGGAAACTGGAAAAACTTGAGTGATTAATGTTACGCCTAACGGATTTTTATATTATAGAACAGATGCGGGAGTGCACGCTTTAAATACGACTTGCCATGTGGATCTCACAAAATCAGACAATTCTATTTACGAACCAACAGTGATAACTTCCTGGTTAAACACTTATTTTTATAGAGAAGCTGTCCCAATTAGAGTTTTAGGTGCAAAAAATGTTTCTGATGACTTTAATTGCAAATCTGCCATATCTAGAACATACTTGTATAGAATTTTATTAGCAAAGCTAAAGGGTCATTCAGGAGGATTATCTACGGTATATATACCTATAGAAGAACTAAATAGATGCCATTTTATTGGGTGAGATAAATTCTAAAATAATGTATATTTTTGTTTTTTGTTAATGCACTATTTTTTCTAGAGCCCACGAGTTTGATATCAATATTATGCGCCAAGCAGCAAAAATGTTTGAAGGGTTTCACGATTTTAGAACGTTTATGGGAAAAACAAAGGACGATGACCGAATTACACGTAGAAGCATTGATTCTGTGATTATTATTGAAAGAAATTTTAAAGATCTCGGCGTGAGTTCGACGTTTAGTTGGCCAGAGAGTGTTTTAAACAATATAGGATCAGATACTTATACATACCTAGATATTTATTTCAAGGGAAAAGGATTCTTATATAAGCAGGTTCTAATTTTGTAATAGTTTAATTTTTTTAAATCATATAAATCAGTGTAAATATCATATATAAAATATTGCGGTACCGTAATCACTCCCAAAAATAGTTCTTACTTTCCTGTTCTATGGCTTTATTTTTTGACAGTTGTGCTACAGCTGACAACGCTGACGTATCAAATGTCAATGTCAATCGTTCATTTCGTTTGCGTGGTTTTCGTGAAAATTGCACGTTTTGCTTCTATCAGAAATCCGTGTTATAATCGGTGAATATTTCAGTAAAGGTATTTATATACATATATTAAGTAATTTAGAAAACTATATCAATAAAAAAAGTTATATTAACGACTACCTGGACGCTTGTTTAGTTAGTGTCACCGGCCCGGTGTTGCAAAATGGCTTCCGAGGACCGGAGGACACTTGGCAAGTTGGCAGCCTGGCTAGAGGGGGGGCTCGAGGGCTTTGGCTGGTCGGACGAGACAAGGGACCACCATAATCATCACCATTTGATCTGGGGGGACAAGGTGGATAGGTGAATTCAGATTATAGACTTTATTAAATATGTTGTATTTTTAAAGTGCTGCTAAACCTAATATTTATAAGAAAATACAGTAATGCATATTTTCTGTCAGAGCTAATGATATTGCGTAATTTGGTGCTTGTCAGATATAACACCCTCCGAATTTTGTACCTTTTTTTATATCACTCGAAAGCATACATCGAAATAAGTATTTCAAGCCAAAAAAAAGTGTGGATGATCCATAATTTAATGAAAAAATAAACATCTAATTATTGCTACAACAGGCTACTTTCTATGCGAAAACTCCTCCAAATTTTGTCGGCGTTGCCAGATTCATTCATTTCTTCTTGAAAGGTTCATTAAAAAAACACGTGCTGGTCGGAAGAAAACTCGCGTTAACAACAGATTATTTTAAAATCAAGAAAAGGCGATCGTCTGAGGAACTGCTCCTACCCATAGCTGATATTTTGCCTACGAGATCTGACTGTTTATAACTACAAAGTTGCACGAAAGAGTTTTGATTGCGTTGGTTTCAACTTGTTTGGGGGTTAATCTGTTGTTTTTTTATATTTTAATACGAATCTGAGTGCTTTCAATGTCTTGATTTTAAAATAACTTATAATCTGTTCTTATCGTGACAGCGCTACTGTATAAGGGTTTGTTCGTCCGGCGACCGGCACGTAAAATCAAGTGAAAGCAATCAGATTCGTATTAAAATAAAAAACAAAAGATTAACACACTCACGGAAAGGTTGAAACAAAACGCAATCAAAACTCTTTCGGTCTCAACTCTTTTTTTGTATCATGTAACGTACCGAATGATCGAAAAAAAACGGCGTCAGCCATGGCTATGAAATGAACATCGCTGTCATTTTATATGTAAAATTATATGGGGAATATCATCGATATTATGTATCATACAAACAAGAAATAACTTTGGCAACAATGCTTACGCAGCTTACATCCTTAACAACCTTAACAACAAATGGTGACAGACGGCTCCGGCGGCAAGTTTGAATCGAAAGAGTAAATTGATCAGGCAAATATTACAAAAGATATCACCAACTCTATTTTTGACTTATGATTTATTAATGCTTCTCACTGATTAATTTTGACCTTTATATTAATAAAAAATGCATATAATCGTCATATTTTACAATAATTACACGCTTATACAACTTCACCATAACCTAAAAATGCACTTTTAATTTATTTATTTTTCAATAAATTGTGGTTCATCCGCAATTTTTTTTTGCTTAAAATTCTTATTTAAGTGTATGCTTTCGACTGATATATAAATAAATGCCAAATTCGGAGGGTGTTATATCTGACAAGCACCAATATTGATGTAAATATAATTATTTTGAATGGAATAATTTATATTTTTTCAAGTTAGAAAGTAATGACATTCTAAAATTCATATCTATAATATATTTATATACCAATTAAAATGTGGTTAAAAAAGATGAATTTAGTGTAAGTACATGTATTTTATCTATTGAAATTCATTAATAATAATGTTGTATTTCAGTTTTCTTAACAAAAAGTAACAAAATAGTTTAATCTAATAACATAAGTGGTACTACTCTGGTACTGATCTTATCTTAACTCTATAAAATGTAATTTTAACTGTTTCTATTGTATGTAATAATCACATTTTATAATAATGTGTTTATCTGTTAAGTATAATAGGTAACATAGAATTTATACTTTTTAATTTTTTTTTTATTTAGACTCAAAAATATTCAGTTAAAAATGTTTATAGGGAACAATTTTAATTTCCTTTGCACTTATTTATATGCTCATACATGTTCTTATAAGGGAATGTTCCCTCGTCACGAATGGGAACGTTCTCTCTATTACAACACTAAATATTATGCCTTCTTACAGCCAGCCCCCTAGGCCTTTGGTCCCCCTCTCTCCTCCAGCTCTGTTGACTTGTGAACGATGACTAAAAGTTGGGTTCGTTTTCTTCTGCTAACCAGGTGTCTCGATAATTAAAGGTACATCTGTTTTTCTCAAAATAAATTTTTGTAACAATACAAAAAAAATCATGCTATAATAAAAATGTTATTTTAGTACAGTAACAAATACAGGTACTCTATGTTCTGTAGTATTTTAAAAATTCCTGATTAAAAGTTTCTGTTTGTTATTTTATTAACATTTATTAGAGATGGAAATTCTTATTTAATATATTTGTTTTTTCGTGTATTTCATTTTATTAATTAAGTTAATTATTTTTAATAACAGGTTCGTCGGTGTGGAGCTGCTATTGTAGGAGCGGCTACTGGAAAGGTATCACTCCAAGACATTGAATTTATGCTGCAAATACCATCAAAACACAGTTGGAACTCTAAGCTGAAAACGCTTCCCGGCCACGGTCTATATTTATGCAATATAGAATATTAAGTACTACACGTTTTAGTAGCCAATTTGGATTCAAGTTCAAAGAATTGTGAATATTAGATTCGATTAGACTTACAAATTTTAAGCCAGATTACATTTTTGTATTCCATTTTATTTTGTGCACTAAGAAAATATGGTTGGTTCACGCGTATATATTGGCGGCCTTCCATACGGGACCTCTGAACGCGATTTGGAGCGCTTCTTCAGAGGCTACGGTCGCATGCGCGATGTCCTGATCAAGTCTGGATATGGTTTTGTGGAATTCGACGATTATAGGGACGCCGACGATGCGGTTTACGAATTGAACGGGAAAAGACTACTTGGCGAAAGAGTAACTATAGAAATAGCAAGAGGTACACCTCGCGGAAGGGATCAGTGGGGTGGCAGTTCGGGAGGAAGAGGCGGACGGGATAGGGAAAGGGGGGGAGGAAGAGGTAAATACGGTCCTCCCACTCACACCGGTTACAGAATAATCGTAGAAAATTTGTCTAGCAGAGTTTCTTGGCAAGACCTTAAAGATTACATGCGACAAGCCGGCGAGGTGACCTACGCCGATGCCCATAAACGCAAAAGCGAGGGCATCGTCGAGTTCGCTAGTCATAGCGACATGAAGAACGCAGTCGAAAAACTGGACGGTACCGAACTGAACGGCCGCCGTATTAAAGTGTTCGAAGATAAATCAGCCCGACGATCCAGAAGGAACTCCCGGTCCAGTTCCAGAAGCAAGTCGCGTTCCCGCTCGGCCAGCAAGTCCAAGAGCCGTAGCCGCTCCAGAAGCAAATCCGAGACTCGCAGGAGGTCCAAGAGCGCCGACGATAAAGCCTCCAGGTCCAGAAGTCGCAGCCGTTCCGCCAAACGGTCCAGATCCAGGTCGGCATCGAAGGAGGCGAAGAGATCGCGCGTCGATCGTTCCAGATCAAAATCGAACCAATCGAAATCGCGGTCCAGGTCTAAGGAGGCGGATCGTAAAGATAGAGAGAACGGACGCGACGACAGGTCCAGGTCTCCGGCAGGCCGTTCTCGTTCCAGATCGAAGGACGGCGGGCGTCGTGATCGGTCCAAATCTGCTTCGAGAGAGCGCGAATCCAGATCCGGTTCCAGGGAACGCAGATCCAGGTCGGCGTCCAGAGACCGTTCGAACTCCCGCGAGTCCTTGAAGAAAACGTCGAAAAGCAAAAGCAGATCTAGGTCAAAGAGTAACTGATATCGCGCCGATTTTCAAAAATACAAGTAGTTTAGCGGTTTTGGTCATGTTATATTTTTACAAGTTTTATTTCCGAAAATTTTCAAGAGTCGGAACTTGCTTTTTCTATTTTCTTATATTATTTCCTAGTAATTTCATTAATATTTTGACAGTCTCAAACACTGCATTTTGCATTACTGACAAAAGTGTGTGTTTAAAATGTGATCCAAAGTTTTTTTTATAAAAAAATATTTTAAAAGAAACATGCCTTATTATGTATTCATTTATATTTTGCTGTTTCATCATTGTATTCAGTTTATTGTAATGAATATTTGATTAATAGCATTTAAGGTTATATTTTAGTGTTGTGGTATAATTATAAATAAATATAATTAAACAGACCACGAAGTCGAATTTTTAATACAACTTCTACCATACGATCGAAAAAACGGCGTCGGATTACCTTAGAAATAATGCACGGTGAAATTTTATATCAATTGATCCTCATTTTTCAGGTAATTTGACGCCGTTTTGTTTCAATCATACGGTATACTTTGCATATTTGTTTTTTAAATTTAGATTATAAGAAATTTGACAAGAAAAGATAGACAACAAAATAGGATGTCATAATTTTTTTTTCTCTTAAGTAAGTTAGACTAAATGATTAATACTAGGAAAAAAACTATTATCAATAGGGTATTCACCCACATCATTTTTTTTCAAATAGAACTAGCAAATTCTTTTAATCATAATACCATATTGTTTTTAAAGTACAAAGTAATCTTGTATAACATATGAATACACTAATAGCTAAAATGTAGCAAAAAAATCTTATTTTTTGTTTGAATATATATTTTCAAGTATTTCTTTTTCATTTGCACTACTCTAACGTGTTAATTGTCAATAATTATTACCCAAATAATTTATATTGAAAAATACAATATGAAATGAGCATTGCTTAAGACGGTCCCACACGATGCGATGTGTCAAACACCCCTTCCAACATTGGACACGAACATTTGCCGCATCGTGTAGGACCGGCTTCATTAAAATGTAATTCACCAGAGATGTATTTTTTTCTATTTCTAAAACTAATATGTTTGGTTATCAACAATAATTTGAATCAACATGAAAGCTTATTATTACCTGACATTAATCACAGAAAACAATTCCTTTTGTCCTTATACCATATACGATCGAAAAACAACGGCGTCAGAGATGGCTCTGAAATGAATTTTCATTTATTACGTAATAAATATGTATTTACATTTCATGTCAGTAAAACGCTTTACGGTATATGAAAGCGTTTATTGAAATTTTCAAATTCAATAAACACTCAATGTTAATGCTGTCTCAAAATGATTGTTTATACCGTACGATTGAAGAATAACGTCCAGGTTGGCTTGGAACGGTAATGTTGTAATGTAGTCGACTATCATTTCCAAGTCACTTTTGAAGCCGTTATTTTTTCGATCATACCAGATCATACGTAATTTTTATATGTTAAAGATTGAATACTTAACTCATAGATTTTTAAAAAATCATTAAAATATTTTGAAATTAATTTTAATTTGCTTGTAATAGAAAACCTAAATTAAAAACTCAAATTTGTTAATACATTAAGCATATTTTAGCATAATTAAGCATTTTTTAGCATATACTTTTGTGCGCGCTAAAAAAATACACTTCAAAAGTACATGTTAAAAAAATGTTTTGCGCGGCGCGGCGCACTCGCGTGAACGCACCTTTAGATAAAATCCTTGAAATATTTTTTTAATTTTCTACAAATTATTGTATTTTTACTTTTTCAAAAATCAGTTAAATGAGCAGATTTAATTTTTAAATAACCTGTTAAAAAAGTCGAATAAAAATAAATTTAAAAAAATATGATGCTATTATTTTGTGTAAAAAGAACTTTACATTAATACTATCCACATTGTGATATATGGCTTCTGAAGTATATTCATCGTTTAATCACTTTTTCTTCACTATTGTAACGTAACTTTAGCCTATGCTCTGACAGACAATTTTCAGTCGGTCGACTATTTAGATGCCGATTTGTAACCAATGTATTTTTATGGAGCCGCGCTCACATGCAATCAAATAGTCGACCGATCGGCTCTAGTATTAACTAGATCTAGTAATGAACTAATAAAAATTATTTTCAATTTTATGACAAAATTTAAATTGAAATATTTCTTTAAAAATTGAACCACCAAAATTAACATGATTGTGTCTCACAAGAATCGTATTCTGGCAGAGTACACTCAATCGTAAGTTTGTAATTAGTAAGTCTAATCTGATCAGTAACTCTTTAAAAAAAATAGAATCCACACACCATGAGCTTACTAGAACAACTAAAAAATAGCCGATCTAAACTAAAACCCTCCGAAACTGTCGTCACTTACCAGAACGGTGAAAAGTTTGTCGAAATCAAGTCGGTTATCAGAAAAATCGATGAGAAAAGTCCGGGGTACGTAGTTGACACCAAACCAGATAGCATACCAGCCCAAATCATCGAAAACCTGTTCCTAGGCTCTCAAGATTGCTGTGATAACGGTGTTCTCGATCTGAATGACATTACTAATGTTTTAAGTGTTGGAGTGGAAGCTCCAATCAAATATCCGAACATCACTTACAAATTCGTCGAAATATTAGATTTGCCCGACACAAATTTAAACCAGTATCTTGAAAACTGCATCAGTTTTATTCAAACAATTTTAGATAAAGGTGAAAAGGTTTTAGTCCATTGTAATGCAGGCGTTAGCAGATCTGCATCTGTTGTGATTGCCTATTTAATTTTAAAGAGAAATTTTAGTTTTGAAAAAGCCTATGAAACTGTAAAAATGTCAAGAAGTTGTATAAGGCCGAACGACGGGTTTATGAGTCAACTGAAATTGTTAAGTTAAAATGCAACAGTGCATATATAAAAACCAGTAAATGTAATGATTGTAATTCCTGGTTGAACCTGGTTATAAATAATGCTAAAAATAAAAATAATTCTGAAAATGTGTTAAAATTACCTAATCCAGATGTAATAAGCCAGATTGTGACGTTTATGAATGAACTGAAATTGTTAACAGAACATTGTTCAAATATTGTTTTAAGCTATTCAAGCATGTATAAACTAAAATGTGTGTACCAAAAAAATCAATAAAGATTTATTATTGTAAAACTGTTTTTGTCCTGGTATGAAATGAATATGAAAAATTATTCTTGAACCTGAAACTAGCGTTAATAGATTATTATAATTATACCGGGTGCTAATCCCAAAAGTGGCTCACCCCCTATAACTTTTTTATTTTTTCATATAAAAAAACGAGATGTGGTATATTAGTAAATGACATAAATTAGGATTGATTGACGTATTCAATTGTTTTTGGTCACTTCCTGTTTCACCGAAAATGACTACAACTTTTGATTTTTAAATGGCACCCTCGGTATTTTTTTACTTTATTCGATAGAAAATGACATTCTGAATAGAATGACATATCATATGTCAACTTTTGACATTTTCGCTTAATAAAAAATCGTATTTTAAAATTCAATCTAGAGTGCCATGGCTATGTTAAAAACACTAATTCTTAATCAAGGAGCCTTAGAAAAATAGATTTGATCGTCTAATGTTTTTACTGTCTTCTCCTGGCCAGTTCGTCGGTTTACAAGCAAAACACACTTAGTCCAAAAACGAATACATTTTAATGCATTTTTAATAAACTAATATAGCTCCATTAGCTCAATATGAAAGTAATTTAAAAAATAAACTAACAATTCTTAGAAGGTATAGTATATTTTTCCTGGATATAGATCTATATTCTGGAAAAAATCTAGTCAAATGATATAAATAAATCAAAATTAAAATAATTGGACTTAAGTGTGTTTTGCTTGTAAACCGATGAGTTAGAAAATGATCAAATCGTATTTTTAATCATATCTCAATTTTTTCAAATGTAAAATGTCGTAAAAAACATTTTTTTACGAATAATTTGATACTACACACTTGATATTTCGAGTCAAATTTTTGTTACGAACCGCAAGTTATAATGTCAAATAAACCATATGCGAAAATGTCAAAAGTTGACAAATGATATGTCCTTCTATTCAGAATGTTATTTTCTATCCAGTAAAGTAAAAAAATACCGATGGTGCTATTTAAAAACCAAAAGTTGTAGTAATTTCCGGTGAAACAGGAAGTGACCGAAAACAATTGAATACGTCAATCAATCCTAATTTATGTCATATACCTACTAACATACATATCTCGTTTTTTTATCTGAAAAAGTAAAATAGTTATAGGGGTGAGCCACTTGCCTAAAATTAGAAATATGTTATTTAAAATAGCCAAAATTTATGAAAACTTTGTGTAAATTATAACCAACAGCGAAAACATCACCACAGATAGAAATACTAAAAAACACTATTTATCATCATGCTTTAACAGAACAAATAAAAGAGTAGTGTAGAAAAGCAATTTTTATTGTGTAACAAAGACTATAAAATGACGGAATGTTCAATAAGTAACAGCCAAAAATATACAAGTATAATTACCCCAGTGTATAAACATCTGAATGGAACATATAGATTCATAAAAACATATAGGTATATAACGTTAAAAAAGTATTTACAGTAATCAGATCAAAGGTATAATACATTAAACGCTAAAATTGCTATTTTTCGATAATTGTATAGTTAAAACAAAACAAAAAATAAAACATTTAAGTACTTGAAGAGTTAAAATTAATATATAACTATATTTTAAAGGAATGTGACACTGTTACAATAGTCTTTAAAATTATTACAGTAATGACCAACTTCCATAAAATAAAATATACATATAGGTTAGGCTGTCCGTTATTTCCCAACTTGACTCTTTTTTTGCTGCCGCCCTCTGAAGTTTTTGTTTTTGGTCTAAAAAAATTATCAAACGTAAACAAGCTCTTAATTTTGAATTTAAACCGTGCCGGTATTATAATCTCCAAAGCAAATGAACCTACAGCTTCGACAAACACAAAAACATACAAATACAAAAAAAGTCTCCTTGACTTTTTCCATAAAAACATTACTTTAAAAGTTATTCCCGGTCAAAGTTGTGCACAATACAATACAATAGTTTATAATCAAATTTTTATTGCGCCTTTTGATTTTGATTAAAAAAGGACCTAGAGCCATACTTTTCTAATGAAACAATATTTCTTTACCAACTTTAATATGGCAAACTAATTTTGCGCCATCTATAATCAATTGACCAAAACTATAATTTAAGGTTATTGTTTCATTGCGTTTCAGTGTTCGTAAATATGTGTTCCAATTGAAAAGAATGAACAAATTTCGAGTGTTTTTTATCTTAAATATTACTTGCATCGAATTAATTAATTAAAATTATTAATTAAATTAAATTATTAATTAATTAAATTAAATTATTGATTAAATTAATTTAATTAATTTGATACAAGTATATTTAAGATAAAAACCACTCGAAATTTGTTCATTCTGTTCAACTGACACACATATTTTAACATATTAAGACAATGAAACAACAACCTTAAATTTTAGTTTTGATCAATTGATCATAGATGGAGCAATATTAGTTTTCCATATTAAAGTTGGTAAAGAAATATTGTTTTATTGAAAAAAGTATGGCTCTAGACCCTTTTTTAGTCAAAATCAAAAGGCGCAATTAAAATTTGCAGTGAATGATTTGGTTTGGTTAGGTCAGGTTAGGTTAGGTAAAAATTTGATTATAAACTATGTGCATAACTTTGCCCGCGAATAACTTTTAAAGAAATGTTCTTATAGAAAAAAACCAAAAGGACCTTTTTTGTAGAGCGTAAAATTTTGTATTAGAGTATGTCTTTGTCGAAGCTGTAGGTTCATTTGCTTTGGAGATAAAAAATGAAATGGAAAAGGTCAGAAAATCCCATGTTATTTAAATAGAAAAAGTATCATGATTTAGAGCTTGTTTACGTTGGATAATTTTTTTTAGACCAAAAACCAAAACTTCAGAGGGCGGCAGCAAAAACAGAATCAACTTGGGAAATAACGGTCACCCTAAAAGATCGCGCACACTATACCTGCACGGACCGGCACGGACCAGACCAGTAAAATCTACCGGTGAAGGTGACCGTGTTATTTAATAGAGTAGAGCACACTAGACCAGTACCAGCACGTACCGCCACAAGCCACGACCGTCAAAACAGGTCGTGTCGGTCAGGGACAAATATGACCGGCAATATTTATGCCTGGTCGTGCTGGTCCGACCTAATGTGCGCACCGGCGAACCAGCACACCTCCACAAACATGCAAATATTGAAGGGTTTGTCAGTATTTCGAGTACGCTAGCTGGCTCAAGTTGCATGATGTAGGTTAGATTTCGTTTATTTTTGTTCGAACCTTTAAATCGTTTTAAATATGAATGAAAAAAAGCTTATTTTACTGGTACAAAAGTATTCAGAGCTGTGCGATACGAGCCAAGCATTTTATATATAGAGACCAAGAAAGAAAAGATGCAATATGGGAGTCGATAGCAAAAAAAAATAATTAAATTTGATTTGTGACATTCGAAAATATTGGAAAAACTTTTCTTCGAATCTTTTTAATTCAGGAAACAAATAATGAAATTCGCCATATTGCTTTCTCTTTTGATTTATAGGGTGAACCCAAAATCTTCTTTTTTTCTTAGCTTCCTTCTCTTCCTCCTCTTCTTCACACAACATGGCTAAAATAATAATTTCTTCTCTGAACTACTCATTTTCAATACTTCTATGTTGCACGCTCTAGTAGTTGAGCCTTGACAACTGTACTTTTTTCGAAACTCTCGCTTATGTTGCTGGTCTGTGGCGGTAAAGTGTGCGATGTCATGCAGGATGCAGGTTTGTGCTGTGCTGGTCCGTACTGGTCCGTGTAGGTATAGTGTGCGCGATCTTTTATATAGTTACTCAAAAATGATTTTATATGAGATGAGAAGCATTCTTTATACCATCTCGGTAATATACTGAGTTTGTCATTTATATAGAATGTCGCAGGGGCAAATTATTAGGTATTGAGAAAACTTGAGAATTCTGTAATATCATCGGATATATCAAAAAAACTAATTGTTTCTGTAAATATATACAACTACCAATTTTAGACTTAACAATAAAATCCAACGAAGACAACGGCAACGCCTTGTTAGAATAATATTACTCGGTAGTAATAAGAACAAAATGAGAAAAAGTGGTAATGATAAATTCTTAATCCTTGTTATTAAATATCATTTTGTTGCTAGAATTACCACTAATTGATATTTGCTAACATTTTTCAAATAAAATGTTAACACTGCCTTGCGACATACTCAGGCATTTTTTTTATTTTCTAAATTGACCATTAAAATGTATTATGCTATAAATCATATAGGAGAACATAAGGCAGTTTAAAGCTTGATTTAACGAAAATACTTATAACAAAGAATATTATACTAGAGTTTCCGCATCTAAAGATGAATCCACCTCGTCATCAATGACACGATTGCACTGCGACCCTCCCGCCATAAGCGTGAGTTGAGATATTTTTATTCAAATGCTATAGATAATATTGCAAAATTACTTCACGCGACCCTGCTCAACACCGAGTCTGGCCTCATCTTTAGATGCGGCCACCCTACATTATTCTTTGTTCATACCTAAAGAAAAACAATTTCTAATGTTTCATCGTAAAAATAAATCTTCCGACCAACACGACGTAAGGTGTTGCAATTAGGGAATACAATCCCGCAAATGCGGGATCCCACTGTGATTCCGCGGGATCAAATTTGCGGGATTTACCGTGCGGGATCTGTGAAATCGACACCAGGGGATTCCCCTTGCGGCTTGGCCATTAAAAAAAAGTGAAACAAACAGGTTAGGTATAGTCTATAAAATGAATAACTTTGAATTTTGACCGTTATTTTTTACCAACATAGCAAATATAAAATCCCTCTGTCAAAAAAGTTACTGATATTCTTTAAATTGAGTGCCTGAACGAATCAGATAGGTAACTCTTTTTACTTTCGTGAAATAGAAAAGGAAAATAATAAAACAAGTGACAGTTCTTCCTCTTCTTACAAAAATCAACACGAAATGTCATAATTGACAAAAGTAAAATGTCATCAGCTTTAGACATTTCTAAATATTAGACCAATGCCGTCTCTAATACATCAGCCACGGAGCGAGATTTATGACGTCACGCTAGTTAGATACTACGGATTAATAAATATGTTGTAGAATACATGAAAAACATAATTAATCCTCGTATTTTTGGTTCGTATTTTAAAAATGATGTTTTATATACATAGTATGCATAGTACATAGTTTACATGAAATATACATAATATACAGTTAATAAATACAATATAATATATACCTATTTATAGTAATAAATACTTTGGCAAATAAACTATGAACTATACAAATGCAGCAAATGTTTTTAAATATACAAATAATTAATAGGCGGTACATAAGATAATGGGTAAAATGTAAAATATATTTTAAATTTTGGGGTTTGAAAATCGACCTAATTTAACAAAAAACATTCAATATCTATAAATAGTGATTATAGTAGTGAATAGTAAGTTATATAATAGTGATGTATTATTATTTGCATTAACAAAATTTATTTATATATTATAATGTTTACTGCAATTAATAAACTAATATAAACTTGTCAAAAGATGACCACATATTTTTTAAATTATTATTCTTAACACAAAAAACTATCTACATTGACTATGGAGTACGATTTCAGCCATATTGTAAAACATTTGCTGCTTTTGTAGGCTCATAGTTTATCTGGCAAAGTATTTATTACTATAAATAGGTATATATATATATATATATATATATATATATATATATATATATATATATATATATATATATATATATATATATATATTATTGTATTTATTAACTGTATATTATGTATATTTCATGTAAACTATATCATTTTTAAAATACAAACTAAAAATACGAGGAATAATTATGTTTTCCAAGTTTTCTACAACATATTTATCAATCCGTGGTATCTAACTAGCGTGACGTCATAAATCTCGCTCCGAGGCTGTTCTATTAGAGACGGCATTGCGTCAGCATGGCCGCAAGTTGCTAACCTAATAAAATTAACACTAGAAAAGCCCGCGGGAACTGTCAAATTCAAAGTTATTCGTTTTACAGACTATATTAGATTTCTTTCTGGCGTGCGTAATGAAGAAAAGCGTTAACTACTTGTGGACAATTTCGTCGAATAAACTGCCGGACATAATTATCGGGACAAGCAAAATTTTAGTGTAAATTTGTTAATAGTTGAATATCTCTTGAACTAAAAAATATTTTGGGATGCGGTTTGGACCAGGTTTTAGATGCATCTATTGTGATTAAGATACTCTGTGATTTTCGAAAATATATTTAGCGAATTCTGGTATACAGGGAGTTTTATACGAGTGTGAAAATTTGGTCAAGAATCTTTTTTATCGCAAAATTACAGTTTTTAAAAAATCGACATTTTTACCAAGTACGACTAATCTGTATTAAAATTGGAAAAAAACAATTTTATCGTTTTTTTATTTTTTTTTGTTTTAAGGAAAATACGTTTTTTCGAAAAATATGCATTTTTAGTCATACGATGGTCCTAAATGGTACATAAAGCTTTGTACATTCTGCATATGCCAAAAAATTATTGATATAAAGTGTATCTAAAAGCAGATAACTAACACAAATTGAAAAAGAAACCTTCAACATCAGAATAATAATTTTATTTATAAAATAAGTCGATAAATTATAATAAGATTTAAGTTTATTTAATATTAAATATATTTTTTGAACACCCTGTATACATCGGTCCAAATTTCTGTTCAGCTAGTTTAAGATACACACTATATCAGTATATTGTGGGCCTATACAAAATGTACAATGCCTTTTGTACCATTTAGGACCAAATGTATGACTATAAATGCATATTTTTGGGAAAAAAAAACACGTATTTTCCTAAAAACAAAAAATTAAAAAAAAACAAACACCAAATTGTTTTTTCTAATTTCAATACAGATTAGTCGAAATTTCGATTTTTCAAAAATTGTAAATTTTCGGTAGAAAAAATTCTTGACCAAATTTGTACACTATTATAAAACACTCTGTATACGAGAATTCGCTAAATATATTTTCGAAAACCACATAGCATCTTAATCACCACGTGTTGCGTCTAAAACCTGGTCCAAACCGCATCCCAAAATCGGAGAGAGAAAAGAAGAGCATCCCGCGGGTTTACGGAATTGAGATTTTGGTGCGGGATTGCATTCCCTAGTTGCAATGTTGTCATTTGAACTAAAATTAGGGAAATTTTTTTTTCCTTATTTATTTTATCATTAGATTACAATTCTACAAAGTCAAATTAAAAGATTTTTTGGTATTTTATCGGGATTTCCGAATAGTTGTTGAATATCAGTTTTTTTATGATGTGCATCAGAAATTGTTTTGTATTAAGTATATTATACTAAATCATTCGTTTGATTCTTTTGATTAAATATACTAAAAAATACAGCATGCCGCTGCAATTGCATTGAAAGTTTTGTCGGCGTAATAAACACAGCTTTTGCCGCCAGAGGAGGAAATACCGGGTGCGCCTCAAAAGTGGCTCAACCCTATAACTTCTTTATTTTTTCAAATAAAAAAAAACAGATTTGGTATGTTAGTATATGACATAAATTAGGACTGACTGACGTATTCAATTGTTTTGGGTCACTTCCTGTTTCACCGGAAATTACGACAACTTTTGTTTCTTAAATGACACCTTCAATATGTATTTACTTTATTCAATAGAAAATGACACTCTGAATAGAATGACATATCATGTCAACTTTTGTTTTTTATCTGAAAAGGTAAAAAGTTATAGAGGTGAGCCAAAGCATTTTTAGGCAAATTTATTTAAATTGGTAAAAAGACACAATCTCCTTATTTTGTAGATCCCTTCCAATGGCCTAAAACTCCTTGCGGACGTTTTAAGCCTGATATCCTCTGTATCTTTTCTATATTTAATCTAATTTAAATGATTTACTCTATTCGTCAAATACCTCCTTGCGTCAAATATGCCCCCTGCTACCTCCTAAGCCTCTAGCAGATAGACTGTTGCTCTTTGCCCTGTTATTTTCGTTGCTCGCCTGGCCACCGGCTTCTCTGGAATGTGCCACGACTATACTAAGACACTGCACCCATTCTTCGGCGTTTTTCCCGTCGCTAGGTTTCAAAATTAACGTTTGGTTCTCGGTGAAGATCTCGAACGCTTTGGGTATGTTGCGGGAACCCCTCGACACACGCACCGATCGAATTTGATGGATATCGATAGATTCACCCCCGCTCTAAAAAAATATCGATATAGATACTGAAGTGCTTTAAAAATATAAGTGAAGAAGTATAATTATTTAAATTTAATAACAATAAAGATTTTGACAAAACACCTGTCAAAAGGAAAATATGATATAGTTAAGGTCTGTCCAATGATCGTTTAACGTTATGTCATCATTATACAGGGTGTGCATTAGAAGTTTCTAGAGAACCACAATATCTAGATCGGAGATTTTTTGCACATCATTGTTTTACAACGAGATCTATCGATTAAAAATATTTTCAATATGGCGGCACTTCCGGAAATACCGTAAGTTGACAGCAACTTTCTTATTTTAAATGGGTGCCCCCATTTTTTATTACATACTTAAATTCTCTGTAAAATTCTATGAATATTGATGTAAAACACTCTATTCTAACATTAACCGTTTTTGAGAAAAAAATTACTTAAAATTTTTGGACGAAAAAAACTACCTGTCAAAAAAATTTGTATAGCCTAAAAGTCAAATTTAGTGATTACCACAGCCACTGTGACATAAAGAGAAGGCATGTGGCTATCTATTTCAAAAATTAAATTGTTCAAATGTCATATAATAATGGCGGTAGCTGTCATGGAATTGAGTGATTAAAAAATTATCATAAATCATTTTTTTCAAATGAAAACCCTCATTTATATTTCACTAATGAAACGGGTTTTCAATTCGTTACTTTTTAACTAAACATATTCCTGTACCTAAAATAAATCGTTTTAAGTTATGTATTTAAGATTGAGTTTGAAAACCTATATTTTTCTTGATTTTATCTAGCTTCCTTTGACATTAAGTGTCAAACGGTCAGACCATTTATTTCCATCTGTCAGAAAACGAATTATTTGAATTTCTACCTCCCTTAAGGGCTTAAAAAGTGTATTTATAAAAATATATCTCGTATTTTCGCTCTTTAGTGATATCTAATAGTTGATATTAATAATATTCCCTATGATCGAAAAAAAGAGCACAAAGTTGGCTCGAAAATGATGCTGCCTTATTGAACAAAGCGTCACAATATGACATGGGCAGATCTATTATTTTACCTCACTTGACGTTTAAAGTCATAGGCTACTGGTTAAAATCATGAAAAATATACGCTTTAAAACTAAATCTTAAATAACTCAAAAACGATTTATTTTAGGTATAGGAACATGTATAGTTAAAAAGTAACGAATTGAAAAGCCTTTTCACTAGTGAAATAAAAAAGTGGGTTTCCATTTGAAAAAAATTATTTATGATAATTTTTTAATCGCTCAATTCTATGACAGCTGCGGCCATTATTATATGACATTCGAACAATTTAATTATTGAAATAGATAGCCACATGTTTTCGCTTTATGGAACAGTGGCTGTGGTAATCACTAAATTTGACTTTTAGGCTATACACATATTTTAGACAGGCAGTTTTTTTCGTTCAGAAATTTTAAATATTTTTTTCTCAAAAACGGTTAATGTTAGATACAGAGTGCTTAATATCAAAATTTGTAAAACTTTACAGAGAATTAGAGTACATAATAAAAAATGGGGGCACCCATTTAAAATAAGAAAGTTACTGTCAACTTCCGGTATTTCCGGAAGTGCCGCCATATTGAAAATATTTTTAATCGATAGATCTCGTTGTGAAACTATGATGTGCAAAAAATCTCCGAGCTAGATGTTGTTCTCTAGAAACTTCTAATGCACGCTCAGCCCGGGACACCCTGTATATCTAATAACCGTTATAAGGCGTGTCTGAGATCAGTTCATATTGTTTACAAACATCAAATACGTTCAGAAATTAGTAAGTGAATGCGTTCCGATTTTATTAATATGTTTTTTTAACATAATTGTTGGGCAATTGAATAAAAGATAAAAGAGACAAATCGAGAAAGAAAGAGCAACTTACCGATCCTTTACAAGATAAGTGAGCACCAGATAAAGTAAAATATCTTGTTCGCCAGCGTCTAAACAACCTCCATTTTCCTTTCTTTTCCTTTAACTGGCCCTCTATTACAGGTTGAGTGTCTCCTTTAAAAATTAATATTTATTTAATTAAAATGATGGTACCTCAGAGAAAATGAAACTGTTACCTTTCAAAAAACCTACAGCTCTTTCAGGGTGGGCACACAAAAAGCAGCACCATTTTACTCCGCCTATAGTGCTGAGGACTCCGCTACCTTCCAGTTGGTCAATTGACCCTCCAATGTTAGGCGGACACACTTGAAATACATCAAAGTATCCTGCGTGTCTTAATTCGTTAAGAATAATTTCCTGATCCTAAAAATAATAGATCGTTTTATAGCACTGAAACAACTAAGTATAAAAACATAAAATAACCTCAGAAAAGCACAAGAAACCTAGAAGCAGCTCACAATAGATCGCAATGGAGAAGAATTATAAACTCAGTTAACAGCGACAACCAAAAAATAAAGAGGCAACAATGCCATGAGATTTTTGAATGTCCGGAGTGCGGTAGACAAATAACATCACGTATCGGGCTTTTCAGTCACAGAAAACCTCATGAAAGAAAACGCCTTGCGTGACCATCTTCTGATGCGTGTCAAATACTCGTCAGCGAGTAATGGCAGTATGTATGTATGTAGATATGTATTATCTTCACAGTAAACTTACTTTTGAACAAGGAAACGCGCTGGTTACCAGAGTCAAGAACGTCTTATTTTCCGCTTTCAAAATGTCCCAGCAATGTTTTAAACTTGCTACTTGAGTATCTCTGGAACTTAAAGCATGGGAATGTCTCGCCTGAAAGTATTTGTAAGAATTACCAAAAAGATCTGGATATGACAAGAAATGAACACAAAATTTAATTTCAACTTTATAAGACACTTACTTGCAATGAAATAAACATTAGATGGATCCAAACGCGCGGGTTCCTAGTGCGCATGGTAAAATAAGTTTTTGAGTATAAACAGTGCTGCCCTCTAGCCTGACACGCGAAATGTAACTTTGCCGACTTTTTCTGACGCCTCTCCTCGATTGTACATTTAGCCGGAGAAGGAATCCTCAGAGATACTTTTGCCATGTATAATTTAATTTTGTCTAAATGTTTCTCACAAAAATGCTAGAACAGATATATCCTCGATTTAAAACAAACCCTTGTCAAAAATGCCAAAGCATGCTTCACCTGTATAGTGTCTCTCATTGGATAAGGTTCAAAAACGCTCATTCTTTGATTGGCAATTGAATTTTGATTGATGAGGGTTACGCTAGTGTTATTGTTATTATTTCTTCTAGAGATCACAGTTGTAGGGCCGGTGACATTGACATTTCCTATAAATACACGGTAAGCATAGAATATTATTTTATGTCAGTGTATTATAAAGAACTCACCAAGAATCCTTGTAGGATAAAATTATACAATAGATACATTATCGAAAAAGTTAGTTTTCTAAAATAATATTATGAAGTAACAAAAAAAAAATAGCAACAACAATTATTGAAAACGACAAATTATTTTTATTAGACCCACTCATAGATTAAGTTAAATATTTTGAAAACATTAATAATTTTTTATAAAGTTAAATTTTGTTGCAAAAAATTTGGCTCGCGTGAGAGGCAATCTATGAATTCTCCCATTTATAGATCTGATATAATTCCTATATTTAAGTCTGCCCAACGAGCCAAAGAAGATTTTGACAGATGATATCCAAAAATCTTTAATCTACATGTGAATAAAATGACAGACGAAAATTGTCACTGTCAGGTACTCCCTCGTTGGACAGACTATAATTTTATCTGTAATTACTCAACTTAAGTCGCTAAAATTTCTTACAAAAAAAACTATAGTAGTTATTAAAATACAGTTAAAACTCACCACTTCCCATGGAAGAAGGACCATTGACCGCATTAAACGACGAGTTAAGCATCTCAGGCGGCGGACTGCTGGGAATTACAGAGATATTCTGCGTGACTGAACTTGTTCCCGTAGTTAAAATATTCACTTGGTTACTACTCACGATAGGACCTGTATATCCAGAACTGACCGTCACCAAATTATTGTTAGACATAGGCGGCGGCGAGAGAGTTGGTGTTATACTAGACTGTAAGAAACAAAATAATAATAATGTTATAAAGAAAATACAATACATAAATAGCCAAAACTTGTTAACTTGTCTCAAAATGATTTGTATCTTATTGGAAATGTTGTAGCAAACTTTTTGGCAAACCCTGTATAAATACTTACAATTTGATTTGTCAGAAGTGTCAATGGACCTTGGCTTAACGGTCTCTGTATGCGCGGAGGAGATATTGTAGTGACCGTCACCCCTCCACTGGCGACTCTTACATTTGAACCGGTCCATTTCATGTTGTTGTTGGCAACAATAACAGGGGAAGAAGGTAACGGATATTGTGATAATGGAACGTTATTAATTTCTCTAGAAACATAAATATAAATGTTGAAAAAAGATTTATACCAATCATAGACTTAAAATAAAATATAGACTGAGCATCTCATTCATAAATAGTTGGAACATGCGGTCAGACAATGTCTTGTTATTGTTATGTTATTGTTTTAGGTTATAACGAGTGCGACACGAGCGATAGATAGGTTGTCTCTGTCGTAACGGTCGTTCCCTGAAGACTCTGCCGAGAAACGCAACACTGTCTTTCGTTTCTCAAGTACACCTGAACTCTCCGTATCATAGCCGGGTAATTTTTTTTATTTTAATGAAGCTATAATTAAATTAAAAATATATCGTTTTTAAACTTTTTTATATTTTATTAAGATTTAGGACAGCTTTTTTAAATAAAAGTTTAGAAAAAACGTCTTAGAGTCCAAAAAGGATAAAAATAATAAAATACACGTCAGAGAAGAAATTTTATAATCGAAATTACGTAATTTTTGAAATTAATAATAAATTATTAATTTTAGTCGAACATTTACAACCCCTAATATTAATCAAAACAGGATCTATTCCACAGATATAATAGAATCGGCGACAGGGAGAGAAAAAAAAAATATGATTGTTGTAACTTTTTTTCTGGTTAAGTGATGTCTTATTATGTAAATTAGAGAAAACATAAATCTGTTCCATTAAAGCAAGGAAGGTGATAGGAAGAGGATAAAATGAAAACTACATTTATTTAACTCGGTACTGTCTTTGTTATACCGGGTGCGTTTGGTTTGGTTTGGTTTGGTTTGGTTTGATTATTGTTTTAAGCTAGTTCGGTTTTAGTTCGGTTTGGTTATTGTTTTAAGCTATTCAAGCATGTATAAACTAAAATGTGTGTACCAAAAAAATCAATAAAGATTTATTATTGTAAAACTGTATTTGTCCTGGTATGAAATGAATATGAAAAATTATTCTTGAACCTGAAACTAGCGTTAATAGATTATTACAATTATACCGGGTGCGTCCCAAAAGTGGCTCATCCCCCATAATTTTTTTATATTTTCAAATAAAAAAACAAGATTTAGTACGTTAGTATATGACATAAATTAAGATTGATTGACGCATTCAATTGTTTTTGGTCACTTCCTGTTTCACCGGAAATGACTATAACTTTTAATTTTTAAACTGCACCCTCGGTATATTTCTACTTTATTCGATAAAAAATGACACTCTGAGTAGAATGACATATCATATGTCAACTTTTGACATTTTCGCATATGGTTTAATTGTAATTGTAACACGCGGTTCATAACGACAATTTGACTCGAAATACCAAGTGTGTGGTATCAATATATTCATAAAAAAATGCTTTTTCCAAATATGCTAATGAGTCCCCTTGTTCCATTTGAAAAAATTGACATATGTATGATTAAAAATACGATTTGTACATCTTTTAACCGGCCTAGACAAGACACGAAACCTATTAGACGATCAAAACTATTTTTCCAAGGCTCCTTAATTAAAACTTAGTGTTTTTAACAACACCATGGCACCCTGGATTGAAATTTAAAATACGATTTGTTTTTAAGCGACAATGTCAAAAGTTGACATATGATATGTCATTCTATTCAGAGTGTCATTTTTTTATCGAATAAAGTAGCAATATACCGAGGGTGCCTTTAAAAATCAAAAGATGTAATCATTTCAGTGAAACAGGAAGAGACCAAAAACAATTGAATACGTCAATAAATCCTAATTTATGTCATATACCTACTAACATACAAATCTGTTTTTTTATCTGAAAAAAATAAAAAAGTTATAGGGGTGAGCCACTTTTGAAACGACCCGGTATATTAAAAAATATTGTTTCATAATATCATTTTAAAAATCTTGTATGTTATTTTAGACTCTGAAGATAATTTTAGAATAAACCGGAATATATTTGTAATAAAAACATTATTAATTATTAACAGGGTTATAATTATGATTTTGTTACAATGTAAGTAAGTAAATAATGTAATGTAAGAGAAAAAAATCAGATTTTACATTTTACTAAAATATTATCTAAATAAGCGCTTTTCTACAACAACGCCACTGACTCCTAATGGGTAAATTGAGACTTGCCTACCGGTCGAAAGTCGTTTCAAGACTTAAATGGATTATTTAAGTCAAATTTCTTGCAAATTTGGCACTGGCGAACCATATTTTATAGTTCTTGAACAGAAAAAATCAATAAAATAAACACTTAAGGACTACAAGCTAAGAAAATGCGTTAATACAGCCGGGGACATAGCGGCAACAAAGCTTTACCGCACACGTGCGACGCGTACTACAAGGTTATATACGAATGAATAGGCTCCCTCGCCTCTAATCGGTGTTGTCATATTGTAAAGAACTTATCCTTTTTAAACAGTATCCGACTTATAATTTAGTAGTATAAGGACTATTTAATACATCTATGGAATATTAAAACCTAATTTATTAAAATGTAGTATTAATATCTCAATATATGTGTATAACAAGAAAAAAAATATTGATAATATTAAAGACGTGACAACATAGGCTGGATGAGGAAAGCTCGGTCGACTGTACCCAGAAGTAAACATATGTACAAAAACGATTGTTTGATCGCGTTGAGATGTAAATAGTGTAGTCTATATTTTATTTTAAGTCTATGATACCAATCTATTAATCTAAAGTTGTTTCTTTTATCTATGAGTCTGGGTGTCATTACAGTCATCCCTCATGTGCTGTCAGTCATTCCGTGACTACAACCGTATTTAAGCATGAACTGTCAATTTTGAAATAAACCAATTAAATTGCATAAAATCAACGACGGATGACGCAAGACGGATGCATGTAAACCTACACTTAGTTACCTTGAGGTACTCAATTTTGTCATGCTTTTATGAAGACCTCCAACAGAGCCTCCTGCAACATTAAGTCTAGTCATGCTTCGATGAGTGTTGGAATTTTGTCCAGTATGTAATCTGAAAATATTTCAATATTTTAAGTTTTATTTATAGCCCGACAGTAATCTTATAAAATTAGGGTGCCAGTGCCTATACACAAAACTATCAATCTATAGGAATCTTGATAAATAATAATTCATACTCACAGAATTGTTTTTATATGGCAAGTTATCATTCACTCACCTGCCTGTACTTCTAGAATCCCCTAATTTAGCTCTTCTGGTATATCCAGTGCTTTGAGACATATTTTTCTCAGTTCCAGACATTCCTCCAACTTTCACAATTGTCACACCACCAGATGTCACTTGACTCTGAGTTAGTTGATTTGTACTAAAATAACTTATTGGTAATACAGCAGATTATCACTTCTATCATCATTGGTAGAAGCAGATTAAATAAATAAATGTATTATTTATTTAAATATTGAGAAGTCATGAGCCATCACCAAAACAGCATGATTAGTCATACAAATGTCTGTCAAAAGACAGAACAGATGATTTCAACAGACAATATACAAATTATAACGATAAACAACCGTCACTGTCAAAACTCTATAGTATAAAAGACTATACACACCATTAGGAGCGAGTATAAAGTGTATTCAACCATCATTCAACGTTACATCATACACTATCATACTCTTACTTTCTGATAATTTTTCCTGACGTCATTTTGTAAATATACGCACATTATTTCTATTATTTGTCACTTTATGTTTGTGGTTATGATCCTAGTGATAGACATCGAGCAGTGTCAAAGATTAAAATTGACTGCACTGTCAAACAAAATTAATTCAAATCCGTTTGTTACTAAAATATTTATGAATAAAACTGATATGTGTGCATCAGGTATGCCCCGAAAACGGATATTAGATGTATAATGATGACGTAACGTTGAAGGGTCATTGTATAGACTACAGGATTGTTAGGTTAGGTTAATACCTAGTGTGATGTCTTTGTCTAACTCCGGCCAGGACTTTTTCCGTAAATAATATTGGATAGGAACTGCACAATAAAGTAGCTTCTCTTAATAAAGCATTCTGAGATCCTCTATCTGCTTTTGGAAGATATTCCAAAACAAAATTTAAAGCATCTTGAGCCCTATCCTATAAAATATAGCCTAGTTACAATAATAGCATATATATAAGGTGTTTATTCTATTCTGTAAGTATTTTAAAGTCTGTCCAAAGAGGCAGAGAAGATCCCGACAGACGATACCTGAAAAATGACAGAAAATACCATGTATGAATTAAAATGACAACACAACTGTCACTGTCAGGGATTCTCTTTTTGTACAGACTTTAGTAAAAAAAAATTAAATATTTAGTATTTTTAAAAGACAATATTAATATAAAAAATTAACATTTCAAAAGTCTCATTGTATTTTTAATAATTTACAACTTAAATTTTTTACCTTGCTCAGTTTTCCAATAGCCCCCATAACTTGAGCTGCCAAACAAACAGTTTGCGGATGTCTTTGGGCTGCCTGTTTCATCGAAACAACATGATCTGCCAATAAAGCAGGTTGTTTTTCAGCCATATGTAAAAATATCTGCAGGGTTGGAGCAGCAGTAACTGAACTAGATAAGTACTCACATAACTGTGGTACGCTGGCTTCCAGGAGCTAAAATTATTTCATTTAATGCCTTGTAGGTAATAAATTAAAATGAAAACCACATACTGATGGTTTATCTTTAGCCATTAATGAGAATAAATTTAACAAGGCCAACTTTTCCTGGTTGTCACAGTGGGGTAAGAGTGAAACCAAAGCCATTGCATGACCTTGGAATGGATCAGGAGAAACTTCATAAATGTTGGGCAAAACACGGCATAACGGATAGTTGCCTAAAATATACAATATGCAAATATTTTAAAGGTTTAAGAAAATATAAATATACCTGAGATAATTGAATCCATAATAGGTTGTACATGAGGTGTAAGTAAGCTTGCATGTTCCATTGCTGCTAGTGATAAATAAGATGCCATATTTCGAGACAGTTCCTTATTGCCTTTATGTAAGAATTTGACCGCAACAGGTAGTGCTCTTTGCATAACAGATTTCTTGCTGTAATTCTAAAATGGAAATATTGAATTATAATTGAATGATTTATGTTTATAGACAAACAAATAGACATACAGCTCAATTTATTTTGTTTACCTTAAATATACAAGAAATAATATCACTTGAGATCTTAGCATGTGGAGGATCTTCATCTCTAATAGATACCTGTAAATTGTGATGCAAACATGATTCTAAAAGGTTTACCAGGGCATCACAATGCTGCTCGATACTGCCTGTTTCTCGAATGCATGATGTTACCCTAAAAAATATCTAGGTTATAGTTCATGATTTTAAAATATTATTAATAGAGTAGGTATATTCTTTTCAAACCTGGTTATACAGATTTCTACGACACTTTGATCATTATCATTGTTAACATAGTCTGGTAAGGAGGCCAAACCTGTAATTTCTTTAATCTAAAAAAAAATCAGAAAATTTAGCATAATAGTATATCGAGTGTGTAAAAAAGTGGAAATGCTATACATTTTTACGCTTAACCAATTTAATTGGTGAGAAATATATTAAACAACTTACCACATTAGTAAGATCATTAACAATCACAGAATCTGGTACAGAAAACAAATCTCCAGCTCTAGACAAGTCTCTGTTTTTCAGTACTTGCATAAATAATTCGTGCATCTTTCTATTAACTTTTTCCTCATTCATTTTCCCTACAATTTATAAGTTCTACAATTTTTTTCCAAAAACAAATATGTAAACACATACATTGTCACTAATCATTGTACTATCCATAGGCACTCATTGATCACATCTGTTTTCAAAATAAACTCGAATCTTTAAATGCTGTGGACTTTTTCATGATCTCTTGAATTCCTAGGATACTTTAGATCATTGAAAATAACGGTTTGGCACTAGTTTTTACCCAATCACATGATTTTTAGGTCGTTTTAACAGTAACTTGACGGTCGTTGACTTTCCAACTTCTTTAATCCTGAAATTGCGATGCCGGTGAAAGTGAAGTGGCATCGTCGCAATATGGTTTAAACAGTGTTGCCAGCTCGATGAAAATATCCTTTTCTTTTTCGTCTTACCCTTGATTATAGATGATATAGATAGACAATGATCGGATGCTTTGGGGCTCTGTTCACCAGGTGGCGAGGGCTCCTGAGAAGTTTTCGTATTCCCCTACGCTACAATCTCGAATTTTTAGGAAAAGTGGGATTTCTCACTCTCTAATTGGTCGATTACTAGAGTTTCCTTATTAGGAATGATTTTACTTGCCGTTAGTTAGGGTCATGTTAGAGTCTTTCTTAAAAACAATGCGTATCTAAAAAAAATTCTGGGCTGAATATTTAAATCAGAGTAATGACAAAATTCCCAACATTCCATTTATTACCAAAAAGAATAATTCGACTGCATAATTAAGAAAATAGAGACGATAAACAATCGAACAAATTTTGAACGAAAAAGGAGCGCGCGCAAACTGTTGTTGATGAAAGATGAAACCTAACCTCACGCGATACTTCAAAACAATCAAAATCTGAAAATAAAAGGGAAATTCAGAAATTCCTAGGCCAATATTGATTTTCCAGGCATATATTGCTTTCAGAACTATTGTGGAACTACCGAAAATAATAGGACTGGTAAGTACTGTAATCTACTGTAGCAAAAATTATAACATTTCTTCGATATAAATCTATGTAGGTATGTTTTTAATCGTATTTATCGTCTTTTAATATCAATTACGTTCTGTTTTAGGGTTAACACGATTGCCATTGTCATAGAATTAGTGACCTAACAGTTAAATTAGTGCATATAATATCAAAATATATTGCTAGAAGCAGCAAGCTAGAAAATATACCAATCAGTCAACTATGAATGATTTCAAGCTGGACATGCTGATTGAATCCACTAGATGCCCCAAAAATTAGGACCACAAACCCGGATGTTCCTAAAAAGTTGCTAGTATTATGCATACAAGTGTATTAAAAGAGGATGGGGTTACGTGATACGTAACAATAGATACCAATTCCTTCAGTTGATCATCGAAGGAAAGATTAAGGGATAGAGAGGATGTCATGGCTTGGTAACATCAGAGAGTGGATGGGACTCAAGACAATGGAAGATCTACTCCATGCAATATTAAATAAAAAAGTGGACTAATGTGCTCATGCACATCCATTAGTGGATTTGCAGCCGAAGTCTTAAGAGACTGACAGCTAACATTAAATAGTGATTTGACAGTGGTTATCAGTGCAAAAAATGTGATATGTAATTGTTTTCTAGTGATAAATTAATGATTAACTAGAAACTTGGTTTGTGTTGGAACAAAGGAAGCCTTATTTTTTATTATGATAAGTTAAAGAAGCGGGTTTTTGTTCTACAAAGATATAAGGTATGCTTGATATACACAATTGGTTAGGAAAAAAAAATAAAATTAAATAATAAAACTACATACCTAGTCTTATTGAAAATGTTTTCTTTGTAAGTTTAAACTCATTCTAAATCCAAGAGAAGATACCGATATCTAAATTCGACTAAATTTTACTTGATTTAAACACATAAATATAATACCTACGTACGTACTAATACTTACTACAACAAGTTTATGAACCAAATTGATGGAGTGATTTTAGTATTTCAATTTGTTCAATTTTTTCTGTTTGTCTTAGTCTCTTGAAAAAATATTTTTAATGAAAAATAATTTCACAATGAACATCACAAAGAAAAAATATACATACATACATATATCGCAACCCTAGTGAATAAAAAGAATTTTAAACCTCCTAAAGTTTTATAAAAAAAAATACAGTGTATCTACACAAGAAATTACCATTTTTTATAAGAGTATTAAGAACAGAAGATAAATATTAGCAATTTTGGCGGCTTATTCTTAATTGTAAACTTCAGAATAAATCTTTATTAATTAATAAATGTGTTTAAAATATATTATAAATTCTTACAAACAAACAACTTACGGGTTCATACACTAACACTAACATTATGATCTTTAGTTCATACAAAAATCCCATAGAAAAAAGTACTTGCAGTTTATCCCCAATTTTCCAGTCATTCTTCCTTTCCCTATAAACCTTATTGAATAACATATATAAACATTATCGAAGTATCTAATATACAGTATATCCCTGGATTGTCTTTACAGAAGCAGTTTTTTATTAACATTTAAAAAAAATGCATTTTTCATAAAAAGATTTTGCTTGTCTAAATGGTTAATCCCGTTTATTCTTTGTCAAATTTCCACACTGTTTTAGAGAAAACTTGGGGGACATACTGTAGGCAAATTTTCCAAATTGTTTTCTTTTGTTTATATAGATAAATATGGTCTTTTGTTCATATTTACAATAAAAATACCATTCAAAATTAAGAAAAAATATTTTTTTCCATTGATTACACTTATTAAAATATGTAGAAAAATTCTTCAGGAAAACTAAAACTATTTTCAATGCGTATAATTAAATAATTCTTATATTTTATATTTCTAATACAGATCTAATTCAATTAATACCTTGTATCCTTGTCTTGTATTCATATACAGGGATTAATAGATATAAAATAATCTTCAATATTGAAAAAAAAATTCTGTACAATTTAATTTCATTTTATTGAAAACATTCTTTCTTGTGCATCTGTTTGGAAGTTAGCTCAAAATTTTATTTAAAGATATAATAATATTAAAATAAAAATTTCTCTGTCAAAAATTGCTTCTTTATATATTTTTTGCATGGAAATAAAATTTGTGCCCGACCAAGGTTAAATCAAGGTTAAAAACTCGGAACTCGGATTCAGAAAAGAAAGTTAAAAATATACTGAAATATACTATTAAACCTAGATCCGCCCATCTCCCACCATTTTAATTGAGGGGTAAAATTCTTGGCGATTTTCATTCATGTTTAAGGTTCAAAAAAAGGCCGCATGGTGGCAGCAGCTCACAATACCCCTCATTGTCAGACTATATTATATATAGACAAGGGTCTTACTTTTGTTAAAATTATGGAATAATCTAATTTGCAACACTTTTATTTGGCGGATATTTAAACATTAATAGCATTATTTAGTCATTGCGATAGTTTTAAAATACGCCTTTTTATGACAAAAATATATTCAGGGCATTGTTTACATGATTATTTACCAATTTCACAATAAATAAATAAAACAAAAATATAACAAAAAATCACTTTATAATATATATTTTAGTGATTACTGATATTCTTAATTAGGTTTTTAACAAATATGTTTTAAATTACATAAAATGATTGTTTATAGTTAGAAAACGAATATCCCTTTTAGCTTCTTTGTGATAATAGATCTTGCTTAATGGTTTCTAGTTCCTTAATTCTTAATTTGGTAGCGTTTAGTCTTTCTACTAAGTCGTCGCACATTGGTCTCGAAACTTTGGATACTATATGGCCCAAAGCCAGCGTCTTGAATGCCTCATTATGCAAACGAGCAATTGGATCTTTTGTTTCGCTATCTTTTACGCTATGACTTTCCACTTCTTCTTGTATTAGAATTTTGGGTAAATTGGCAATACCTATAAAACCTCATTGCATAAAAAAGTCTTTGGAATGGTATTATCAACTTTTACCTTCTAAGTTATATAGGTGTAATGGTGTGTTTTCAATTATTAATGGTACTTCACGTCTTTCCAATTCTGAACCACCTGGCTCTTGATATGCCTGAAAGCAAGTCAACTGAACCTGATTGCTTCTTACTCTAGGATCGTTTTGGTAGACAGAAAATATTAAACCAACAAACAAAGAATCCATCATTTGGTATGTTGCTTGAGTTCTTATATCTAAAACAATCTTCGTGAAAGAAACTATAAACTTTATAGACATGTTTGCAACGTACCTACATGGCTAGGCCAAACTGTAATGTGAGGATGCGAATGATACCATCCTACTACTCTCATAGGCCTTTTTAACTCTGACGCTAATTGCTCTGCATGCATGGAAGCACCACACAATTGTTCAGGAGATATTTCAACTCGATCAGGTTGTTTATCGCTTCGATGGAGAATCATGCAGGCTGATATATTAGATATACATTTTACTTCGTCAATCTTCAATAGATACCAATAATATTTTATGTTATATACAAGGTCAATCTTACTTCTCCTATAAGCAGGCCCATAATTTCTTGTTTTTCAGTTGTAAGGGCATGCTGAATGCAGATAGCGTAAACATCAGATGAAAGTATCACCTTCTGTAGATATTTCTCTGGGACCATTTTAAATGTAAAACAGTTTTACTTTTAGAGAGTACTAGAACAGTATAAAACAAACATATACAACAGGAGTTATTAAGTATTAATCTATTCTGTAATCCTGATAAACATTGATAATAAACATAAGTCAAGTTAAAAAATCAATTTATGCACTTTAATTACAAACTTTTGAAAAGTTTTATTAGGTTTTAATAACTGATAGATATATAAACAAGGCTGATAGTAATCTTTCCTAATAAGCAACAATTTTCCTCCCCAATTACTTACTTAGTAATAGAGAATCATAGATAATAGAGGTACCTAATTTTACAGATTTGCAACAATTATACAAATTCAAATTCAAATTACTAAAAAGAGATATTAAACAATATTAAAAACAATAACATGTCATAATAACCACAAAAATTAAAATGATGGAATCTTGTCACCATAGATTATAGATTAAGGTCACTCGTCAATTTTGATTTTGAATTTTGACAGATTCATATACACTGTGTGCAGAAAATATACTACTGTGATCAAAAGGTATTAAATTAATTGATTCATTAATCATTTTCGTAACGTTTTGCCAATTCTTCGAAAATCCACACTGCATGATTAAGTATACCTATAACAACACTCCATGGTGACTCATGGTTAAATTAAAATATTAAAATTTATAAATACCAATCGATTAAGGAGATTATTTTAAATTATCCCAAATAATAACAATATGGCATTAATTAATGAAAAATTGTACAAGGATCACTAAAAATATTCCCCAGTCATCGCCATTTATGGCTATGGCAACGTCGACTTTTATACCGTATAATCAAGGCGTATAATATATTATGCCGTATATTTTTCTGATGACACCTTGATCACACTGTATCTAGTTGCTATGGTAATTTTTAAGTTTACATACATACACATTTTTTAATTTACCCAAGAAGAAAAAACCTTGCGATGTCAGATTTATCCGTATACGGAATTTATTTTAACGAAATAGATAAAATATGTATATTAGAACCTGAAGCACATAAACAAACCAGCGATTTGAAGGAACAATGTAATATTTATATTGAAAGTATGTTTCTAGAAACTCTTTAACTTAACATTAATTTAACTATTTTCAAGAAATTGACGAATTTGAGAATATCGCCAAAAGAATTATAGTAATGGTTGAAGAGTTAAGTACAAAAATTGAGTCTCAGAAAATTCAAGCTATTGGTGCAAGAAATATGCTTCAGGGAATGGAGAAACTTAAAGAAAATAATCAGCAGCAACTTCAGGTTTCTAAAATGCTTCAAAGTTTAGAAAATATAGTTAAAACAGTAAGTTTTAATTTAATAATTATAAACATTCTCTCTTGTTTCAGGCTGTAATTAATGAATTTTCAATAGAATTGGAAAGATTAAAAATTCAGCTTCATTCCCTTCAAAAAATTGAGATGGAACAAAATGAAATAATAACACAACTCACGAGATATTAAAAACTTACTCAATACTTTTATTTTAAGTGTACAACAAATAATACAATGATAAATTAAACTAACCAGAAATTATTTCTATACAAAAACCGCAACTCCTACAACTTAATATTAAAAAAAATAGGTATAGAATGTCGCCATAATTCATGTTTATATTGGTACTTGATTTTACAAGCATAAAAAAATAATATAAATTAAGTGCCATTATAGGAATATAATTATTCTGTGCATTGGAATATAATATTTTATAAAATCATATACTGGGTGAAAAGAAATGTTGTACAACTGGCAAATTGTTCAGTGATAAACTGTTATGACTTATGATGAGAATAATCAGATGTCCAAACGATTTTGTAATCACCCAGTATATCATATAAAGTAATATACATGATAAATGTATATTTAAAACCAGTTACTAAAATGCGGTTACAGTTTTGTGTCATACTGAAAATGTAGTATTTTTAAATAAGAATCTTTAAACATATGTTTACCATATTATGGTACTCAGCATAAATACGTTATATTTTGCTTGATGTTTATTGAATAAATCCCGAACTTATTAAATTGAAACAGAAGGCACCTTCATCATGGCGTGTTTTTACATTTAAAAAGAAATACTAGTTACAAAATAACGGAATAACCAATCCAGAAATTTTAAATCAATTATAATTTTCAGATCTTAAGATGGAACTAAGAAATATTCAGTTAATAATGAACCTACACAAAACAATAAAACATAAAATTACATAATTTAAATAAATAAAAGCCCAAATAAGTTCTTAATTAATTAGAGAAAATTCAAATATTTTTTACTTAGAAGAGATACTGAAAAAATATGAGCAGCAATATTTTATAAGTGCAATTCAAAGTTCCATAAACATTAATAAAAGTTTGAAAACGACAATAAAGTGGACTTGAGAGTAATTTTAAATTATAGATGTATTTTTTAGAAACACCATACGGTCGAAAAAAAATGGGCGTTAGAATTGGCTTGGAATGAAGATTATCGTTATTAGTCCCGTCGCCATTTCCAAGCAAACCTAACGCCGTTTTCTTCAATCGTACGGTATTTCGTTCCTAAGGAATCCTGAAATATAAAAAGAGGTGTAAAGTCTCTTGAATTAAAAAGTTAATTTTTATATGGAATTATGACTGAAAACCTGTAAAATAAGAAACATAAAAAATTGGTTCAGATGAAAATAAAGTTGTAAAAAAAGTTATATTCTTGAATTAGCACTTAAATGTTCATACATATAACTAAACTCGTATATTTCGATGGCTACACGTGGTCTGTTCACAGTCTCGAGATATAAATTGGCCAACCCTTTGTATAAAAACAAACATTTCTTGTACAAATTTATTATCCTAATTTATTGACTCATGATGACGATTTCCCTTCTTCTGCAGCGTTGTCGGTTTTAGCCCTTTTCGTTTCAGAATCTTTCTTTTCTGGGTCCGGGCTCGCCACTCTCTTCTTCATGTTAGGCTTGAACTTAACAATAATGGCGGTCATATTATCACAGCCGGTTCCATCGCCCATAGTGTCGGGAGCCAAACAATGATCAAACATCTATAATTTTACAAGAAAAAAAAATTAATATACTAATCACAAGTGGTTGTCTGTCTAGGCTTGGTGCATTTCAACCGATGTTTTAAAATTCCGACAGCAGCGCTCAGTACGGCAGAAATCAAAACTGCCAAGCTCGTGAACCGGCAAATATTGAGGCTGTGTTAAAATCACAAATTTTTAATCAAGGTGAAAAATGTTGCATCTAGGGTTGGAACCTTATATTTCACAATTAGTTACTCATTTTACTTTTATTTTGCCATTACATTTTTAGAAATAAATATACCGGGTGTTTCTCAAAAGTGGTTCACTTCTATAACTTTTTTAATTTTTTAGATAAAAAACGAGATTTGGTATGTTAGTATAGGACATAAATCAGGATTGATCGACGTTTTCATTTAAAACAACTTTTGATTTAAATGGTACCCTCGGTATTTTTTTACCGTATATGATAGAAAATGACATTCTAAATAGAATTATATATTATATGTCAACTTTTGCCATTTTCAATTTAAAAATGGCCATAAATAAACGTAACGACAATTTTACTCCAAATACCCAGTATGTGGTACCAAATTATTCGTAAAAAATGCTTTTTCCAAATATCCTGAGCCAGCCTCGTACCATTTGAAAAATTTGAGTTATCATTAAAAATACGATTTGGGCATCTTTTAAGCGGTCATGAAAGGATACGAAAAAAATTACACAATCAAATATATGTTTCCAAAGTTCTTTGATTACAAAGTAATAGTTTTAACTCAGTCTTGGCACTCTAGATTGAAATTTAAAATGCTATTTTTATTTAATTGGAATTGTCTAAAATTGACGTATGGTATGTCATTCTATTCAGAATGTCATTTTCTATCACAAATACAGTAAAAAAGTACTTAGGATACAATCTAAAAATACAAAGTTGTAGTCATTTCCGGTGAAACAGGAAGCGACCGAAGGTAATTGAATACGTCAATCAATCCCGATTTATGTCATATACTAACAAACCAAATTTTGTTGTATTATCTGAAAAAATAAAAAAGTAAAAAAGTGAGCCCCTTTTGAGAAACACCTGGTAGAATCGGCTGGAAATGAATACTGGTCTTAAAAATACACTATAACGAATAATCTACTAAAAGACCCCTGTGACCCTCCGCCTGCTAAATATTGATTCTTCAACGACAAAAGTTCTTAAACTGTTTACCAGTTAATTTATTTAATAAAATGCTTGCACTCGAAATCCGGGCACTGGAAAAAAAAGCGACTACCTAAACGCATCCTAGATCTATAGAGCAAACTGGTTGTCGCATTCTTCCCCGCACCTCAGTCCTCGGGACCGATGCGATGGGCTGTGCCCCGTATAGGCTGCTACGAGTATATACTGTGAATTATATATGTTCGCGAACGTTTTGTTCGAGTAGCTTGGACGCGGCTTAAGATAAATATCAATATTATAAAAATTGTACATACCTCTTCACATACACTGGAGATTTTTTCTGGATTCGCATCTAACCGCGGCTTGACAAATTCGACAACCTCCTGACTGGACATAAAGTTCCATATTCCATCACATGCCAACACCATGAATTCATCCTCGCTAGGATTTATTGTCAACTTCTTAATATCCGGTAATGCTGAATAAGGACAAAAGTTATAAGTAACGAAAAAATCATATATAACTACAACAATTTGTAATTTTTTTCCATTATCATTTCTTTTTGAAGTTATTTTTCGAGATGACAAGCCAGCTTTGGTGATTATTACATACAGGGTGGCCCATCGAAAACGTTCCGCAAGGTATAACGGCCAGGGTAATTTTTTTTTCAGAAAATTCAAAAACACGTCAATTTTGTTTGTGAGGGGAACAACTTTTGCCCCAAAAATTATTGCAAAATCTTCAACCCTCTAAGCGGGGGTCTCATCCCCCAATTTTTTTCAAATGGAAAGGGGGTTCAAGGGGTACCGCAATGAAAAGAGCTTTCTATTCTCTATACTTTCCGGCTTCGTTTTTGAAAATCGGTCGAGTTATTGAGAAAATATGAAGGATTAAAATTTGAAAAGTTTATTTAAACATTTATCAGAGTAAATGATAAGGATAAATTCCTTCGACCAATATGAGTTTTTTTCTTATTATTTCTAGATGTTTACGCATTTTTTCACTTGCCAGAAGGTTGAACGATCAGGTGCGGTAGTTGCTAGATAGCTGTTCTGAATAAAAAGAGGCAGAGGAAAAATCCTGTAGTAAATGAAGCTATGGAGGCATTCGTATTGGGCCAAGTTGCGATGGATAGTACGCTGAGTACAAGAAAATTAGCCAATGAGACCGGCGTGAATCGTACAATGTCCAAAGGATATTAAAAAAACACAAGTTCCACCCATGATACAAAGAATACAAGGTATGATATTGCGCAGGTTGGTTACTACGTCACAGGTGATAAACGGTACCATTGGTCGGCAAGCTCCGCGCGCCAATTTCAAATTGTCAAACAGATGACACAATAAACGCGAAAATAATTTTTCAAATGTCAAGCTCGATAATTTGACATAACTTTTGGGGTTATGTCCTGATTCTTCCCTATTTTAGGTCTTTTTTTTATTAGTGGCAATTGAACAATATGGATATTTTTCTGTATGGCGTATGACGTCACAGGTGGTATGCGCAAACTTAACGAAATTGGAGCCGCTATCGATCATACCTTGTTTTCTTTGTACCATGAGTTCCACCCGTACAAAATTCAGTTGGTACAAGAACTCAACGAAGAAAATTTTGATCGTCGCTTGCAATTTTGTGAAACTATGAGGAGTGAACGAGTGGCGAATGATAATAATTTCCTATTTAATGTGGGTTTTTCGGACGAGTGTACTTTCTTTTTGAACTATGTAGTTAATCGGCACAACTGTCGGTACTGGGCTGAGGACAACCCCTAGGTTTTTCACACACAAAACCTTCAGAAATTGAACGTGAGGGCTGGTATTTTTGAAAATTCTATTGCGGGTCAGTTTAACGATATTGAGAAGAACTTCAACACACAAGTCACAGAACAGCTATCTAGCAACTACCGCACCTGATCGTTCAACCTTCTGGCAAGTGAAAAAATGCGTAAACATCTAGAAATAATAAGAAAAAAACTCATATTGGTCGAAGGAATTTATCCTTATCATTTACTCTGATAAATGTTTAAATAAACTTTTCAAATTTTAATCCTTCATATTTTCTCAATAACTCGACCGATTTTCAAAAACGAGACGGGGAAATATAGAGAATAGAAAGCTCTTTTCATTGCGGTGCCACTTGACCCCCCTTCCCATTTGAAAAAAGTTGGGGAATGACACCCCCGCTCAAAGGGTTGAAGATTTTGCGATCATTTTTGGGGCAAAAGTTGTCCCCCTCACAAACAAAATTGACGTATTTTTGGATTTTTTGAAAAAAGAATACCCTAGCCGTTATGTAATGCGGAACATTTTCGATGGGCCACCCTGTATATACTATATACTACTATGAACTGCCCATCATGTTCGACGTTTGGGAAATGCTTGGAGGGAGGGTTAGAGGTCGCGAAGCGATACCAGCTTCATTAAATGAACTGTGCTTGGTTCTTAAAGAAAAATGGGAAAGCATAACGCAATATTATATATTATGCAGCCTCAATAGAAAACAACGGCCTACGGTCGAGTCGGCCTCCAAACACGTAAACGTTTACGTACGCATGCGCATTTCTTATATTTTTTATTTTTTATCACGTAAAAGATTCTTTACGTCTACTTATACATGCCAGCAGTGGCCGACTCGACCGTATGCCGTTGTTCTCTAATGACAGTATGAACGAACGTATACAGGCAGTTACGGCAGCCAAGGGAAGTGTCACAAAGTATTAGGTTATATTTTTTTTTTCTTTCTTTAAAAACAACCCCTCGATTAACCCTATATAATATGTCAAATATTAAAGTTTACTCAAAACTTAGTTTACGAATTAAAGTTGATACAATCATATACAGTTTGCTAAAAAAATCATGAAAATAGGGCTAAAAATAACAAAAATATAACACTTTAAATTTGATTTGATTGAAATTTCTTCGTTGCGTTTTTTTTGCATCTGAGTCTATATAATACCTGTAATCATCTGTTCTTTGTCACTCAAATCCTTGTTCTGTTTGTAGGCATGATCCCCTATGGCTCTGCTCAAATTCAGGCCTCCGTTCACTCTTCCTTCGACGGTCACCTCACCTCCTGCATTAAGGATTCTAGTTTTTTCGGGTTCGTCTTCAGGTTTGTGATCAAAGGACATTTCAACGGCATTGCCTGTAAATATCATTGTATTTTTAAGTCAAGATTAATATTTAATAAGGTAAAAATAACATATACCGTTTCGACAAATAATACACCTTGAGTCTCCAGCATTGGCCACATATAACTCTGTTCCGTGTACTATTGCCACGACTGCTGTACATCCACTATCGGACCCTGGCTCTTCTTTCATATTTCTGGCAAATTCTAGAGTGTGCTAAATAAAAGATGTTAACAAAATAGGTTGATGAGATAACATAATAAGACCAACCTCAGATTCTTCATCAAGTTCTTCATCCTCCTCCTCCTCCTCTACCTCTTCTTCTTCACCTTCTTCACTGGTTTCCCCCTCTGAGCCATCTTCTATTGCCACATTTACATCGTCGTCATCATCGGAACTTTCTGCTCAAACATTATCAAATGACAAATATGTATGTATATCGAATTTTACATTATTAATGGCACAGAACTTACCAGCAGGTTCAACGAAGGTCTTATCTTCCTCATCTTCGCTTTCATCTTCACTATCTTCTTGATAGTCTAGCAACTTTTTATACAATTGTGATGCGCTTCTTTTTGGCCTAGTGTTTATAGGAGATTTTCCTTTTTTTAATATCGCTTTCCCTAAAATAATATATGTAGTCTAAAAACTTCTCTTCTAATTTCAAACTTGTAACTTCTAATAAACACTAGAATAGATCCAAGATTAACCAGTTTAAATATTAGCATGACATTAATGAACACCCTGTATAATGATATACATTGTATACTTAAAGTTAGTACTTTTTGTAATAATTCACTTTAGTTAGAAAAATGTTAGATTTCGATACGGTAAAAAATTGTCAATATTGCAATTGTTGCTGTAGTTCAAGTACTCAAACTGTAAAGATATTTGAGTTAGATGCTACAAGGAGTTCAAAAATAAACACATATATGAATTTTGACTATTTAAAATTAAATATCAATTTTTTAAATGGCACATTTTTAACTTTGCCTCTATTTGTTTTATTTCCACATAAAACAATGTATAAGAAACATGTTAGGAAAAATATAACTTAAAACGCGAAGAAACAAGAAAAAAGAAAGGTTAAGTAGATGAAATGGTCTTGAAACCGTGATTCTTCAAGCCTGTTCACACTTTTGTCAACTCGACAGAATCTCAATGTTGTCTATTACCTTTTCCCTTATTAGGAGTACCTTCTGGAGTGTCTTTGTTTTCTTTATCGCCCTTTTCTATATCTCCATTATGAACAGTTCCTTCCAATTCTTCCACTTTGCTTGGTGTTTCACTTTTTACCTCTTCAACTACAATTTTAGGGACAGGACCATTTGGTGATACATCACCTTTAGAAGTTTCGATATCTAAATAGAAAACAATATATTATAAAATATAAAAATAAAAAATCAAAATATGTATATACCTTTTTTATCTTCACCATTCATTATATCAATAGATATACTATTTTCAGATGAAGTATGATTTTCAGTATCTTTCTTTACTTCTTCCTTCACTTCACTACTAATATCATCTTTTGAGCCACCTGGTTCATCATCAACGCTTGATCCAGAAGGTAATGATGATAACTTAAAGGGTGATAAAATAAATATCTTTCATGTTTAATATTTAAATATTATTAAATTCGGAGAATTCTTCTAATAATAACTCAAAACAGTTTATTTTGTGCTTACAGATTTATCTCTTTTAGGAGTAATCACTGGCGATCTAGGTAATTTTTCTCCCTTTTTAAGAGCTTTCAATGTAGGATTGACTAAGTTTGTATACTTTTCTATTACTTTTTCAATAGGCATAGAAGCTTCTTCATATAAATTATTAACATTTTCTTCATCTGATTCTTCAACATGTCTATCAGTAGCAATATCCTATAAAATTAATTATTAATCAACTTATTATTAAATATATTTTAGGTACTATACAAATTTAATTTATCATGTAACCTGTTAATCTTACTTTCAAAATTTTTATAATTTCAGGTTTTGTAATTGAAGCATCAAATCCTAAAAATCCATCAATTAAGGCTTGCTCGATATCACCTCTCTTATATGCATCAGTATTTTTAATAAAATTTGGCAGTTCCTGGGAACAATACTGTGCCACTTCATGACCTCCGTGACCATCATAAACAGCAAAATATGAAATTTTTTCATCAAAGTTTAAAATAGCATTATGTCCATCCTACAAATGTTACTGGTACCAAATAATATTCAAAATATATACGAAACATTTATATGATATGAAACTATTCAAATTGTTACTCAAATTTACATATGCAACAGGTGTATATTACTGAAATTATTATTAGCAATTTCTTATTCTTCATCTTGTAACTCGGAATAAAAATAAAACTGCTACAAGCAATTTACAAAGAAATTAAGAAGTACTGAAAAATATGTAAATTTAGATTAATATGAGAGGCAAGAAAATAGTTGAATCATTAATTTACAAATATACGTATATAGGTAGCAATAAAGAAGTTAAAGGTGAAGGAATCGCAACCTAAATGAAATATAATTATAGAAAAATGGGTAAGAATAAAACAGTGTTTTCTTGATATTCTTACCTCTTGGCTTTCGCGCCAACCTTGCATGGAGCTTGCTCCATAGGCCAATTTATCATTTTCTTCATCGACAGATATCTTTTCCGTTATTGGTTCGGATAAATATGAACCCATTTCGACAATTTCTTGTGATTTTTCCTTGTAAAAGTTCTAAAAAATAAAAGAAAAACCGGCGCGTTCTTTTCTTCACACGCTCATGATTTGATGATCGCTGCCAAAAAGTAATTATGGTATTTGCCGCCTTGACGTTAACGGCGCTGTTTAAAAATAACCTTTAAAAACGAAAATTTTTAGCGTGGATATGATTTTAACTCTTTTTTTAACTATATAATTTCGTTAAAAGTTTGAAAAGAAGCTATTTTCCAACAATATGAGAGGTGGATCTTTTACAGAAAACAGAAATAGTAGAAGTACTGATTTTTAAAGTTTAACATATAAAATAAAAATATGATAGTCATATTTTAATCAGAGAAGAACAAACGTTTGTTCTTCTCTGTTTTAATCATAGATAATTTTTAGTTTCGACACAGAACAGATACAAATTTTTCTTCTTCAAAAAAAAATTGTATCTGTTCTGTGGTTTCGAACTTATAAATGATATATGACAGTATCGTTGTAGTCGGTTCAGAGATATATGATAACACAAGGATATATGATCTTCAGAAAGTTCAAAAGTTCTCTTAAATCATATATAAAATATAACATATATCTGTAAGTAAAAAATATGATCAAGGATTTAAAAAAAATCTATGATCTACTGTAGCTGTCAAAAATGTATTCTTAATTTTCAAAAATCAAAATAGAAACTTGAAAAAAAAAACATTTATAATAATTTTCTGCCTTTTCCACAATTTACCCAGATTTACATAAATAATACGGGCAGCCATACGAAGTGCCAATTTTTAGATTTTTAATTTATATGTTGAAAACGTTGAAGTGGATGGTTTTTGATATTAATTTCCTCATTAATTTCAAAGGTCAATTGTTTACTCGGATCCTTGAAGAATTACTCAAATTTAACATTTTTTATATCTAGTACCTAAATATCGCTAGTGTGTATTAGCAGAATTTAGATATTTTACTTTTTATATATTTAAATTACAATTTATAATGGCTCTTTCAAAACCAATAATGAAGGCGTTAAGTTTTTATTTGTCTCAGATGTATGAACATCCATTACGAACTAGTGCATTAACATGGTAAGCATATAAATAAGTTTTGATCAGTATTGATTTTCCAATACTCTTTTTAGTTCTGTTATTGCTCTAGATGGTAATGCGACTTATCAAAGATTAGCAGGTATTAAACCTTTCGATCTGCGTAGCGTTTTAGCCTTTGGAGTATTTGGGTAAGTTTTATCTTTCAGGTAATATGAAAATATCACTAGTTTAAGTAGGTACCTATGTAGGTATATTAATATTGCCTTTCTTCTAGACTTTTATTTTCTGGACCGGCTCAGCACTATTTTTACAGTTTCTTAGAAAGAGCAGTACCAGATGAAGCATCATTTACTATTCTAAAAAAATTGTTTTTGGAGCGCGTTATATTTTTCCCCTTATGCCAAGTAATTGTTTAAATTTGTAGCAATAAATAATATTAATTGTTCTGTATTTCAGGGGTTTGCTTTATATGCAATATCAAGACTTGAAGGCAAAAGTCATGATCAGGCTGTAGAAGAACTAAAAGCTTTGTTTAACAAGCTAGTAATTGGCAGTTGGAAACATCTCACAATATTACAGTTTTTAAATGTTGCTTTTGTTCCTTCAGTGGTAACTAACTATTATACATAACTATTTATTATATAAGTTCTATTAATTTTTGTAGTTCAGGATATTTATTCAGCATTTTATTTCATACTTTTGGACAATTTATTTTTCACATGCAAGAAAAGAATATCAGAAATCGCAGAAAAAGCAATAAAAAGGCATAGGGATATTCGTTTGGACAATAAATATTTTATATTAATTAGTATTCTAAAAATAATTGGTAAGTTTTGAAACATTCCGGGAATATTGTGGTGTAATATTTATTAGAATTTAAGAAAACTAATAATAAATGTTTTTATATGTTTGATATAAAATTGTATTTTTCATATTTGTTATTCTTATTATATAAGTTTATGTATTTTTATGTAGGTGTATTTTTTACCTTTCAAATAATCATGAACATTGTGCATAAACAAATTTATGAAAAGATTGGTTGTTATTATTTATTAAAAGATGGACTTACAGAAAAAGAAAATACCAGAAAATACTTATGTTCAACAACAAATATATATTTATTACGTTTATATTAATACTACATATTATTTTTTAATATATACTAATAGCTATTTTCCATTAAACTGAAAAAAAAATAAATAAAAACTTTGATTAAAAATTGGATAGATCTTTATTCTTGATTGAATATTTTTAGTAACTGTTTAACAACAGAAATTAGCTATTAATGTAAAATTTTAAAAATATATAAATACTTATAATATCACATGATATGAGTTAAAAAGATTCTTAAGTAGAATTAATAAAATACGGGCCTAAACATAATTCTTTAGAGGTCATGATTTCTTTCAAAATTATTTACGTTTATTAATATCCCCTTATAAAAAATATTTTAATTTTCGATAACAATTATTCTTGTTTGGAAATTTTTTATACACTTTTTGGAAAGTTTTAGCGATCGCTTGTTAAAAATTATGTTTTTTTCTGTTAAAAATCATCGATATCTGTAACACTAATCTATGGAAGAGTTAATTTGTTTTGTGATATACCATATGTTCGAAAAATGGCGTCAAGTTACCTTAGAATTGTTGATAGTTGGTATTTTATGTGTGAAATTATAAAATAATAGCGTATAGTTTATGACACCATATGATTGAAAGAAATGGACATCCAGATGGCTTGGAAAGGACGATCGATGGAATTCTTCATATAATTTTATATACAAAATGACAGCGATCTTCATTTCGAGGCAATCTCTGACGCCGTTTTTTTTTCGATCTCTGTTATATAATATAAAAATATCGTAGACTGGCATTTCTACAGTAACTTGACACGATTTTCTTCGACTGTATACGTACATATTATGAATTAAGGTGACCTCTAATGTATAACTAAAATTGGACTATTATAACTATTATTAATATCAATAACAAAAGCAACTGAAATTAGATATACACCTACTAACTGGCATAAAAAATAGAAAATCATATAAGTTTAAACATACGATATTTTAGTATGTACAGTAATAACTGTTGTAATACTTGATTGTTTCCTTATATTTTAATAATTTACAAATTATTACATTTATAGGATAGTTACATTAAAGTAGGTAGTGGTTGGCTATGTTTCATGTAAATCATAAATTCGTTTGAGATAGAGCATGTACCGTTTGATCGAAAAAACGGCGACAGTAGTATTTGAGATGACAAATGATAATATATAAACTTCTATGTAATTTAAAGTTGATATTTTAATTTTTCAAAAAAAAATAGTTTAGAAAAAAGTTTTTAAAACAAATTTTACTGAATAAATTTGTTTGGGTATGATTGGCTCATCTGGAAATAATTAAGTAGACAAAATACTTGACGACTTAATAAGTAGATAGGTATTATAAGTTTTTGGGTCTAATTTTAATGAATGACATATAGGGGTCGCCACGACAGAAAATGTTATCCAATGTCATTTGACAGACCACTATGAAGCCCTTTTTTTTATGATATTATGGTATTTAATGTTCAAGAACACCTAAAATAATCGAATTTCGCGAAATATAGTTATTTAACTATATTTTTAAGTAACGAGAGTTAACACTTTCTAAAGAACTCCTGTTTACAGTCAGAAATTCTACAAATTCGTTAAATAATTAAAAAGAAGACCGATGATATGACATTCAGTTTTCAAACATATAATAAAAAAGTTACAGCTTACAATATTGTCTATTTGATATATCTATGGTAAAAATAATATTATTGACTTAACTAGATAATGTGCCTCATCTATAATAAATAAAAATAAAATTAAATATTTCAAAAAATATTCGTTGCTTAATATCAGCTACTTAATATTATAACCCGGAATGGTTTGCTCCTGTATTCCTTCTAGAATTGAACATATTCTTTTTTGCTTCTTCATCACGCTGATCTCTAAAAGAAATAATATTGTCAAGGTGTGTGTGGCGACATCTGTCGGAGAAGCGAATAACCGCAACGTGTATTGCTGGTTGACATTGATTGAGACGCCATCTCTTAGCTAAGTAGAAAAGCGAGTTCCCACCAGGCAGCAGAATTTACTGGTAGATGGCAAAAGGGTATCGAAAATTATAGATAATTTTCGAACGTTCCAGAAACAGCCGCTAGGATATATAAAAAGTCCGCGCTCGGCAGTTGTGCCGGTTAAGTTTGAAAATACGGTTGGTTTAAATTGTGAATCATGACAATTTGGCGAAGGATATTTTTAAGTAGTTAATTGTGTGTTGTAATCAGTATAAATTGTGTGTATACCGTGCTGGCAACTGTTACTTTTGGGTCGGCATTTACATGTGTGGAAGTAAATCGCATAGGGATCTTATTAAGTCGGAGTGAGAGAAATGCGACCGACCGACGCGACGCGCTACGGTGTGCTGTTGCGGCGTTGTCGATACGCCTTTCCCTATCAAGTAAAGTAAAATCACGATGGCAAACCGCTTATTTTTAAAAGACTTTTTTTTCAAGAGATAACTAGATAAAATCATTAGACATGTTTCTGAGCATCTGAAATGGAATTATAAGGATATCGTTAGGGTGTCATTTTTTTTATAACGAGAAAACGTCAGTAATCGTGATAATTTAAAAACTCAACTTTTTAACACATAACAGGCCATAACTTAAGAACCACTTTAGATTTTGAAACTTTTTTTTATTTTCAAGATTGGATATTTTACGATATGTTTACATAAGAAAAATTCGATAAGGTTGTTTTTTCCATTCAAAAATTGTAAACAATCCATCCATTTACTTTTAGAGAATAGCAATTTTCAGCAATCGTGTAATTTTTTTATTGATAAAGATTTTCACATACTGTCTACAAAGATAATACAGCCAGAAATATTAACAAAATTCTTGAAAAAACTACAATCTATTATTTCTAAAAGATTTCAAAATATCGATTTTTGAATTCAGAGTTCTAATAGCGCGACCACTATCGAACATCCACTCAATTCCACTTATTTTTACCAAAAATACAAGTGTTTCTAGCTTGCACTTAAAAAAAAATCAAGCTATATGGAAAATTACGACGACTCGTTAGTATCAGGAGACGTAATTAAATCGTGAAGCTGAACGCATGACGCACACCTTTCCCTAGAACTTTAAGTACTGACAGAGGTACTGATTGGGTCGACCGGTCAACTGCGACAAATCTGCTATATCCCCTTCCACTTCTTTTCAAGTAGTGGCTACGGCTACGTCTAACATATTTTCGGACGGAATTTGGCAAAGTCACCCCAAGAGGCAAAGTCACCCCATTTCACGGTATATTAAATAATTACTAGCTTTAAACGGCAATAACTTGTTTGATTTAAATGAAACATCCTGTATATTTTACGTGAATTAGATGCACAATTTAATTGTTTTAAATTTGGAAAAGTATAAACGGGATTAACCATTTTAGAACAAGCAAATTTCTTTTTATTAGAACGCATTTTTCTAAAAATGTCAATAATAAAAAAGTTTTTCCTCTTGTAAAGACAATCCAGGGACATACTGTATACTAAATTTTAAGACGGCTTACTGTTACTTACTTGAAAAAAGCCAGATGCTGTTCCAGTAAAAATCTGCTAGCGCAATGTGCTAATTCTGGCCAGTGATCTATAATCCTTCTCAAATACACTTGCAATCTTTTTCTTCTGTCCTCAACCAAGGACGAATCCTAAAGCAATTAATTATGGTATATTTAATTAAACAAATATAACGACGAGATAAACCTTTTTTCCGATACTTTTTTTGGGCGGGAAATCGAAAGTCCCAACTATAGGATCGAGTTTTTTTAGGTCGGTATGGAGTGCGTGAAATTGGGCGTATCTCCTGTAAATGTTCCATTCGTCGTTGCCAGCTCGCAAGTACACTTGGTAGACGTGATGGGAGTTCGAACCGCTACCGGTTAGGAACGCCGACGGTATCCAAACGTTGACGTTGCCGGTATTCTCCTCTGAACTAAATTCCATGGATATTGGGCCTTTTAAGTCTTCCAACTCATTTTTCAATTTTTCTAGCAAAGTGTCCTTTTTGCACAAAGACTGTTGCAAGGCCACGTTAAAATCCATCAGCTCCGCATGCATCTCAGCTACCTATTATATAATTATGTTTTACTAAGTTACTTTCAATTTAGGTAATCAAAATATGTAAAAAAATGTGCGTGTAAAATTACAACCCAAACCAAACCAAATCAAACCAAATCAAATTCCATACTTTTACTAAGGATTTAGGTTAATTAATTTAAAAATTATTAATTTTTTAAAGCTTATTATCACGCTTATTTTCAAATATAATTTGTTATACTAATATAAAATTCCATATTTTCGCCAACTAGATTATTAGAGCTTAATAATATCCATAGCTTGAACTGACAAAAACATTTTTTGGAAGTTGACATTGGATTTTTTTTTCCTCAAAAATGGGCTCTTTCGCAAAAAATGAAATACCCAATTCAAGGACAAAATCTGAAATAGAAGACTATTTTCAGTATACTTATCCAAAAAAAATAGTTCCATGACATTGAATAATTTTTTTATAGGCCCTCAAAATTGCTTTAATTTGAAATAAGCAATTTTGAATAAGTGCCAATTGATGACGTATGAAAAATACGCCCAATCACATTGCAGAACCGTGCTCGTGCGCCAGCCAACAACTGGCAACATTGCGATTTGATTTGACCAGCACCACCTCAACTCAAGGCCAATCAACATGATACGGGCAAGGCAAATATGGCGGCGAAGGCAGCGCATTATTAAATTGTTTACCTTTAACCTGAAAAGCCGGTAGTGGTTTCTCGTTCCGATTGCATACCAGAAATAATTAATTATCTCTAGTTTGTTGTGCTTCTGCAGCACGTTTGTTTAGTTCTTAGTGTTCAGTGCATAGTGTGATCAGAAAATTGTGATAAAATAACAGTGTAATAAAAATCCAAACCAGACATTCCACATAGGGAACTTCAAACTTTTGTGCTTGTCGTACTCCTCTATTATTAATTATTTTAAGGTAAGAACTAGAAGTATTTATCAAGATATTACACCTAAATGAGTAAAAAGCCTTCGCCGCCAGTCTGCATAGTACTTTATAATGGTTACTTACAATATCAAAAGATAGGTATTAAAGGGTAGGTACTAACATTTTATTGTAGCATGCCTTTTACATGCTCTGTTCCAAATTTTCACGGGAATAATAGAGGGGGTCCCAAGGTTTCTGCTCTTATATTCCCCAAAAATGACGAGCTTCGTAAAAAATGGTTCACAGCTATTAAAAGAGATAATTTCACTCCTACTAGTAGTTCTCGGGTAAGAAGTGCAATAAATATGCCTCAAAAAGGCCCCAAAGCCTCTTTTACCCTAGTGAGGATGTAGTTATGGCTACTGCTTACACTTACCTCACTATAAGTAAAATATTGGAAGGAGAATCACGCTTTTTACATCAAAAAGATCATAGAAAGATATTGACAACATTGACATTTGAAAATATAAATGGCCTGGATGTAAGTCTTTTTTTAGGTCACAATTGCCCCTCACATACGTCAGAATTTATTATTAAATCCATCTTGTCCAGAATATTCAATATTTTATTGAAGAACTATGCAAAAAAAAAGGAATGACGTCTTTACCACAAAGACAATGTATATGTAAAGAGAAAGTGTAAAGAAAACTAAGCTAAGCGTAAGTTTTACTTACGAACCTCCAAAAAGGTATTTAGTTGTATAGTTCCTATATAAAATCTTGAAACACGAATTATATTTTTTATTTATCCTCACCTATTATAGTTTAAATTTATTCCCATTTGTATAATGCTGCAAAACATAGAAAAAATATTCCATATTTTTTGACCCAAGCCAGTGTAGTTTATAATTCCCAGAACATTTACCAAGGCTTTTACTAAGACAAGTAACTTCCTATACTGTCCATAATAGTATATGTTTATCAAACGTTCAGTAAATTCTAAACTATGGTAGGTAAGTGTTTGCAATTGAATATTTAGTTTATATTGCTATTTTCTGTCATATATTTCTGGTTATTTCCACAGGGGAACTGTTTACATTTTATGCGAATGCCAACATCCTATTGTTATTGTTTAGTATGTTGCCGAGTATATCTCCGCTTTTGTTTATTTTTAATTTTGTATACGTATACTTTGGGGAAATCTTAAGAAAATAATAATATAATTAGCTTACTACTTATCAAAATTTCGACATTTATAATTTTATTTAGTACTTATTAAGATTCAGTCAAGATTACAAGAAAAATAAACTTGAAATATTTGTAAATTTCGTCATTTTTCATCAGCCGTTAGGATTAATTTTTAATCTGACAACGCCGCTCTGTTGTTATAGTATTTTCTATAGTAGGGGAATTGGACGCGGTCAACAGTGTCAATACTGTCGATAAACAGCTGATTGGCATGATCAGCTGTTTGCCGTGCTTTTATTTTTCCATATTTCTTAACTATTAATAAACTATTAATGTATAATTGTTTCATTTTATATAAAAGACCAAAATTAGCATTTAAAATGGGTCTACACTGGCAAAATGTATGAGAATTAAAGAATTTAAACATCGTGGAGTGTCATTTCAAAAGTAAGTACTGTTCTGTGGTAATACAACATCTCGTTTTATTTACCTAAAATATTTACCATAATTGTTTAAATTTGTTTATTTGTTTTATAATATAATTTTGTGAATATAATATATTATGTATATTATAAGAAGTAATGTTTATTTTTTTGTTACAATATTGTCCGATTTAAAATCGTATATTGGTATTTAATTATGAATACAAATAATTTGTATGTTTATGTAAATTATAATTGGTATGTTTACATTTGTAAAAAAAATAATGCCTATTTACGTTTTCTATTACTAAGATAAATATTTTATTTCAGATTTCTAAAAGATAGTGAGAGAAAAATTAAATGGTTTTCTCTGTTAGGATTTATTCATAGCATAATATTAAAAAGTCGAGCAAAAGAGAACTCAAGAACAGCTGATTTTTTTATAAGGAATTGAAGAAAATATTTAAAATCTGATGATTTTCACAGCCATTTATGTCGCGATTTGTGGTCTTTCAGTTGTTTCAACATCACCTAGGAAATTAACATTAAGATATCAGGATCCTGCATATAACGAGATAAGAACTATGATCGTGTTAGGATACCTATTCCGTCACAATATGTAAGTACATATATATTTACAGTTTAATTATTTAATATAAAATATTACTATATACTAATATGTATACACAGATTCAAAGTGTACAGGGTGGTGCCTTTCATACGATATGAAGGTTTCAAGGATTTTTGTTGATGGAAGTTGGTATTGAAAGAACAAATGGAGGGTTTAGAAATCAATCAAGTCATACAAATTCACTTTCATTTTCCTTTGAGCCTTTATATCCTATGAGAGGTGTATACCCTATATATATATATAGATTTATATATATATATATATATATATATATATATATATATATATATATATATATATATATATATATATATATATATATTATATTACTAAAATTACACTATAGTTGTATAAGATCTCACCATCGAAAAAAAAAAAACAGCGTTAGGGTTGGCTTTGAAAGCAAGATTTATGTAATTTTATAAAATGTAAATTTATGTGGTGAATGTCATTGATCGTCAATTTTATTTTGCTCACAATGTATACTCAATGTAGATATTTATATTCACCAACTTCATGTTTATATTTTGTTTTAGGAAGTGAAGATATTCATGGTGTGGAAGTCGTTACTTTAATTACATAGTGCATATGAAATTGGTCCTTTACATCATGTTTAAAATTGACGTAATGCTACTATGCAAAATAGTGAGAGATGTGAACCCTAGGCAGAGCTACAGAATTACTTTTGTTGAGAGACAAATTATGATAGTGATTAGAATCGCATATTCTAGACTTTTACTTAAAAAATGATTTGTTCGGAATGAACTTTTATAGTGTGGAGGAATACCTGCAAATTATAATATGAGGCCTACGTATATGATAATTTTATTATGATCTGTTGTGTTTGTTTTTTTATATTTTGTATTATATATTTGTGTTAGCTTTAAGAATTTATTGACTATTCCTATACAATTGTACATTGTTTTATGGAAATAAATAAATGATTGATTGATTGAATAAGTTAGGAAACCATACGATCGAGAAAAAAACGGCTTCAAAGGCGACTGGGGAATGAAAATATGATAATTTCAGTGAGGTCAAGCCCTAGAAGTCATTTTCTTGGCTCGTACTATTTTTTAAAGGCGCTCTAAGGTTGTAATTTATTTTTACATTAAGTAAATATGATTTTTAAATGGTGTAGTTTAAGATTGACCTCGCTAAATTATCAATCGTCATTCCTCAGCCGCCTTTGACGCCGTTTTTTTTAGACTATTTGCTATAACTATGTTATCTGTTATGCAAATACATATGTCAACAAGTAAAAAGCCAATGAGAAATTAGTTTCTGCTTGGATCCTTACAGTGGCATTTAACAAAATATATATTTTTTCAGGTTACAATATTTTATTTAATATGAACCTGTAAATGTAAGAATATTATACATATATTATATTTTTTACTCAGTCCCTAAATATATTATTAAAATACAACACTTGTGTTTTTTATTAATATCGTGTTATGATTAATACCTAATTAATGTAAAATTATATGGTATGTAAATATCCTTACACTGAGAATTCGTTTGGTCAAAATATTACTCTCTTACTAATATGAATTTGAAAACTACAGAACATTGTTTTTTTTTAGTTTTTGTGCTAATATTTCCACTTAAAATTACCGAATATATTTATGGTATAGGTAGGAAAAGATGAATTTTGTGCTTTTTAATTATACATTATATTAATTATATTATTATTGTAAATAATATCTACTGATATTTAATATAAAAAATAGTTATTCACATGCATCTATTTTTCTTTTGTAATTAATACTATCTAAATAACAAGACATCTTATATAATAGATCCATTAACATTTTAGTTTATCAATTATCAATCACTATACGATATACAATACGTATAATATCTTTTAATTATATCTAACTTTTAATTATTGAATATTTAATAAACAAATTTTTTATAGTGTTTGTTAAATATTTTATAGCATATACTATTATGTATTTATAATAATTTATTAGTTTTATTGCATGAACATATTTTTAAAATTTATTATTAAAAAATATTTTATCTTTGCCTCTAACCACCTACTTCTATATCTCTGGCTTTTACTTTACTATCATCAATGAATCTCAAGGTTAAATTCTGTTTTGATGCTCTTCGGCTGTAAACTCCCCTACCACTTTCCTCTTTACCCCGCTGTCCATAAACTATGGTAGCGGGGGCACTCACCGATAAAACGATGTAGGCACCTCGATTTTGTGAATTTATGAATGACTTGCTCTATCTATTTTTATTCTTAATCTAAGGTTATTTCTTTTTCCCATGATTTTGAACACCCCTATATATGCTACCCCAAGTTTGAATATTTTAACACTGCCTATTTTCTGAGAAAGCAGACCTTTTTTTAAAAAGTAACTAACTGATGTTTCCATAAAAGTAATAATACAAAAAATTCCATAACTATGTGGAGAACTTTAGACTCCCTGTATATTAAAAAATTAGTGAAATATTACGTAATCTAACCCGACATTTGTGTGAAAAATGTCTATTTGGAAATAAAACAGGTTTTAAAATACGCGCCAAATAAAGCACTTCTATCTCCGCCATGTTGGAAAAGGTTGAAAGGCCTTGTGTGGAGGTGGTGGTGAGTCAGCATGGTGGCTGGTGGCCCGGCCGCGGCCGTGTTGCCGCTTTTCAACATGCCAGGTGTGACGTATTAAAAATAAAGTGCGGATTTTTATTCTGGGCTTTTTTGTTTTTATTTATTTTCTTAAGAACGACTTCAAATTTTTCGAAAGTAAGATAGCAGAAAATTCTAGAATTAATTGCTTTATTCAATTATGCTAATTCCAAAATATAGTGAAAGAGCCCATTATGTACGGTGGCGATTTTTAAAACGCTTAGTTTCGGAGATACAGGGTGTAGAAATTTAATTTTTATTTCGATTTTTTCCAAATAATTTCTGAACTAACGTCAGTATTTGGATGAAAATTGGTGTCTGTGAGAGAGAGTTTTTTGACATGAGAAATTTGATTTTGATGTCAATATGACTCTTATTTACAGGGGGCGCCACCTACATGTGTTTTAACTGTTTTGAAGAGTAATAACTTTTCGTCCGTACCTGTATAAAACTACCGAGTGAAAAAATATACATTTCCATGACTTTTGACGTAAAAAATGTCTCTTGGCAAAAATCTCTACGAGCAACAGTTCTCAAGATATTTAGAATGGAAATAGTCAATAGATATATTATTATTACAATAATTAATATCTTTATTATAGGAGCTACAGATGTCTGACATAGTATTGTCACACCCTGTATAAATACGCGTGAAGAACTCAGACATAATTATTTTTTTTAATTACATTTACAATAAACAAAGTTATTTGCTTATCTTAAATAATGAATCAAATTTCTGAAAAACTTAAAATTCGTTCCACACACTGTAATTATAATTATTTAATTTATTTTTACCTGTACTAATTTCTGCTCATATATTTTGGCCTCTACTTTGTAATCGGGTGGTTTTTCAATTTGTAAACCATCCAATGCCTTTTGCAAAGGCTCATCATCTCTTCGAAGCATTTGTATGGCTTCAACATACTTCTTTACTTGTTCCTTGAGGTTTTCGTTCTCTTTAGTCAGAAGGTTGATTTTTTCCTCCCTATAAAATAAAAATATAGGGAAAATTTTGGTGAATATATATAAAAAACCAACCTTTTTTTCAATTCCTCCTGAGTTTTTGTTTTCAACTGCCGTTAAAACAGCAGATATATCAGTAGGTACTTCTAGAATATCGTCTGATATATCTGGAGATTCTTCAAAGTCTATATAGTTTTAAAAATATAAATTATGTTGATGTAAAACTGCCTTCAAATAAATTACATATTCTAGAAATATTTATGCACTTACCTTTTATTCGTTCTACAGAAACAGGCGTTAACTCTCCAATATTATTGTGATTAATCGGAGTTAAACTTTCAGGTACTGTTGTAGTGAATTTTTCTCTCGAGCCACTATTCTCTATTGACAATTTTCGAGTCATTTTCGGCTTATTTGCATCATTTTGGGAAGCACTAGGTATACTTTCTGAAACAGTATTATTACTTTGATCCCTTTGATCTTTTCTATGATGTTTTTCCTTCAATACAGATTCATCTTGGTGTCTGTCCATAGTTTCAAAAACACTATCCTTTAGGTTTCCTATTTATAAAATATATTCATTACTAATATAAATTATAATAGGTTTTTAATAATTTTATTTTTAGTGATTGCTGTAAAGGATTACCTGAATTACTAGCATCTGAGCAAGTACTACTACTTGAAACTGATGGGACACTGGTAGACAACATGTCGTCATCAAAAGAGATAAACTGTCTTGCTACTCTCCTCTTCTTTTTTTGATCTCTTTTCCTATCAATATTTTCTAAAAATAACGTTTTATTTAAAAAAAACCATCTATAATCCTATATTAGAAATTTAAAAACATATGTATATCGATACTTTACTGAAATGAAAATATTTATGTTTTTACAAAAATCACAATTGCCATTTTCTTTAAATTTATTTTTAAAACAAAGAGATAGGTATAGGTATTAGGGTATATGAAATGAATAGGCAAAATATTATGCATACTGAACATTTCAAAAGCTTTTAAATTGCAGAATTTTCATAGAATATAATATATACCTGGAATTGGTGCTTTAATAATAGGTTCTACACAGAAACTAATACTATTAGTTCTTGGAATGATTGAGCTATTAAATTCTGGTTTATCTATACTCATTGCAAATAAAATTGAGCCTAAACCTAAAATATAATATAATTTTAACATCATTTTTATGATTACTTTTGAAAAAAAAATACCTGCTGCCATATTAGGCAACATACTATTTTTATCTTCATCGCGAAGTAATGCCCAGGATTCGTAATGCTCTGCTAAAATGTATTTATCACCTAGTAGCGTATGAAAATATCTAAAAAGTTGATAAACTTAATAAAATATGCAATGATTGTATTGATAAACAAACCTTTCTAAAGATTTTTCATTGAGTGTAGCTCTAATCCATGCACGACATTTGCCAATATCTGTCCATATATGTTTTAATAAAACATATCTTTCCTTCTCATGGTTTGTCAAGTGTCTTTGAATAAAAGGCCAAAATGCTAAAAAAATACGAATAATATAGTCAAATAATCTCTGGTTAAATTACTTGATAAGAATAATAGCAGATATAATAGGATATTATTAAAAGATAACATTAAGTACATATAATATAGGAAGTAGAAGAATGTGCAAGATGTTTTTATCTAGGTACGCCCGACAATATTTGAAATTTTTGGTATTTCACCTTTAGGTTTTTTTTTAACTCTATGGCTATAGATAAATATAATAATTGGAGTTAAATAAGATTTGATTTAAATATCTCATTAAGTAGGTAGATTAAAATCCAAATATACCACATTTGAGTAGTGGAGATGCCATAATATCAGTAGGTACTTAACAAGTACTTGTTTCAAATTTAGGTATTTTACCTATAATTGCCAATAAATACTTACAAGTACTATCCTGTCCAATATGTAAGCTTTGTACGACTATATCTGATACTTGTTTCAATGTTGAATTTACTTGACTGATTTGAGGTTTTGCCCTAACACCATGCAAAAAAACTGCTTCCAGACAAAGGCACAATCCTGCTACACAAGAGTCGAATTCTGTTGCTAATTCATTTTTACCTCCGTAACTAGAAATTTATCAAACACCTTATGGAATTATTTAAGAGATTAGCATAATTCACTAAATATTATATTTTTTTTTGGTTTTTAATATGCCTGTATGTAAGAAACTTATTACCGCTTTTGGGATTGTTGTATACATTCCAGTAACTGTTTTAGAAGCTTATCTAGGTTTTCTTGCCTGCTTTGTGAACTTCCTGATGATAAACTTACAGCTGACATCAGCTTTAAAGGCTAAAATGCATAAAAATGATTCAGGGTATTATTTTGATAATGTAAGTTAAATAACAGACTGTTAAAGCATACAATTTAAAATAGTTAATAATTCTATTTTGGAAATTTTTAATAATATATGTTTATATGTATATAATCTAATGTTGCTGTAGGCTTTTATAAATAATAGGTACAATAACTTCAACAACACGCTTCAAAATAGATTACCTAAACATCTCTTAGCTTAAAAAATAGGCAAATAACTAACAGTACAGTTTCTGTTTCTATCACATTCTATGAGCGCATATTTAATAAACGTTTCTTGTAATTCAGTAATAATATTTATTAATAAACTCACCATAATTCTAAAATAACCTTATTTATTACAGTTTATTACCTACTCACATTATAATTTTGTAATCATCGAGCGGCTTCTGCCACACAATGCAATGACTGGAACCTCCGATTCTTCCTACTAATTCTTATCATTCATAAACAAGTTTTGTTATAAAATTATATTGTTTTTATCTACATTACAAAAATATTTAAACCACAACAAAAGAATTTGACACAAATTTACAAATGACATGGCAAAAACCACAGAGGCTAAACATCAAATACACATCCCTTATAGTTTGTGAAGTAGTCACTCTGTGGGTCTGATCCATAAATGAATTTTATAAACTTTAATCATATGGATTATTTTATTTTTTTTATATATGACGAGTGTTCAATATCCATAAAACATTCCTAACGTTTGATGTTAAACAGCTGAGCTTCAGCTGATCCGCTGACGATCGATTTTATTTTGGTTATGATTTGTCAAAATTATTTAAATTTTAAAAAATCTTTAAATGTTTTCAAATTTTGATGGCTCTCTAAAATGTCTTGCGAAATTCGATTAACAGCCTCTATTCAAAACATATCCGAAGTTAGAAGATACTTGTTTCCTACCGATGATGAAAGGGGTAAAATAATACATATTATGTACATAATATTTCAGATTTATTGTTTTACTATTATCAAATATATCTAGTTTATGTAATTATATTTTAGTAATATCACTTTTTTAGGTACAGATTATTGGCTCCAAAAATGTAACACATCAGTATCGCCTACAGGAGATGTAATAGTTATAGCTAATGAGCATAGATTAGTTCTCTTAACTTCAAAATGGGATACTCTGAAGTCTCTAAGTACTTTCCAAATAATATTTTCAGAGTCAATTCATGAATCTGAAAAAATACGAACAGTGTTGTGTTTGCCAATAGTTGGATTGAGTCACAGTTCACGTGTTGGTCCAGATTGGACATGTATTGCTGTAGGCATGTATTTTTACAAATTTTATTGTTTGATTTTAGTACTTCCATCTAAATAAGAGGGGTATCATTCTATATGTAGTTCTGTACTGTCATTAAAGTTACAAGCCCGATATTTGTAATTGAATGAGTTAACAAAACCAATGTCTTTTATTAATTAATTTTAATAAGTGTTTAATTTATTAAGATTTTATAATAGAAACAACAAAATATTTTAGGTTTTGACTCTGGTTTTGTACGTTTCTACACAGACAATGGTCATTTTTTGTTTGAAGAACAATTTCATAATGAAGATATTATAAGTATCAAGTGCCAAAGTCAACACAGTCCTAGACCCGATATATGTCCTGAGTTGTTTATAGAAGAAATCTATGTTCATTACCAAAGTAATGTTTGTGTTATTAATGGTCAACAACTTTGTAATAATTTACGGGAATGTAGAGCTCAGTTAGCAAAAGGTATACTTATTTACTATATACTTTATTCATGTCATATTTTATAGTAATATAGTTCGTTCTTGTCATGTTACTTTTCCCAATATGACAGACCTGTTAGAGCAATGAAAGTTGCTATTTTTTTTAATATAAATAGGTTTGTATTTGTATTAGTTGTGAGAGAGATAGAGAGAGTAGAATGAGAGTATAATGTAAAATGTATTTTTTAAGTTTGTTGTAATTTGTTTATATTTCTGTTCTTAAACATTTTAGATTACTAAAATATTTTTATTTTAGCTACATCAAATTCCAGACGTAATCAGCTTTCTGGTTTAAACATCAAAAAATGGGGATTTGAAGATCAATCGACTATTAATGATGTAGCAGTCGTTGGTCTGAATATGTCAAATACCTTTGACCATTTATTAACAGCATCCACATGTGGTGGATTTGATTCGAAGTATAGAAATGCCGCTCCTAACAGCACATTAGTTCTAACTGCTGGCTCTAAACCATATTTAGGTATAAAACTATAATATTTCACAGTCGAAATCTATGAAATTGTTGAGCACATAGAGTATCGATTATGAGTTAAACATTTGTAGGATACCATTATGCATTGGAAGGTGTTAATCAGCCAGTTTTGAGTGATGTGGCAAAGGTTGTCGCCAGCAAGTTGAAATCAGCGTTACCGTGAGTACATTTTTTTTTAAAAAAAAATTTTAATTAAAAAAGTTTTATGTCCTTAAATCTTTTTGAAACGGTCTGAATTGTGGCGATATTAAATGGCCTAAATGTAAAGATAAAAATAAGATAATGCCACTCATTGTAATTTTATATGTAATATGTAAAATTCATATTTAGTTTATAAATATATGGGAAAATTATATGGAGAATATCGTCGATCATCATTTCAAAGGCAACTGGACGCCGTTTTTTTTTCGATTACAGTACTTTTTGCATTGATCTGGACAGTAGGGTGGGCAGGTAATTTTGTACCTTTTAGAACCAGTACCCATTGATCTTTACTATTGTCTTACATATTAAAACAGACTAGATATTCAAAAGAAGTAACAGTTATAGAAGCTCTCTGAATATTTATAATTTTTAGCACGTGGTTGGCTGGACCAAAACCCAGCCAAGAAAAAGAGATTACAGCTGCTACGCAACCTACTGATGATATGGCCTTACGTTTTGGTCTTTGCGATTTGAGAAGGACTGCTACAGAAATAGTGGTATCGCCAAATAAAAAATTGGCTGTGGTGTCGGATACTTTAGGGAGAGTTATATTAATTGATTGTTTTAAGGGAATAGCGATTAAAATATTCAAGGGCTATCGGGAAGCGCAGTGTGCCTTTTTACAGGTATGCCTTTTGACTATACAAAATTTAAACAAATCTGCATGGTTGTAAAATGTCACAGTAGGCATAGAAACGATATTTCAGTTAGGTCAAAAATGTTATGTCAAAAATCTGAAGTTGTTTTAGGGCAAGGATACTATAGAGATAAGGATAGTTCGATTCCTATCTTCCTGCACTGTCAGTTTTTTTACGTCATCTACTGACCGAGTTGAAGTTGGCACTAAAGATTTTAGACAGTGACAGTTATTTTTGCATTTGACGGACGAGCGCACAGTGCGTTGGAAGATAAATTTAGCGGGACAAAAGCGTTTGGTTAGAAATAAGCCAAAAAATGTGTACTGATAAGAATAAATAGTAGACATTCCAATTGATACAAAAATGCATGAATATTCTTTGTATTTCGATACATTTATCAACCAAATTTGGTCGTTTTCTGCTCAGCAAGGCAGAGATCATACGAAAACAAAATATTTACAAGTGCTTATACATTTTATTAGAAAGCCAAATTATGTTGAAGATTGCCAAAGGTATGTACTTTTCTACTGTACGTATATTATTTGTTAAAATCCTTCGTGCCTTTGTTCTGCAGATATCAAACTTTCACTTTTTTTTCAAATATCGATATATTGAATGATGTAGATCTTTTGAGTTACCAATAGTTACCAACACAGGTAGTCATAGTCACAGGGAGTTCAAGCTTAACAGGTGAATGCCCAAAAAGATTCATTTCAATCGGATAGTATAAAAACAAAACAACTCCATCAAATGGCACTGAGTTTAAAAAATTGTCTTAGATACTTACTATATATGTATGAATTTACAATTACCGAGTGTTAAAAATTTTAATACTAATTAAAATACCTATCTTATTTATTATTTTCAAAATAAAATATATTTTTTTAAAATAAATTATAGAGGGTGTCACAAGATTACAAATTAATTAAAAAAAACTGCTAAAGAGTTTTTTGATATCATAATTTTATGTATTTGTCGTCATGTACGAATAAAATCATAGTTTTATTATCTTGTATTTATTTAAAATAAATTAAGTTGTTAACAAATAAATAAATTTAACCATATAGTTGCTATATATTAGACCATTTGCTACGTTCTTAGATTTTAAGTCCCAAACATTGCTCTTGAGATTTTGTCCCGCTAGAATAACCATCCGCCGTACTGTGGAGCGCTGGTCAGCGCGTGACGTAGCATTCCACGGCGACTACGACAGCGGCGATTTGACGCGATCGAACAGTCCTTTAGAATATATACAGTCCTTGGTTTTAGGGTGTATTCCGTTGCTTACCTTGGTTATGGTTTTATGCTCCGTTTCTATCGGTTTCCTGAAAGTTTTCTTATTACGGAACACGGTTCCTGAAAAATTCGGTTATAACTGTCACCAAACTAACCCGAGCGAGATGGCTGGTTTTTCTGGTTTAGTTTGTCAATCAATAGCTTTGTTCGGGTTCTTGTTATTACCGATTCTGAACCGTCCTAGAAGGAAAAGCGCCTAGAAGTAGCGCAGAAGGAAATATGAAGACATTTCATTCGCGCATGCGCTGCAGAGTTCTAGGACGGTTCAGAATCGGTAATAACAAGAACCCGAAAAAAGCTAATGCTGATCAATGTCATTTATATGACAGAAATCAAGCAAATATTGGAAGTTCAAGTGAAATTCTCATTTAATTTCTAAAATTTGTAATATTTTGTATTTACATCCAAAAACAATGGAGGTAGGCAGTAAAAGTAAATAAATTTCATTAACTAAATAGAATGACTTTTTAGGACCATTTAAACTTATCATGCAGCCATTGTTCCTTCAGGAACTATGTTCCTGAACCAGTTCCTAGTCAGGAACATTTAAAGAAAACATAAAAAACAAGACAACAAGTAATCGTGAATGTTTTGTAAGCTATAAAAATATAAATATTGATTTGATTTGTTTATTTATTATTGATCTGTTTTAATATTGGACCTGCAAATCTTCACTTAAGCTGTCTAACGAGTTTAACAGTTTATTAATAAAGTACTTTTCAATATTAAACTCCATTGAAAAGAAGAAGCAAACGTAAAAGCAGAGAATAGGTACACTCAAAATGCATAAAAGATAAATTTTATAATAGAGGCAGAAAGAAACATATTTTCTCTTTACTGTTGTCAAATAAGTCCAAAATAACCGACATATTTTACTTTGATAATAATTTTAAAAAAAATATTGTTCGCTTAAATTTTGAGAACTGGATCTTTTCTGGGTTTTCTTTCTTGTAAATTTAAACTACTACTTAAGTTGCCATATTATGAAGATATTATGTTTTATAATTAAAAATTAAAAAACTTTTTTATTGAAATTTTTACAAAAATGCATTCTTCATAAAAAGAATTTGATGTTCTAAAATGGTTAATCCCGTTTAAAAAAAGTCCTAAAAATCAAAAAGTGTTTTTATATGGTAATGTAATTTCGATTTCATCACACATTTCCCGATAATAATTATTATCACCCTTTACTAAATTGAACTAAATTAATTTTGTGGCTTCTTAACATTTTAAAACAGCAAAAAATGACGTTAATTAAAATTCTATCAATACCAATCTATCAAAAAATGAAAACGAAGTTATATTACCATTGAAACGCGTTTTGATTTTTCGGATTTTTCAAAATTCAACTATATTTTCATGTTTTTATTAATTTTCTCTAAAACGGTATGGAAAAGTATAAACGGGATTAACCATTTTCGATGAAGCAAAAATTTTTATAAAGAATGCATTCTTTCTCAAAATGTCGTATACATGTTGTTAATTTGTTTATTACTCGCGGCAAGAGCTTTATGGTTGAAATATGGCAACCTCGGCCCGCTCGGGACGAGTCGGCAGCTTAGTTTAGTACACATTTGGAATGTAGGCTGTGTTGCCTTTCTGTCCCCCATTAAGTAACCGCCCAGTTAACAATCTGTATATTAAAATATTTAATATATTAAATAAAATATTTGCACTTATTTAAGGCTCACCCTTTATAAAATTATTGAAAAAAGTTTATACGGAATTATTATATAGAGCAAAAAAATCACATGTCATGCAACAAATAATAAATTACAAAAATACTCTTTCTGTATGCAAAAAGTGGGTTTAAGTGACAAATTTCTGTGCCTACTGTGATATCTCTACTTTTCTATCACGCTGTATATTAATTATTACATTTGGCTAATTTAGGTTCCAGATGAGCGAAGATCAAAGCACAGGATTGGAAACAAAGTTGCAAATTTTCTAATTATTTATTCGCCTAAGAAAGGCACATTAGAAATATTTACTTTGCAACAAGGCATTAAAATCGCCGTGTTTTCTGCATCAAAATATAGCAAGCTGATGTATATTAGTCACGGACTTTTAGGTTTCAGTAATAACTCAAAATCGAATTATATATGTCAGTTTAATTGTGTTTTCATGGATAATGATGGACAAATTAAGGAAATTACCGTGCCATTTCACTATGCCCTGGCAGAGAAGAATAGTGGAAAGGCCAGAGATATATATTTGTACAAAAAACTTCGACAATTCATAAAATGCGGTGAACTCGACACTGAACAACTTAACAATGAAATTCATAACATTTGTACAGAAATCAAAAGCATAGAAATTAAGGCACAGCTTGTTGATTTACTGATATCGTCTAAAAATCTGTCTTATGGAATTATCTTAAACTGCGTAAATTACTTTTTGGATAATCACGCTGATTCTGAGAACGACAATAAGTCTTTTAAAATCAATTGGACAAATATTAAGAATTTACTGGAATTATATTCTTTTGTAACAACTCACGAAGAGGCATGTAATGATGATGAAACGAAACAACCAAGGACCCCAGTTCTAGATTCAAAGGAATTGGATAACCTTCAGAAGTTGCTTGACCTGGCCATTTCAAGTAGTGAAAATAATTTCAAAAAATCTCGTGTAACTTTTTCGAGTGATATCGGTTTCACCGTTTCTGATTTTCTGAATACTTTTGATATAAGCAAAGCTGACGGGAGTATTTTAAAATCAAATCTTGAAGAAAACCATGTATTTAATGCTTCTGAGGTAAGAAAAAAAATTATGCACATACTGGTGATAATGAACAATTATTAGTTTAATTAAATAAAAATTAGGTTTAAGATTCTAAAGTTCTCTAAGGACTTAGATTTCATCTGAATGATTTTTATTAAAGATTTTGTATTTTTAAAAGAAGAAATATTATAGAAAGTGTCATTATCACCCCATCTAATATTTGCTATAATCGCATTCACGAAAGAAGACGGTTAGGCTAACACATTAAAAATATCTCTGTGGGGAAAATGGGGAAACACCAGAACATCTTATCACTGAGTGCGCCGAGACAACAACCGTTCGTGCCATGAACTTTGGTACGGCTGATGTTGATAATGGAGAGCTGGCCTCTGTGGAGCCGCCTCAGATACTGGCTTTTGTCAAAGCCCTGAGAGACTGTATGATGAGTTATAACTCGTTATAACTCAAGGAAGGGGAACACAATAGATCTGTAACGTCGCGGTGACTAATCCCCCTCCTAAACATCCTAAAAAATGAACAATGGCAGTTTCTGGAGAGAATAATTAAATTTTTAAATGTATTTTTTTAAACACTCAGTTATGCAGGGTGGCCCGAATTGTATTCCGGAACCTTTGGCAGCATATTCTGCAGATAAAAATAAGCAAAACAGCTCGTATAAATGTGTGTCCTAAAATGCTTAGTTTTGGATATACAGGGTGTAGAAGTTTCATTTTTATTTCGATTTTTTTTCAAATAATATCTGAATTAACGTCAATATTTGGATGAAAATTTGCAATTTTCATCATCAGACACAAGTCACCATACTAGCATTACTCAGCAACAACCCAAGAATCCAGATTTCTCACGTATTTAAATTAAGTTATTGTATATTCTTGAAATATGAATAAAAAAATAGAATATACTATTTATTTATTACTTACCTAATCTTCTTACCTAATCGTTAACAGTAAGCGCTCCTCCACTGATACAGGACACTGAAAGTTGGTCGAAGAGTGTCTAATTTCCGGAATAACTGCATTTAAAATATAATAAAATGTGTTAGTCGACATCTTTGTGTACTCGTGGGCTTTTTAACATATTAAATAAATTATGGAATTCTCCCATGCTTGTCCTTTCCAGATATATAAATTATTTGTCGGCCTTCTCTTACGCCTTTTTCGAATTAAGGATATTTTTAAATATATATTATCCAACACTGCCACTTTACGATTACTATGCGACATGTTGTCTTTTAAAGCGCCAATATTGAAATGAAATTTTTCTAATATTTATTTCCGTACGTATCGCTCTCAAAAGTCGCCTATACACAGGACAACATATCCCATCAGTGTTGCCAGATGAAAATATGTAATATCCGTATTTCGTTGGTCGAAATATCCGTAGATGAATAAAAAAAATCCGTATTTATACAGGGTGAGTCTTGAATAAGTGCAAATATTTTCAGGGACGGTATATTTCGAACACGTCTATGACGTTTTTTCGCATAAAAATATGATAAATATCGTACATTTTTTAATAATTTCATAATCTCTGATATGATTACGCTTACATTGTCACGATACATAGGGGTGCAAATACAGAAAAAAACGGTAAGAGAAAATATGTTATCGAGATCTACCACCCCTGAAAATATTTGTACTTATTTAAGACACACCCTGTATTTTATTGATTATTAATTCATGTTAAACATAAAATTAATATCAAAAATAAACATCTTAAAAATGATAAACAATTACTACTTCTCAATATCTACGTACTAGCTATGTAGTATTACATGGACAAGAATAGATGAGAGAAACAAGTATTGCAAACCAATACAATTTTTTATTATTACAAAAATATGATTCGACAGGCAAATAATATATCAGTTATTACTTCTTTGTATGACTAGTATTGTGAATTAATCGATGGTAATAGATAAAATTTTTAATTTGCAAATATTCTACTACATATTTCGTATGATAAAAGTCGTTTAGTAGGCTTGGAAATGAACATTTACCATATCATTTTACATATGAAATAACAGTGATCTTCATTTCCAAGGCAACTGTGACGCTGTTCTTTTTTAAACATATAATATTATGTTAAATTGTTCAATAACTGAAAATCCGTATTATTGGAAAAAAATCCGTACGTCCGTAGAATATATCCGAAATCCGTCAATCTACGGATTAATCCGTAGTTCTGGCAACACTGTATCCCATCGCACGCGTCGCGCTCCTCGCCCTCTGTTGTCGTACGCGTCGCTCGCTCGCTTTTGTCACCCACGTAGGACGAAGCCCTACTTGTAGAGGGCGCCACCTACATATTTTTTTTAACTGGTTTGAAGAGTAATAATTTTTGTCCGTACCTGTATAAAACTACTGAGTAAAAAAAATATGCATTTACGGCGTTTTTACGTAAAAAAGTTCTCTTGGTAAAAATCGCTACGAGTAATGATTCTCGAGATATTTGGAATTAAAATTATCAATACCTCTGTCATCATTTACATAAATTAAACATGTTGACTAAATAGTTATTAGATTGAAATCATAAATTTGAAATGTTTTTGTGGCAAAAGTTCAACAGAAACTTTAGCATAATTTTTTCGAAGAACAATCTATGATTAATTTAAAAATAAAAAGTTCCCAAAATTATCATTTCAGTCAAATAACTATCTACTCAACAAATGTTTATTTTTAGGTGGCTCCATCCACAAACTGCAATCATGTTGACATCAAAATCAAATTTCTCCTGTCAAAAAACTCCCAGACACTAATTTTCATCTAAATATTGACGTTACTTCAAAAATTATTTGGAAAAAATCGAAATAAAAATGAAACTTCTACACCCTGTATCTTCGAAACAAAGCATTTTAGGACATACATAGGAACATAATTACTTATTTTTATCTGCAGAATAATTCTGCCGAAGTTTCCGGAATGCAGTTCGGACCACCCTGTATACGTGCTCTACCCTTCTTAATGAAATTTATTTGACACAGTACGTCAAATTCAACTAAATAAGGTGTTTTATTAACATCAATTAACATTAAAAATCTTAAATTTGTCATGGGTTTTGGTTAGTTTGTTTTCTGCAAATTAGAATGCTGTTTTGGTTTAAAGTCATTAAATATTTGTTCTGCATATTATTTTTTTCTAAATAAAAATATTCCACCGCAATCGTCTTCTTTTGTGAATGTGCGTATAAAAACATATTTGAAATTATAATTATTTTAGGTAATTTTTATGAAATTTATATCTGGTGAAAGAACCGACTTTGAGAACTTTAAGCAAGCTATTTCTTCTAGTGGCATTTCAGTTCAGAATTTGTTCTACTTAGTTATTTACTATTGGGTTAATAGGGATTTAGATATTAAACAGAACTTAGAAAAAGATATGCATAACTTCTCAGAAATTATCTCAGTATTGCTTAAAACAGCCAGTAAGAGCATTGTAGTGAATCATGAAGATGATACTGTATCGGTATTTTGGCAAGACATTAGGCAAAACCTAGCCAACTCGGCTAGACCGTTCCCAGCTCTTATGGCAGCCATGCTATGCAAAAACGTATCACTGAAATGGGAGTTGGAAAATTCAGAAGATAATATTGAGGTCCTTACGCAAGAAAATATTCTGTGGTCTTTATTGATAGGTAGGAAACTTACAGTTGAGGGTTGGAACCTTTGGTGTTACACAGCAAAATAAAAACACTAAATCACCACAATACACCAAAACACTTTTATTTTTACACTGGACGCGCGTTTCGCTAACCATGTTAGCATCATCAGCAGATGATTATAAACTGGTTGCGAGTTTATAATCATCTGCTGATGATGCTAACATGGTTAGCGAAACGCGCGTCCAGTGTAAAAGTAAAAGTGTTTTGGTGTATTGTGGTGATTTAGTGTTTTTATTTATAAACTCGCAACCAGTTTATAATCATCTGCTGATGATGCTAACATGGTTAGCGAAACGCGCGTCCAGTGTAAAAATAAAAGTGTTTTGGTGTATTGTGGTGATTTAGTGTTTTTATTTTGCTGAGGTAGGAAACTGTTAAAGTTGTAGCAATTTGTTTATTACGATAATGAAAAAAATATTATTTTAAACTATAACAAGAATTTTATAAAAACATACACTATCAGACAAAAGTAGAAAAACTTTTTAAAACTCGTCGGATTTCAAAAACCTCCAATATTTAAAATAATGTTTGTTTTAAACATATTTCCTTTTAGCCACATTCCAAATTTATCTTATCAGGTGTTTATTTAAAATATTGACCATACTTAGTAGTTATTTGCTTAAGGTGAAAACTGTTGCTATTCTGATTTACATTTTTACTAAATATACCACGCGAGAAATATTTGTCTGAGGATCTTCGCGAAAAAATAATCAACGCACATCGGAATGGTGTACGGCAAATGGACAACAAGCCACAATGTTGTCGGCCAAGGAAAACAACGAAAAAAATTGAAATGATAATTAAAAAAATCTCCTTAACTATTCTGCATAAATCGCCAAATGACATTTTGAGTGAACTAACTGGTGTCAATATAAGCTCCAAGACCATCCAAAAAAGGTTAAGGGAAGCAGGATTATTTAGCAGAAGAGCAGCCAAAAAACCACTCATCAGTAAGAAGAACCAGAAGGCCCGACTTACCTTTCCAAAAAAATATTTGCACTGATCGACGAATGACTGGAAAGAGGTCCTGTTTTCAGATGAAAGCAAATTCAATATGTTTGGATCCGATGGCATGTTGTGGATACATCGCCCAGAAGGGAAAAGATTTGATCCAAAATATACCAAGGCCACTGTAAAGCATGGTAGTGGATCTTGCATGGTGTGGGGATGCTTCTCGGGATATGGCATGGGACCACTGCATGTAATAGAAGGAACAATGGATCGATTTATGTATCTGGACATCTTAAAGCAAGTGATGATTCCGTTTGCTGATGATAATTTGCCTTAAACTTGGATATTTCAGCAAAATAATGATCCTAAGCATAAATCGAAAGTCTTACAAGAATGGTTTTTGTCTGAACAAATTAGGGTTATGGACTTTCCTGCCCAAAGTTCAGAACCCCATTGAAAACCTGTGGGAGGAACTAGATCGCCGGGTAAGACGAAGTCACATTAGCAATAAGAAAGATTTGATAAGAATTTTGAAAGGAGCCTGGAATTCCATTGAACCAGATACCATAAGAAAACTATTTTGGACTTCATGCCAAAGCGATGTCATGAAGTTATAGCTAATCACCCATATTAATTTTATTAGGTTAGCAACTATGTACTTGTAATTTTTATATTAATTTTTAGATTCTCTATTTTTGTGTCTATAGTTTTTTTTTATTTAACTGAATAAAATTTTAAGTTTTTGTGAGACATGTGATTATTTCATTTAAATAAGAACTATTTAAGTATCTTTTATTTTAACAATCCATAAAATGGTCTTAGTCCCTGTGTTAACAAAAAAGGCACAATTTTAAAAAGTTTCTCTACTTTTGTCCGATAGTGTATCTATGTTATACAAGGGTTATACCTATTTTAAATGTCATTATTTTAAGGCAAATTGGAAGATGTCGCTACGTTAAATATTATCTTTTCAACAAAACCGGTGGTGATTGACTCAAACTATCCAGTTTTAAAATACGATAGAGTCGATATCAGTCTTAAATACATCCTTGAAAATGGAAGAGGCTCAGTTAGTGAACTTGCGGCACAATGGTTATGTTCTTCCGGATGTAGTTCAGAAATGATTGTAATTAACGAAGTTATATACAAAAATTTACAGAATGGTAAAGTATAAAACTTTAATTTATTATTTACATTTCTTGTACTATACGGTTTCAGAAACATCAAACGAATCAAGTGTAACGGATGTTTCCAAGGACAGTAATGTGGAAAATTTAGAAATATCGGAGGGAATGCATTTGGAACTGATTGAAAAAGTCAAATCAAATGTCTTGTTTAAGTACCTCAATCTTTTGAAACAACAATTTCCATACAGTTTGGAGGGAAGCACTTTACTAGCTAATATGTGCTGGGAGTATGCGTTGGCGTGGCGTAAATCTATGACATCATTAGATCATTTGGAGGCAGCTATTAAGTGCTTAAATAATATTTTAAGTCTGCATATCAAGCGAGGTTTGTTCCTGCTCGTGTGGAATACTCATTTAAAAATTGTTCTTGAAAGCAGTTGCAAATTGATTAATAAAGTTGGAAGGTTGCCTAAAGAGAAGCTCTGTCAGCAAGACACTGGATTATCAGATAAGCAAGTAGTTAATTTTATAAGTAAGTAATTAATAATAAAATTACGTTTATCTGTATGGTTGACATAATACGATGTGCATTAATAATACAATTTTTTTTTTCAGATATATGTAAGAATTTTCTAGATATATTTCTAGATGTAAGCCTATTAAACTGTGATTTGCCTAAACCTACATTAAAGTTTGAAGCTATTTGGGAAAATGGTACACATCAAACACTTACTGAATTAGCAGTTCAACAAAAAGAAGTTGATTATAACTTGTTGCACTTACATTATCAGCTGTCGTTAGTCTTACATATGATTTCCACATTTTCAATTAAATTTTCGAAGCCAGTCAATAACTTATTTGAAGCGTCTATTGGAAATTTGTTCTTTACAGGTAAGAATCTTATAACAGTTATAACAAACAATTTTTTTCACGGTTAACTTTTGAATATATTATGTCATATAGATGTTGACTTTACAAAAATTAACATTGATTCATAGATAAAGGAAATAAATTTAGATTGGAATGCCCGTCAAAATTTTGGGTCGCGACTGTTGTACGCGATCTGGCGCTGCTATAGCGGTTGCTAAGAACAACCGCAATTAAAAACAGAAATATTAATAATAATAATATTAATATTTTTCACTTGTCCGTATGTCTTGTCAAAGTCAGAATCTTCAAAAATTATATAATCTTTCAAAATCTAAACCGCTCTCATTGAAAAAATTCCGAAAAGTGTGTAAAACGTCCATTTTCAAAGTAATTATTGCTATTTTGTGAGTTTAATTTAAGTTTTATTTACTCAAACCCGTGATAATTGTGAAAAAGTGTCACTAAAAACTTAAAAAGCTGTGCTGTGAACTGTGAACTGCAAAAACCATCGTGGATCGTGATATAACGTCGGTTTCCAATGTTTCATAGGTATTTCATACATATCCTTATATAAAATAAAGTTTTGTGTATGCAACACCCTGTATTTTATTTATAAAATTAAAAGAAAATAATAAATTTTAATAAATATTTGGCGATATAATTCCGGAAAAAGACGAACCGCTCCGAAATTTTCAAAAGATTTGGGACGCGACCATTGCATGAATAGCGCCAAATAGTGTTTACATTGGCCTTATGGGCACTTTCCAATCTAAACTTGTTTCATTTATCTATGCATTGATAACCATTCGACATGCTACTGTGACGCATTTTTTTTCGTTGATACGCAGTTTGTCTTGACAGTAACAGTTGACTATTTTATTTCAACAATATAGACTTTTGTTTACCGAAATTCTCATATATTCTTTTGCTAGATAGACTAGTTTAGTAGCAGCACAAATTAGGTTACTATATGTATATAGATAAAAATCTTATCCCTAATTTGTGATACGAAAATTGTTTTTTATGACGATGTGCAAACGAGTAAATTTTCCTGTGCGCAAAAATAAACTCGCGTAAAATAACAATAAACAGCGTAATAGAGAGATATCGCTAAACCGAATAGCGTGCATGGACGTTAATAAGACCAGGTGTTATTTCCTTTACGTGAGGTGGTCTTAACTCTCTTCATTTATAGTTATCAGATCGGAAAGAATTCTGTTCGCGTCGCGTCCGCTATTTAAACTTAACCTAACTTTGAATTTAAAACTTTGAAATTGTTTTGTTTACTAGGTATTTTAAAACTAAAGGGCTAAAGTGCTTATTTCCAGTGCTTTATTGTTCAACGTCTGCCAGAGGGTTTAGGGCAACAAGCAACAAATTCTCTTAGAAGGGCTAAGTCGTTATCAGCTGTAAACCTAAGCCTCTTTATAGGTTCTTTAATATTGGAAGAGGTGGAATCCATATTTTGAGCCATATTTATTTAATTAAAGCTAATCCCAGCTACTTAAATATCAAATTACCTAATAAAACTAAAGTAATAATTCAAAACAATTCAAACATAACCTAAACTAAAAGATCTCGCCGGCTGGCACAGGTTGTCACATACCCGCACATGCCCATTTAAGCAATTTTTAAACGTTATTTAGAAATAGCGCTTGGTGTAATTGATCCGCAAATTACCTCAGGCGGTAAAGTTATTAGCGAGTGTTGCGTTAAAAATTGACTCGCGCATATCGTAACCATGATAAGACGCGTAAATACTGCATGACGCTATTCGGTTTTCCGATATCTCTCTAATAACTGTGTCGGTCAGGCGCTGTGCATAATTTTAGAGGCCATAAATGGGCGTGCCATGTGCGCAAACTAGTAACCTAACTAGTGCCCGATTCCGAAAATTGGAACCACGAAAAACAATAAAGAAAAAACCAAGTTTATAATCTGTATAATCTGTGGTAGCAGTGACTCTACATTAAACTAATTTTTTTTCAGATTTTCAAAGAACAATTGATACAAACTGGAATAAGACAGATATTAAAATTAACGCCTCAAGACTTCAGTTTTTGAGGAAAGTAATAACTTTTAGCCTAGAAACAGTGACGTTGAATGAAAACAACGAAATATACTGCGTGGAACATGTAGAATGGATGCAAAAATGCTTAAGCCTGGCCAGAATATGGAATTTAGACATTGATACTCTTAAAAGGTATTGTACGGGATATATTTGTTTAATTTCCTGATCTTGACTATTTAAATTTAAGACGTACTAATTAATTTTTAAAGCTTTCTTTTTCATTTGATTTTAAATTGACATTTTAACCTTTTAGATTTCAAATTATTCAGCTGTATATTAGCGGATTCGATATAATTGCACAAGAACTCATTCCAGCCGTCAACGAAGTGAACGATTTGGGCGAAGAATTGCTAAAAATTGCTGGAAGGAGAATGTCTCAGTTTTTAAGCTCGTCGCCGCATTTGAGCGAAAATATTGCCGCTTTAAGTCCAGTACTGTCAAGATTTATTAAAACATTGGTAAGATTTGTTTCTCTCTCTTTGGTCCGTTTCCCTGAAGAGGGATTAGTGACTATGATGTTCCTGTAGCGGTTTTTATCGTATTGTGCCAGTCCGCTCTGTTTTGAGCCATGCTGACGTTTTCATGAAGGCCTTGGCCGATTAGGTCTTTAGTTTGATCAACCCATCTCTTGGATGATCTTCCTCGTGGTCGCTTTCCCTCTACCTTTCCCTCGACTATTAGCAGCTGCAGTGAGTCCGTTCTTCTAGCAATGTGACCAATATATGTCAGAAAACATCGGTTTATTTTTTTTGAGAGGCTGAGTTGTGAGTTTAGTTCTTGGACAACTGACTCATTCGTACGATGGGCTGTCCAAGGTATACGTAGCAGACGTCTATATGCCCACATTTCAAAAACATCCATTCGCCTGGTATCGCTTTTCTTCAGCGTCCATGTTTCCGCCCCATACGTAGCAATCGGGAAAACAAGCGAGTTCAGCAGTCTTAGTTTGGTGTTCTTAGTGATGGCTGTATCTTTCCATATCTTAGTTAATTTAGTTACGGCTGTTCTAGCCAGCGCAATTCTACGTCTTATTTCGCCTTCGCATGAGCCGCTGTTGTCGATTAGCGATCCCAGATATAAGTATTTATTAACCACCTTAAATCCAGCTATGTTTCCCACGTGAGGTTGGTTGTTGTTTTGTCGGTCCACAATCATGACAGTAGTTTTGTTAGGATTAAGTTTTAGCCCAAATTCTGTACTAGTTTCTTGGAGACGTTGCATAATAAATTCCATTTCTTCCACACTTGATGTTATGATTAGTGTATCGTCGGCATATCTTAGATTATTGATTTTCCTTCCCCCACAGATACTCCACCTTGCCAGTTATCGAGAATATCACGCATTATGTACTCGGTATAAATATTGAACAATAGGGGTGAGAGAACACACCCCTGCCTGACACCCTTCATTGCTTGAAATCTATTTGATGTGACATCATTAATTCTTATAAGTCCGTAATTATGTTGGTATAGTTGTCGGATAAGTAGAATAAGGTGATCAGGAACCCCCATTTCCTTGAGTATTTGCCAAAGTTTTTGCCACTTGACTAGATCGAAGGCCTTAGAATAGTCGATAAAACAGAGATACATTTCTATGTTGAATTCTCGCGCTTTTTCTATTAACTGTCGTACGTTCCCTATCTGTTCTCTGATACCCTTACCAGGCATAAAGCCAGTTTGTTCTTCTGCAATCTGTGGTAGTAGATATGGCCTGAGTCTGTTGTTAATAATCTGCAGGAGAATTTTGCATGCATGAGGAATTAAAGCAATCATTCGATAGTTATTGCAGTCTGCCGGATTACCCTTTTTATATAGTGGTATATATATGAGCTGCACCAGTCGTCTGGCCAAATTCCCGTCTTCCAAATCAGATTGCATATGAAATGAATAACATCAATTACCGGTTGCCCTATTGACTTTAATATCTCAGCAGCTACACCATCTATACCTGGGGCTTTATTTTTTTTGAGACGATTTAGGGCGTGTTCAACTTCTGATTTAAGGATCTCCGGTTCATGTTCGAATTGGTTGGGGCGATTAATATTATTAGAAGATTCACCATCTTCGTAAAGCTTTGTGCAGTACTTTCGCCAGACTTCAGCAATACCATCCGGATCAGTAATCTTTCGACCATTTTCATCCTGTATAATTTGTGTACGTAGTTGAAACTCACGAGAGATATATTTACCTTATTGAATAGCTCTCTAGATTCGTTAGTTGCCGAGTGTCTTTCCAATTCTGTGCAAATCTCGTTGACGTGCGTGTTTTTATCCTGTCTACAGCTGTTATTTCTTTATTGATGTTTCTTAGTTTGTGTTCTTTGTCAAATGTTGTTGATATGACTAGGTTTCTTCTTTTTTCAAGCAAATTGATCGTATTATTCGACATCCAAGTTTTGGACTTTAATTTAGTGTTTCCAGATGTGCAACTTCCTTTAACTATTTCATTTATCCAAGTCCTAGTGTCATTCCACATTTCTTGTACGTCATTTTTTAGTGTGGGCATTTTTACCGATTTCATTGTTTTCATTATTCCTTCTTTAGTAGGTACTGAATACCTTTTCGTTTTGATCAATTTCACTGCCTGTAGTTTACGATGGAACTTTGCCACTAGGATTTTATGATCTGATCCACATACCATGCCAGGTCTTGTCTTAACATTGGTAACAGATGACCGCCATCTACCGCTTATTAAGATATAGTCAATTTGATTTTTCGTTTTTTGATCGGGTGAGGTCCAAGTTGACAATCGTCTAGGGTGTTGTTTGAACATGGTATTTGTTATTGCAAGATTGTTGTCTATTGCAAATTGTATAAGTCTCTCTCCTCTGGCATTTCTGTCTCCAAGTCCGTACATTCCTATAATATTTTGTAGGTTGTTATTGTCAGCTGACTTTCCCACCTTGGAGTTGAAATCACCTAGAATGACTAGGGGTTCCTTTTTGGGTGTGGCTGATACTAGTTGTTCTATTTCTTGATAAATATCCTCAACTTGTTTGTCATCTGCGTCAGTTGTAGGCATATATACCTGAATAAGATGCATGTTAGTAGGTTTTGTACGGATGGTGACTTTAATAATGCGGTCACTAATGGTTTGGTAACTGTCCACGTATTGTACCATTCTTTTGTTAACCACAATGGCTACTCCATTCTGGCTTGCATTGTCTGAGCCCGACACGAAAATCCGATGTTCAGCAGTTGTAAAGTGTCCCTTACCTTTCCAGTGTGTTTCCGACAAACCACATATATCCATCTCTGCTGTCATCAGCTCACGCTCAATATTTGAAGTTTCCCTACGCTCAGGAGTCCTCGGACATTCCACGTACCAATATTTATCTTGGATTTCTGAGGAAGCTTGTTGTTTTTTCCAGTAACTCGAGCTGCAGACAAAGCCTGGTCACCTACGTTTGTCTGCTCGGTTGCTAATTTCACACTTGATGGCCCGAACCCAGTCAAGCGCCGCGCCGGTCGCTACTCGGATCGCATGGCAACCATATACCATTGTCACGTAACATCATAGTGTTCATGGGATAATAATCAGGTGGTTTCCCCTTGCCTGCCTGATCCTATGCCGTTGGCTCATACTCGTCATCGTATAGCTCATCCGCCTTTTGAGATCATTTCTGCTCTCAAGGGCAAGAGAGTGCCCTAGTTTGCTAATTTTGGTCCACCCCGGATATTTGATTTTTCCGGTACCACTCATATCTGAGAGGCATTCCCCTATCCGCCACCTGGGGAGGCGCCCGATGGGGGATTAGCAACCCCCTGGAAACATAACCGTTTCAAAAAAAATATATATAAAACAACATATTTTCTGACAACGATTATAGATTTTCGCAAGATTTGTTTAAAACTATATTAATAGTTTTTTTTAGCGATGGGAACTATCGAATGAATTAGACTATCGAATGGTTTCTGAATGAATGATTTCAACTATCGAATGGTTTTATTCGAATAAAATCATTCATTCATTTGTATATATGTGACAACCTCGCCGTGCGACTAAATGGTTATCGTTGAGCAACGACTATCGAATGCTTTTGATAAATGAAATTTAGAATTTAGTATTCGTTTAATTTTTGTGTGCGTCGTGCATTACTAGTTCTTCCAAATTTTTATAACTTCGCCTTCTAAATAATATGTTATTTTGCGTTTATTAAAATATTTAAAATACTAAAATAGTAGTGTTTTTTTTAAATTGACGATTGTGTGCGTGTGCAGGTGGTCAAAATTTTTCCGGAAATTTGTGTGATTTTCCGTAGCCCGATCTTTCAATTATTTAATTTTATATGGTATATGGTCTATTTTTTTAATGGGAAATTTTGAGAAGTAGCAATTTTTAAGAGAGATGAAGTGAACTTACAATTAATTTTAAAAATACATACCTATGTATTTGTATTTTAGATGTTTTAATAATATGAATTAGTTGAACTTAATAATCTTATTTAAGTAATGTGGATAAGTAAATGGTTATCGAACTCAAATTTTGGGATGAGAAAATTAAATTGATTGGTTAAAGTTTTACTCGTGCCAATTAAAAAAAAATTAACGATATTCGTATTTTGTTTATGCTAATTGTTTTACATCTAGTTTTTTGCGAAGAAATATTTCATTTATTTTTTAAAGTAAATGCCAGTAAAAGCAAATATTATGGTACCAATATTATTTTTAAATAGTAATACAAAGTAATAAAAAGTAATATATATATATATATATATTTTTTATTTATATTTTCCTTCCATTACACTGCATGCTTAGAAAATTAATAAATGTTTATATTTCATGATTTTAAAATTTGTTGTTAATATAACAAATTAGTTCTGTAATTATTATTATTTAATAAACCAACGTTGCCAAAAAAATTAGAAACTATATTATTTTTAAATAGGATCTAATATAAATAATTTTGACTTCTAATTTGTTGTTTATATTTTGCTACTACTTAAAAAAAATGTTTATATTAAATGATTTTAAATTTTGGTGTTAATAGGTATAACAAATTATTACTGTTATTATTATTTTTTAAACCAGTTTTGCTTAAAAACATTAAAAATCATTTTCCTACATCCAAAATAAAAAGTATTATTGCAGTGTAACAACAGGATATTAATAAAAAAAATGCAAAATATATAGTCATACTATTCCTAACAATAATACCAAATAATAATATTCTTTGCTAATACCAACTAATACGAATATATGGCAACAGCGCCGTTCATAATGTATTTTCTGTATAAATACTAGCACCTCAATAAAAAAATGTGTCCTTATCTTTATCTAACTCAGCAAAAATCAAAGATGCCGGCCTCTTTCATAGCATTGCCACCGACCGCTGTCGGGTTTCTCGGAAAGAAACCTACGTCAACTAAAATCCAGTTTATATTTTATTATAATCGATCCTGACGAATAAATGAATTTTACAAATGAATGAATTTTATAAATGAATGGTTTTTGCTGCCGAATTACTAGAATACAATATTTCAAGGCAGATGACGCATCTATTCGATAATTTTTATTCGAATAGTTTTCGACGAATGTTTTCTTACCAGCTATCGAATTATTCGAATGAATTGCAACTATCGAATGTTTCGATAGTATTCATTCGATAGTTCCCACTACTAGTTTTTTTAGGGTTCCGTACACCAAGGCTAAAAACTGGAACCCTATTACTAAGACTTCGCTGTCCGTCCGTCCGTCCGTCACAAAGGTCTATCTTATGAACCGTTATAGCTAGACAGTTGAAATTTTCACAGATAATGTATCTATGTTGCCGCTATAAGAACAAATACTAAAAACAGAATTAAATAAATGTTTATAAATAAAAAAGTACTTCCACTAAACATTATCTTTTAAGTAAGAATTTTACATAGAATCTTTCAAGTCTTCGGTGGCCGCGTGGTTAAAGCGTTAGGACTTTACGCTGCTATGACGTTGGAGTCGTAGTAAGGCAGGTTCGAATCCTAGCCAAGGCGACTTTTTTTAATCTTTTTTTTAATTTTTACATATTTATTTTTACTTTTTACATCTTTATTATTGATTAATACAATTTTTAGTAATGTGTTTCTTCATTTTTTTTAAATTACTTATACGCGCATTCAAAATTTCAGCTAAATCGAAAAAAGTTTTATAATAATATAGTGTCTAATGTTGTGTAGATAATGAATGGTATAGTCTATAAAATGAATAACTTTGAATTTTGACCGTTATTTTTTACCAACATGACAAATATAAAATCCCTCTGTCAAAAAAGTTACTGATATTCTTTAAGTATTCTTTAAATTGAGTGCCTGAACGAATCAGATAGGTAACTCTTTTTACTTTCGTGAAATAGAAAAGGAAAATAATAAAACAAGTGACAGTTCTTCCTCTTCTTGCAAAAATCAACTCGAAATCGCATAATTGTCAAAAGTAAAATGTCATCAGCTTTTGACATTTCTAAATATCAGACCAATGCCGTCTCTAATAGAACAGCCTCGGAGCGAGATTTATGACGTCACGCTAATTAGATACGGATTAATAAATATGTTGTAGAATACATGGAAAACATAATTATTCCTCGTATTTTTGGTTTGTATTTTAAAAATGATATAGTTTACATGAAATATACAGTTAATAAATATAATATATACCTATTTATAGTAATAAATACTTTGGCAAATAAACTATGAACCATACAAATGCAGCAAATGTTTTACAATATACAAATAATGAATAGGTACATAAGATAATGGGTTGTAAAATATATTTTAAATTTTGGGGTTTGAAAATCGATCTAATTTAACAAAAAACATTCAATATGTACTAATAGTGGTGTATTATTATTTGCATTCACAAAATTTATATGTACATATATTTTGCAAGTATCAATGTTCGAAAAATTATATTTGCAAATAATACAATATCATAGAAAAAAATGCGTCAGCGATGGCTATGAAATAAAGATCGCTGTCATTTTATAATGTAAAATTATTCTATAAAATTTTTTATTTTTTTGGGATTTAGGTTCGGGAAAAACGCTCATTAAGTTTTCATTTGGTTTTTCATTATTTTTTTGGTTTAAAAAAACGTTTGGGCTAACATTATAGCCTTCATCAGTGTTGTGTCATATAAAAAAATAGTGTCGAATATAATCCAAAAAATTGCATATAAAATATTCACACCACAAACCACATAATGTTTACTGCAATTAATAAACTAATATAAACTTGTCAAAAGATGACCACATATTTTTTAAAATTATTATTCTTAACACTAAAACTATCTACATTGACTATGGAGTACGATTTCAGCCATAGTCAAATATAAGGAATAATTATGTTAGCGTGACGTCATAAATCTCGCTCCGAGGCTGTTCTACTAGAGACGGCATTGCGTCAGCATGGCCGCAGGTTGCTAACCTAATAAAATTAACACTAGAAAAGCCCGCGGGAACTGTCAAATTCAAAGTTATTCGTTTCACAGACTATATTTTTGATTGCTTAATTGAACAATGAAAATCAATATGTTTGATTATAGTAAAACGCTGAATTGTCTCACTGCGCTTCCATCCGCGTTTAGATAGACTATATTTTGTTTTTAATAATAATATATTATTTTCCAGAATGGTGATTGGTGCTCTCCTAGTAATTTAGAAAATATTAAAAATTTGACAACCGAAACGTTGCAATGTTTAAACAGTAGCAATAAAGAATATTACAAATTAGCTGAATTACTCTTAGATGCTTGTAATACTTTGATAGAAATTAATTCATAATCATATTTGTTATATGTAATTGAGGTAAGGCTCATATGATTTTTACAGACGACATACAAAAAAGTAGCAGAAATACAATATAATTTTTTTTATTAAGAGATTATTTTACTAGTTATTTATAATACATAATAATAAATATGTTTGTATAAATATGTCCTGATTTTAAAGGTGATTTTAAAAATTTATAAAATGTAAAACGTTTCTGTACAGTTATTTTTTATAAATATTAATGTAGTAGAGTTGGAGTTAAAAATACTATGTATTGCTGATACTATAAATAAGATTTTTCATCAGTATAGTGCATAAATTTATCATTCATTTTCCATCAAAGGTATATAATGTAAATATTGTTTTATTCGATTTTGAAAAGAGAATAGAAATAACTTATTAATTAGTCTTAATTTGTTTATATAATGAGATATTTTAATATTCTAAAATTTTGAGCAGTGTTATTTTATAGAAGATTTTTTAACAATAAATTTTTTAGATTAGAAAAGCTTTTTTATTTTTAAATCGCAATCGTATTATACCGGGTGTTTTTCAAAAACGGCTCTCTTTATTTTTCAGATAAATTTTGATTTAGAAATGGTACCCTCGGTAGTTTTTTATTTAATTTGATAGAAAATTATACCGTGCTGGCAACTCTTACTTTTGGGTCGGTATTTACATGTGTAAGTAAATCGCATAGGGATCTTATTAAGTCGGAGTGAGAGAAGTGCGACGGTGTGCTGTTGCGGCGTTGCTACATTTCTCCGGTACGTCTTTCCTTATCAAGTAAAGTAATATCACGATCAGAAACCACTTATTTTTAAAATATCTTTTTTTGAAATATATATATATATATATATATATATATATATATATATATATATATATATATATATATATATATATATATATAATAGGATTTGGTTTAAGTATTTAATACTCATTTCCAACTACAGCCTATTGCTGCCTCCCGTTACCCTACGCCACACATCTCGATTTAGAGCGTCATCAGCTTCTAGGTTACAAGCTTCCATTGCTTCCGTAACCGTTCCGTTCCAGGATTTTCTAGGTCTACCTCTCTTTCTTCTGCCCTGGGGAGCCCATTGAAAAACTCTTTTTGGCCACCTGTTCTCCGGCATACGCAGAACGTGTCCAAACCATTTTAAGCTGGATTTTTCGATTCGATCCAGTACTGTCTCCTCCGATGCATTCATGATACGCCTGACCTCGATGTTTGTCTTTTTTTCCATTGGCTTGATATACCTGCGCTTCTTCTAAGGTAGTCCATTTCAACAACTTCGATTTTGCGTTTCGCGTCTGCACTCAGAGTCCATAGCTCTGAACCATAGCAAAGAACTGACTCCACCAATGTTCTTCCAAGTCTCTTTTTAGTTGTTGCAGATAAGTTTCGGTCCCACCAGAGGCTGTTAAGACATCCAATAACTTGTTTGCTCTTCTGAATTCGGGTTTGTATTTCTTCTTTGCCCAAACCCTCGTTGTTGATAGTAGCACCCAGGTATTTAAATTTGTCTACTTGTTGAATCTGGACGTTATCATTAATGAAGGCTTCAAAACAAACGTTGGAATTGACAGCTAAGTATTCGGTCTTCTTTAGACTAACCTGAAGTCCCCATTTGTTGTATTCTTGATAAAGCCTCTTAGTCATGAATTCTAGATCGTATCCTAGATCGTAATTCTAGATCGTAGAGTCCTGCGCAATCACGACCTGATCGTCTGCAAAGCTCAGGGTAAATAGTGTGTTGTCCCCAATGGGTATTCCCATACCTTGACATTTCGTCTTCCATTCCCTAAGGGCTACTTCGACGTAAGCGTTGAAGATCAGAGGAGATAAGCTGCATCCTTGTCGCAACCCTTTTGTGGTGTTAATTGGATTAGATAGCCTGTGTCCTATTTTAACGTACGATTTATTTTCTTTATATAGCTCTTTTATTATCTTAAGCAAAGATCTATCTACTTCTAAGATATACAAGACTTCCCATATCTTGCTGCGGGGAATAGAGTCGTACGCTTTCTCCAAATCAATAAATGCTAGATGGATTTCTTGATCTACTGCTATCTTTTTTTCCATCACCTGCTGCAGGACAAAAAGGTTATCTGTGCAAGATTTCCCCGGTGTGAATCCGCTTTGGTCTTCCGAGATTTTGTCCCCAATACTGTCCCTGAGCCTACCCTGTAGCACATTTCCAAAAAGTCTGCTGACCGAACTGTTAATGCTTAGGCCTCTATAACAAGTGGGGTCGTTACGATTTCCCTTTTTAAAGATGGACACTATGTAAGCCACTCGCCATTCTCGGGGTAGTTTACTTTGCAGGCAGCACTGGTTAAATAGCTCTGCCAGACGCCAGCGCAGTCTTTGGGTTCCACAGTTTAACAATTCCGCTACAATATTACCAGGACCTGGTGACCGTCGATTTTTTTTTGAAAAGATAACTAGATAAAATCATTAAATATGTTTCTGATCTATGTATCTGAAATGTGTCTATGCATCTGAAATGGAATTATAAGGACATTGTTAGGGTATCCATTTTTGTAACGAGAAAACGTCAGTAATCGCGATAATTTAAAAACTCAACTTTTTAACACATAACACGCGATAACTGGAGAACCACTTTAGATATTGAAACTTTTTTTTTATTTTGAAGTTCGAATCTTTTACAAGATGTTTAAAATTCGATTGGCTTGTTTTTTCCATTGAAAAAATTAAAAAAAAAACATTTATTTACTTCTAATGTATAGTAATTTTCAGCAATCATTTAACTTTTTTATTTATAAAGATTTTCCCATACTGTCTGCGAAGAAAATATAGCAGATATATTAAGAAAGTTTTTGACAAAAACTACAATCAATTTTTTCTAATTGATTTCGAGATATCGATTTTTTAATTCAGAGTTCTAATAGCGCGACCACTGTCAAACACCAACTCAATTCCACTTATTTTTACTTACTACGGCTCCGGTTGTCAAATACCCGCACATGCCCATTTAAGCAATTTTTAAACGTTATCAGAGGTTATTTAGAAAGAGCGTTTGGGGTAATTGATTTTACCGCAAATTACGTCAGGCGGTAACGTTATTAGCGGGTGTTGCGTTGACTCGCGCATATCCTAACCATGATAAGGTACGCGTAAATACTGGATGACGCTATTCGGTTTTCCGATATCTCTCTAATAACTGTACCGGTCAGGCGCTGTGCACAATTTTAGAGGCCATAAGTGGGCGTGCTATGTGCGCAAACTAGTCACCTAACTAGTGCCCGATTCCGAAAATTGGAACCACGAAAAACAATAAAGAAAAAACAAAGATTATAATCTGTATAATCTGTGGCCGTAGTAAGGCAGGTTCGAACCCTAGTCAAGGCGACTTTTTTTTAATCGTTTTTTTTTTAATTTTTACATATTTTTACATATTTATTTTTACTTTTTACATATTTATTGTTAGTTAATACAATTTTTAGTAATGTGTTTCTTCATTTTTTTAATGTCTAATGTTGTATAGATAATGAATGGTACGGAACACTTCGTGCGCGAGTCCGACTCGTACTTGTCCAATTTTTTATAAGTGGTTTGAAATGAAAAACTAATGCAGATTTTATCACACATTTCAGTGCACTACAATAAAACAATATCATATAATTATGTACAACATATGATTTTAAATGTCATGCTACAAATATATTTATGTAAAATTAGACTTAATTCTGCATCAATCCAAAAATAGCATTTTATAAATGTATTTATGCACAAACATGTAATTTACTCGACAGCATTAATTAGATTGCATACCCGATCGATGCATACACATACGTTATTGAGATGTAATTTGTTTTTCTTCTGTGATAAATTAAATTACTGAATTGCGTTAACGACGAACTGTATAACATAATTAAGTCAATTTGATCTGACATATAATTATAAAATTGCTCTGTATTGGAGAGTTTTCCCACAAGAGTTTAGATTCAGCTTTGAATAAGAAGACTAAGGAAGGAGCATATCAAAAATCTTAGGTACACCGCGATGGACCTCAAATATGGCCGACTTAAATTCCGGTTTATCAGTGTCGTTCTAATTTTATTTAAAAAATGTAAAACTATGATGTAGGGTAGACGTGAGGTAGACTCAATAATTTGTTGTTTTATTTTACGTTGTGAATAAATGTTGGTAGTTATTAAAATTGTTATAAAAATATATAATTCTAATAAAAATAGATAACTTATAATAAGTATTTATTAACACAAACATCCGATACGCTACTGAAGCAGGTAAGTCAAATTAACGTATCTAAATTCTTTGACATCTAATCTTTGACAAGTAATAAATAAAAGCTAAAATGCAAGAAAAATATATAATTTAGTTAATTTAAGTGAATTTCATAAATGATCGGTTTACTACACGTATGTATATTATATAGTCACTTACTAGCGAAAAGGTGTTCCATTATTTCACTCAATTTTTGCCGAGATCTACCGCACGCTACACAACCAACTATTTTAGAGTCTTTTTCGATAAATCGCGATAGTGTCACTGTTAATTTAAGTTCTGCCACAATTTCCATCTAGATTTACTACCTTTATACAACTATCAGTAGTAGAATAAATAATAAATAACATAAAATAAGCTCCGTAAAGACTGACAAATCCACAAAATTTCAAATCAAAAATGAATCAATCAAGTCAAATGAATCGTCAAACAGAACTGTCAAGGATCCCCACCCTAGAGAGCTTTTATGGTGGCTTTTCCGCCCACCATGCATGAATACATGGATAGCATTATGCTCCTTCCTTAGTCTTCTTATTCAAAGAGATTCAGAAGTAAGTTTAAGAGAGTGAATGACCAAACACTATATTGTACCAGGTGTTCCCCTAAGAATGGGTCTCGGCTGTAACTCGGAAAGTTTTAGCCGTAGAGTCTGCAGAAAAAATATTAATGACTAAGGCAATGGGAAATTGTTGGAAATTAAGTTTGTAGAATGGCCGCTAGAGGGCGTAACTGCTATGGCAAATAAGAAATTGGAATTTTTACAGATGTTTCCCAGGTAAGGGGCACCTACTATAAATATTGGCGTTATAATCTTCAGAAAATTTCAGATTTTTTGTTTAATCGATTTGATTGCTCTATCGGTCAAAATGGAGTGGTGGGGGAGGTTAGATCTGTTTTTATTTGAATGTTAATAACTCCGGAGTGGGTAATCAGAATCCAACAAACTAGGTCTTGTTTAAAAGAGCGTTCCTTACTCTGTATTATACCGTATAAACTATAATAATATGCATTTGACAGCAGACCCTAGGGAACGCTGACTTACGATTTAACAAAAATTGCGCGTTTTTTCAAAAAATCAAAGAAAAGCGCATCTTGATATCGTTTTTTTTTTCAATTGCATTTGGGAGTTGGAACCTTTGGTGTTACATCTAACAAGCAAAATTAAACAATAAATCACCACAATACATCAAAACACTTACTTTTGCACTGGACGCCCGTTTCGCTAACCATTA